TTCCTAGTGGCAATAGGTTCCAGAGGTTGACCCTTGTTTGATAGAGACAAATTCTAATCTAAGCCTAAAGACAGTCTTAAAGCCTGGGTGTATAACTAAGGTAGGTAGGGTTGTGGGTTGGTATCTATAAAACAAAATTATTTTGGTTCAATGCTAACAAGCATTGAGAAGATTGGAGAAGTTAACGACATTGCAGCGACGTGTGCTTGAACAATATCGTAACTCAGGCAAGCGCGATAGGAAGTCGTGTTTGTGAGATATGTGCTGATTGTGTTTTGTAGGATCCTGGAGTTTGCAAAATTCTCCTATTCAGCCAGCTTTGGTTTCAAAAAAAAGAAAAACACATTTTATTTTATTTTACTACTAACTAACATTTATTTTGTCCCTATTATGTTTGATAACTGTTGTGTTAAAATTTCAAAGGCTCTCTTATTCAAATGTAGTTGGTCCAGTCGACGTGAATACTTGTATTGCTGTTCGAAAAATAACTCATTTGTAGACTCATGAAAACACAATCGTAGAATAAAGATGGTTTCGCTTTGCAAGGTTGCGAGAAATTTATTGAATTCGGCTAATCGCTGCATGTGGGAGGGTGAATAAAGATACTTAGGATATATTGGTAAGGTGAGCGTTATAATGTATTGCGGGTGACAGAGCTTAATGATAAGTCGAACAAGTGATGAATATTGTGCGTGTAAATGTTGACTTGGTGTTTGCTTCGCAATGTCATTCGTTGCTGCGAATAAAACTACAATTGGCCTAACACACATACTAGCTAATTGTTGGCGACGTTGTTTTAAAATTGCCTTCAAGTTGGCCGTCGTAGTTCCAGACACTGTTATGCTATTCGAATTGACCTTCAATTGTTGCATGTGCGAAGGAAGTTTATTTAAATAATCTCTGTACCTACAAAATTGGGAATCCCCTACCAATAATATCTCGGGTAATTGTCGTTGCATAATGAATAATGTACCTAACAATATGATGAACAACTTTAATGAGCGAAGCAAATGTAATGAGCAATGTAATGACAAGTTAATGAACAATGTAATGACAGGTCGGAATAAATAGCACAAATTATAGTAATACAAATTATGATACAAATGTAATACAAATGATATGAATTGTGGTGGTAGGCTAAATAGCTACAATTGTAAATCTGTTAACCTATTATGTTTGTGGAATGTTTGTGAATTCTCAATTTTTAGTCTGATGCGAATGACTGTAGTTAATATTGTACAGTGAATGTTACGGCTGTGTTTGTAAACAGTGACGATAAATAACCCGCTGAGCGCGCAGAATACCAGTTCAAGGTCACATATCGTCTGACTCTACTGTCCGCTGCTTATTCAGTTGCTTTGCTCTGACGCTCGGTCTGCTGGTAAGAGTATTACAAGTTGTAAGGTGTTTTGTTGAGAACTAATGAGAATGTGTTTGCAAAATGGTGGTGTAATAAACACAATATTGAAAAAATCCTAGTGACTAAGCAATGAAATTGAATTAAATATTTACCAATTAAATTCACTACAAATACTAAATTAAACTCGTGAATTAAACATACGGTGACATACTGCTGAAAATACACATAAATAATACTGGGTGAACTGAACCTAGTTAAACATCAATTAAAGCTTAATGATTCGTGTATTCAGATTTTCGGGATTTTTATTATTATTTTTTTTTTTTTTTTACGTTTACGATCAATGTTGAACAATTATAACTCTCTAACTCGTGGACATATTACAAAATGTTGCAAAGAATCTATTGTTGCAAAATAGTACCCATTTAAATCTCCTGTCCACAAATAAACAACACTTGATTACACTTAAAACTACGACCAGAGATATTGCTAGATCTGAAACTTCAAATATTGGTAACACAATAAATATTAAATATGACAATTATACAACAATTAATTAGTTACCAAGTAATAGACATGAACAAGATATGAAGTTTCTGGAAATAATCATTAAATTGTGTAGATCCAACAAACTTCCTAGATCATAGTAGAATAAAATATTTATTGCTAGCAATCAAGTACTATTCATTTTTTTGTCCTACACTGATCTATTAATATTTATTTGTATTTTTTGCCTGAATACACAAACTGACAAACTACAAAAGTAACAAAATTAACTATGTGATATTACTATGTGATATTACAACTTACAAACCAGCAGCTACGGGGAAAAATTGAAAAATCACTGGGCCTACACAACTATTTTCCAACTTTGATCGGAGTAAAATATATTTAGTAAGAGCTTGAACTGCAATGGAAACCGCCTCACGTATTGCGTAATCTCGACCGGTCCGCGCATGAGTCACTGTTTCCTGTTGGCTCAGGCTATCACACCGACACGAGACCGCACAACACGTGTAGGCAAATTTTATTTAAAAACATTTTTTGTGACTTCGGACCTGCTGAAATTGCGGTTTGTCTATAAAATTGGATCGAACGCTTTTGCTCTGCTACCACGTGCTGGGCCCATAACCCAGAGGTCCGTGGATCGGAACCACGCTCTGCTACCACTTGTGGCATAATGGTGCCACATTTTGGTGACCTGGTCATGTGAATTAAATTCCAGACCAAATCGTTCTTGTTGGAAACGTTAACTGAACACATTTATTGATGCAGAGGAGACAATTTACCGCAAATCACAGGCCCTAATAGCCAGCTTTGATGATTGTTTCATTAATTAATGCATTTATATCACAGAAATATGTACATTGTTCAACTTATGAAATAATTACTGTATGAGTTGACTGGACACAAAGTGAACTAATATTTTATTTAATGATGAATTACTAATAATGGAAAGAATGTTATAGTGAATTGATACCATGATCTGAAATTACATATTATCAATAATTAGTGCTACGACACAATACCTTAAGGGGGCGTCCCCCCATTTCCCAAGAACTTAGCCTTCCATGGTGTTTGCAGTCAGGAGCACGACACACGACAGACGTTTTTCACTCGTCTTACCCGCTTGCCTCCTTGCACATGCGCGAGCAGCGGTAGGGGTTGAGATTGGCGGGACATTCAAACAGTGTTGTGGAGATTGACTCCACAAGATAGTAACAAGACTAGGGTTTGGACCGTTCTCTTACAACAATATGTAAATGCCAATGGCTGACACAAAAATAAATAGCCTACAAGCATTATGTAAAAATTACAGAATATGGTATGATTTCATGATTCTGAGTAGGCATAGTAAAATAATTTATAAATAAAAATACTTTTTAAAAATGCTACGTTTTTAAACGCACTAAAAAGTAAGAAACGATTTATAAATATGTTGAGAGAATAAATCTTGTATGATTTAAAACGGAAAACGTGGGGCACATGCTAATTTATAATTAACCTCACCTATTGAACTATTATGATCTATTGCATGCGCCCCACGTTTTTCGTTTTAAATCTTACAAGTATTTATTCTCTCAACATATTTATAAATTATTTTCTACTTTTTAGTCTTTTAAAGTAAGATGTTAAATCTATTTTATATTGCCTCTTAATACATAACCAAAACCTTATTACCTGTAATCAGATGTTTTATCTTTACTTTAAAATGCTTGTTCTATATTTTTAGAATATCTCGGGAGCAGAACCTGTACCTCTTAACCTCTGCTCTTCGAACTGTCAAATTTAAGTACTTACATCTGACTTAAATTAATTGATATATTTGCATTTTTCAAAATGTAAACATGGAAAATTTGGAAGCCTATGGGGCATAGCCCAAGGGAAATATGAAAATTAAATTATATTATATTGCTTTTTCATCCATTTGTGAGCTATGTTTCATGTTTCAAGTATCTAGCTCATCGGAAAGTTAGTATAAAATTGATTGCAAAATTTGTACCGGACAAGAAAGCGAGCTAATAAAAACGTTTTAAAACCCTTTGGTCATCAGATAAAATCCAACCTTTCTCAATTTGTAATCCAAATATACAGAACCCTTAGCAAATCTATAATTTAGAAAACTCCTATAGGCCCTACTGTTGTTTTAGAAATCCTTGCCACAATTTTTCCAACAATAAAACTTATGAAGGTCGAGCCCATAAGAAAATTTATTAAGTTTCATACTCAGTTTAGTTTAAATTATGTTGAGTTAATTTAAAAAATGAAACCCTTTTGTTAATTCATTATTATTTTCCTTTGTTCTGTTATAGCAAGTTGCACTGGATATTCAGAAATTACTAATGTTCTAGCAAAGTTCTTTCAAAGAAAAAATATTTGAATGAATAACGTAGAATTTAAGTGAACTAAGTCAGTTAATCTCATTATAAGGCTAGCATTATTTCATGATCATTGTATAAGTTTCATTCATGTTAATATTAGCTTGAAATTGTCTTTACAAACTACTCAGTTTTTTATTTGCCCACGTTTGAAAAATTAATGTACTTTTGACACTATTGAATTTTAGCTCATACAGTAAAGCTAAATTATCTGGATTAATTAATCCAAATAACTGGTGAACTGGATTTACATTTGATTTTAGTCTTAAAGTATACGTACAATTCAAACGGGCCATATACATTAATAATACAGTATGGTAAACTGTCTTCTAATACATCTGACAATATGTTTTATTAATAGGCTCCTAAGTACAAGTTTTGTACTGTGAATGGTAGATTTCCAAAAGATAAAAAATCAAATGGAACTTAATATATTTAACTTATCATCACACTCAATAAGACACATACAATTGCCATATTCTAGCTTACTATTGTTTAAGGCTGCTGACAAAAGAAATTGGATGAAAGATGCTTTATATTTCCAGGAGAGATTCCGAGCCCTCCAAATAGCTCAAACCTGAACTACAAAGTTAATATTTACAAGGAGGAAATCACAAATGTGCATATCTTTTACTGGATTCAAAATCGTTAACTCATTTTTACCAAATGGGCGGTCCGATTGGTTATCTGATTTTCAGATAACTGACGCTCTAAAGGCCAGGATTGTATTTCCTGTAATAAGCTGTGATTTGGTTTTGCAGAGGCATGATGGAGTTGGTGGGTATCGTGGTTGGCCATGTTTACTTCTTCCTCAAGTACAAGTATCCTCAAGAGCTTGGTGGCCAGGAGTTTATTACCACTCCGAGCATATTGTGAGTATCACTGATAAATAAGTTGTTTTAGAACTCTGTAACTCATCTCATGAAAATTACTTAGTTAAAAAAGTTAATATTTTGTTTGAGGGGAAGACATCTTAGCTACCAATCAGTTCTAAGATTAACCATTCTTAACGATATACTTGTGAAGCCAAAGTTCAGGGTAACTGGTTAGTTTTCATTTTGCCTTGTATTACAGCATCATCAGATGTTACAGAAACTAATAGTTGGATTTCAAACAACAAACCAACTGAATAAAAAAAGCTCTACCGTTAAACATTTTTAACTAGCAATGACCGCTTGTTTCTCAAACAGTTAGCCATGCATACAGTCTTGTTTTGTACTAGTTTTGACTAAATTATTTTTGTACTATCGCTTTGTTATAGTCGCTCTTATTATTGCTATGTTCTAATATGCTGGTAACAGTTGTAACTTCCCAGAAATACCCCCGCCACAGCAAACCTGCAGACTAAGTGAATTTCCATTTACCTTGCTGGATTTCTACTAAAATATCCCCTTAACCCATTCCGCTCAATTAGCGGGGGAGCCCCGCCGTTCGTCATGGCCAGCATTGTGTGACTGATTATCCAGCTGCTAGAAACACTCACATGAGCTGGTATCTCAAGCCGCTGGAGGGTTTAAACAGTTTAATATTACAAGCGCTTGAAGAGTCACTAGCAGCTAGCAGGTCATGTGACCACCCAGCTGTGGTCTCTAGCGCCATTCCAGCTCCGTCTGAAAGTATCGTGCTAGTTCTCGCAATAAGAAAAATTAATTTAAATTAATTTAATACATTTAAACTAATCAAGAACCAATGTAAAAGTTCATGTAAAGAAATGTTGTCATGCATTGCCATAATTTTCTCGTTACGATTGCTACATCTCACCTATATAATTGACTATGTGCATATAACCTACGTTTACATTTAAGATTTTCTTTTTACTCCTAGCGGACCGTCCCCCTAAAGAGGTAGCGCATCTTTGAATAACGTGTTAAAATGATCTTAATCCCCAGTAACTGTCTACCAAGTTTTAAAGCTCTATCTTTATTACTTTTTGAAATATTTAACCGTCCCAGAACTTTTTTTCTACCCTGTACATGATAAAAGGCATACAAGGAAATAACATAAAATCAAAAATGATTAATAGAGAAATTAACAAATATTTTGGGGTCAATGGGTAAAAAAATCTTTGACATGTTATAAAGGATCAATACAGAGCACCATTGTCAAATTTGTTCATCTAAGTCTAGGATCAACAGGCACATTTTTAATGTATTCGTTGTTTCAGGTATCATTATTTCCCAAATGAAAGGGTGATGGGAGGTTTTGGAGCCGTCCCGACGAGGAGGGCGGGAGGCGACCCACCACCCAGACCCGGGGGTGGAGGCGGCTGGGGCGGATACAATTGGGGGCGGGGCAATGTACTAGGCGACCGCTAGCCTACCAAGACTGATAAGTGTGTTTGCCGCACTTAATATAACTGTTAAAGTGAAAGATTTAGACCACTGTTTTAACTTATTTTTTGTTGTCTTAAGAACTGTATTAGTGTTTATAACAGGCGGTCCATAAATAACGGCCTTTTTTTAGAATGAAGATGAGTTTAGAAAAATAACATTATTACTTACTTTATTAATATAGATATGTTACACATAATTGGATGCCGATTTCATTCATAGCAAATTATGTATTTCAAATTATCTCCACCGATGTCCACACATGAGTCCAATCTTTTTTTGAAAATTTGACTTTTAACCTGCAAAAGTCTTTGACTAAACATCAGATGGAATCTAGGATGGTCACCTAGATTGAGCTTCTGTGCTACAACCAGTATATTGGGATGGAAATGCAAATACGGTTGCAAAATAAGTTGTAAACTGGAGCTAGAAACACCTAGAGCAACAGAATTTTGTCTTGCTGATCATTTCGGACTTAGAAGAACAGATTCTCGTACTCTTCTGATGTGGCCCTTCTGTACATACATACTTTGATCCCCAATTTAACATCCATTTCAAGAGACAACCCCACCATGACAATTAGACATTAAAATGGTTTCGAAACAATATCTGGCCGGATGGGCAACAATCACAAACTTATTTTTATATTAAAAAATAAGTTTGTGATTGTTGCCCATCCGGCCAGATATTGTTTCGAAACCATTGCAAACATATTGCATATTAGCATCAACAGAAATGGCACGACAGAATAACATCTGTCCAACGAACCATGATTCATGAAACGGCATAATATGTGTTGTTTATTGCTACAATCAAAATGTTATGCATGATAACAGCTGAGTACTGTGATACCTATGTTTAAAACCATCCGTTATTTATGGACCAACTGTTACATAATAGATTTTAAAATTGGTATGTTGCCAATGACCAAAGCATGTATAAGTTTAATATCCGTGTTCTTGTGGTTAATGTAAGTACAAAGTTCTTGTTTGCATTTGGTTTGTTCAAAATAATAGCAACATTGTGTATGCCTAGTTGAGCTAATCAGAAATTAATATTTTGAAAATACAAATGCTGCCAGGAGTTACATAAAGGTTACATAAAATGAAACAATGAGAATGAATTCATAAAACCTCCATGGATTGAAACCTTAACAGTTTTAATGTCGATGAATGGATTATCCTCAGAACCAATCTGCAGATAAGGTTTTATTTATATTTATTTTACAATGTATATCGCACATTCTTTCTTGTTAAGTTTTTGCAATTCAGAAATGACTCGATTTTTATGAATTTTTAGGTGACTATTAATACACAAAATAGTCACGCAAAATTGCTATTATGTTAAGATTGATGTTTTATTTATTTTATTTTCCTATACGTTTTTTCTTCTAATTGTTGTATTAAATATGTGTTAAACATATAATTTTGAAACCTACACAGGTTTATTAAAAAGTCAAAACCAGATTTATTTTTATTTTACTGTAGTTTATAACATTTTTCAGCCACAATTAGATAACAAGCTAATTATAGCTAGGTAACTCAATTAAGTGCTCATCTGGTACCTAATCAAAAGATCAAGAATCAAGAAACTTTATTTCCACAAAATGCAAAGGTTACATTACTAGAAAACGTCACCTTAGAATAAGATAAAGTACAAGGTTTCTTACAAATATAAACAATTTCCCGAAACTCCCCATGCAGAGAAACAAAACAGCACACTTCACTTGGCATAACAATTTAAAAAATTTACTTACAAATTCTTCTTTTAGATAAAATAAATCTTTAGGCCTGTACAAAGGGTCTGCCAAAAGGAGCCCCTCAACCCCTTTCTTGAATTTTGGGTCTGGCAGGTTCCGAGCTTCAAAAGGAAGTTTATTAACAAACTTGTAACTAAGTACATCATTTGACATCTGAACCTTACTTAACTAACATGTGGTAAATTAAGATCATTTTCCTGCGTGTATTGTAGGAATAGATGTGGCCTCTTAGCTCATGAGAATTCCACTCCTTGATTTTGAGCAAAGACTGAAAAATATAAAGGTTACAAACGGTCATTATGTTTTCAACTACAAGTATTGGTCTACAATGATCCAAGTAATCAGCACCAGCTACTATTCTAACTGCTTTCTTTTGAAAGCGCAGAACTCTCTTGACCCCAGATGCGGGCACCCCAGAGCCATAAAATAAAATACTCTGAAAGAAAGCAATACAAGAAGTTTTCAGCCAGTCTTTTGGTACAAAATATCTTAATCTTCTGAGTAGACTCAGAGCTCTGGAAAGTCTAACACAAACATGGCTAATCTGTTCCAGTTTACTTTGAATTCCAGTTTACTTGGAAATCTAGAAGTTTGACAGATTTTCATTATAAAATGGAGATGTCCGTTGGAAATAAATAAATAAATTATGTTCTAAATTTCTCAGACTAAAGATTATCAACTTAGTCTTAGTTTCATTTAGAAAAAAGTTATTTGCTTTGAACCAGGCTGATGCCCCCTCAATAGACCGTTTCATGGCTTCCTCAATATCTCCAAGCTCATTGCTAGCCTCAAAGTAGTAGTTTGGTGCCCCAAACACAAAGCGTGATCATTTAGCATAACATTAAAAAGTAAGGGACCAAGAATTGAGCCCTGAGGTACACCATGGGTCAATTGCTGTACACTGGATTGTCCCCTTAACACCATAGAAATTTAACTTTCCCAGGAGAGTGTCATGATTAATCATGTCAAAGGCTGATGTCACAAAAAGTGGCCCCAGCAAAGCCCCCATCCTCAAAATACTGAAAAGCAGCTTTTATTAACTTATCAACTGGGCCTGAAACCAAACTGGGCAGCTGATAAAAAATGGTTTTCCTACAGTTACCTAACAATGTACATGTTCTCTCACTGATATGAGAAAGCAAAGTGGCCAATTCGTCAACTAAAAGATAATGTGTAATCAATCACTCCACTCCAGTTACCGAAACCGAAAACAAACTCACTCTGAAAACTAACACTCTTGTGTGTGTATTATGTGTTAACCATGAACAGCTGTAATTAATACAAATTATTCGTCTGTTTAAGTAAACAAAATATTTTCTTCATAAGAAATGCATTGGGATTTTGATGGCCTGAGGGGCAAAGCCGAGGACATTACAGGAATTGGTGAAACGGGCCGTCTCCACAAAAAATACTTAATTTTGTAAAAATACGTACATTATTAACGGAGGAGTAGTATTTCGTAGAAATCGCCTGCATGTATTATATATAAGGATTCTCTGTCAGGTTGGAATTACAGTACCTTTCTTGTGAAATGGCACAACCCTAGCAATTTTAAAAACATAGAGGAAAATATCTTTTAATATACAACAATCTATACAATATGTTAAACGCCGATCTCAAGAAAAGTCGGCTTTTTTGTTGGATCAAAACTGTACCCAGCTGTTCTTAATCAAATGGGTTTTCAAAAAAATTATCAAGGCTAAAAATACAGCGAGTTTTCGAGTAAAAACCTTGACGCATCTCTCGCCACTTACACATGTTTGGGTTAAAATACGCCTAGTGGCATTTCTAGCCTAAATGGTTGATAAAAATGAAAAACTTATCAACATTTTTACCATGCCTAGAGTATTTGACCCTAATGCTGAGCCACTGATTGGTCTATTATTTGAGCCTTATTACACGAGGTAGCCAGCGACGAAACTGGCTGCTCAGTTCGTCATGGGGCATTGATTCTTATGTATGCGATTACAAGAGGATAGCCAACGACGTAGCCAGACTTTGGTGACCGGCTGGCTACCAAGCCCCGTCGCCACTGGCTATAAAAAACCGGAAACATTCTGGCTACTGACTTGGGCTACTAGGTTTGGTAGTCAATGTGTCACCAGCTACTGTTGCTGGCAACGTCGCCAGGCTACCTCGTGTAATTTGAGCCTTTGAGCTTCCCACCTAATATGCAAACCCCACACAGCCAGAAGTTGTTAGTTGATCCATATTGTCGAGAATGTTCGATTTTAAGTTATATATATATATATATATATATTTCAGTTCCTTATTAAATTCCGAATCACTTGGTGCAAGTCCAATGCATCTACAATTTTGTTTGTTAAAGTTATACGACTTTGAATAATTTATCTATGTAAAAAGGTAATTTTGAGAAAAATATTATTTAACAATTTCAAATATGCATAAAAACAGATTTTTGTTGTATTTAAGAAACGATTTTGGTATCAAAAGAAAGTGTATAATGTCCTCTTTGGAGGCAATACCAATTTTTGTCTTAACTCACAGTAGTTTTCATTTAAATTATTACTAGTGTACCTGTTGCTCGAATTCGAGCAATTTAAAGCATTACAGGCGTTATTTTAAAACAAATAACGGTCATAATTTCCGATGACTTTATAAAAGTCGACTCAAAGATTATGGAAATACTCACGATGTACACAACAGTTAGATATAATCAAAATTGTTTGTAAATATCTTATCTTTTTTCAAAAGCTGATCTTGTTTTTTAGAGTTTTCTACAAATGTTTCCCACTCATAGCCGCATTAGGTTCTCTATAATAATGATTATAAATGAAGAAAAAAACATTATTTCTATTTCTTCTAATTCAGTTTTATTTTTAGTGGGCCTATATCAAATTGTCCATGATTTCAAGTTTTATCCCATAGTAATAATTACACCAACCCAAGTATCGTCTACAGATGCAATACGCCAAAGAATATCATCTACGTGCAACACGCCTACGTACAATCTCCAAAAAGTGGTAAAAAAAAGGCAGAAACCAACCCATACAATAGACATAAGTTAACTCCATAAGAAATAATTTTAAGAGTTACTGTGATATCAGGATTTTCCACTGATTTGGATTGCACATTATAACATTACAACATTATTGCAAAACATGACACGATTCAAAAGACAATTGATTTTAAAATCAGAAAAAAAACTTTGCAAATACTTCATTTTGACAAATTCAGTAAATCACAATTTAAATATTAACAGCTGTATCATTAAAAAGTAGTGTAAAATTATGCATATGGTCATAATGTAAACTAATCTGCTGAGGGAACTTTAAAGGCCTCAGGGGCAGAGCCCCAAGAGAATTTACCTCGTTTCTCTTTTGATGGCTCATCTACAGACCAAGACCTTTCTTTAGAGACGCCTACCAATTTTCTACGCCCAGTCGTTCTCTGAAATTAGCTGTGACAAAAACCCGTTTTTCCCCCATAAGAATAACATGGGATGGGAATTTAAAGGCCACTGGGGCAGAGCCCCAAGGGAATTTACCACGTTTCTCTTTTGATGGCTCATCTACAGACCAAGCCCTTTCTTTAGACACCTCTACCGAGTTTCTACGCCCAGCCGTTCTCTCAAATTAGCTGTGACAAAGAAAAACAGTTTCAAATTAATATATAGATTTTACTGATGCATGTCATAAAAATCACATTCCAGAAAAAGGACCTCTTGTCGGTCCTATGCTATTTCTCTATAACATAAAAAAGGTACCTCTTGTCGGGACCGCAAAATTTGTGAGATATTTTGTCCTCCCTCTCCGTAAACTGAACTTTGTTGTAGTACTCTAAATTTCCACTAGAATGCAGGACAATTCATTTTTTGGACTAAAGTCTGTTTATAAAGTGAATATTAGAAATGGGACCTCTTGTCGTTATGACGAATTAACATTGAGCGACAACAGATACTTTTTCTCAGACCGTGCGCTAACAAAATGATTTATTTCGACCTTTTACATCTTCGATTCAATATTTTAACCAATACTGTCCTGTTCCGTGTTAAACAAGGTATAACAATCGATAAAAAACCGAATTTCAATATTTTTAACCTTAATTACTTATATCGGCAGTACTAAAAATTTTGAATCGCCGACAAGAGGTCCCTTTTCGCTTTCCACATAACACATATTTTTTTATTTTTTATTCATGTAAATGGTTATTGATTTTTAAATTTGATGGAATTAACTAAATACTCACTTACATTTGACGATCATGCAACTGTTAATCATATTCTTTTGTATATAGGAAATAAGCCATACTTATTTTTATCATAACTTTTTGTTGCTTATATAGTGTTACATTAAAGGAGTCACACTGTTTTAAATTTGTATATAAATAAATATACATTATTTGTTTCCGAGTGTTTTTGTTTTTACTTTCCTTTCTAGATTTTTTTTTTTTTTGTTTGCTCGCCTGTAAACTTTAAATTTATATGAATCTGTGAAATGATAAAACCAAACTACTAAGGTTTTTTTTATACATCAGATACAGTTCCTCAAAGCAGGAGAGGTATCTGAGAGAATTGCTGTTTGTTGTGTAAATTTAGAAAGTTTTTTAACTGCCCCAACCAACTTCAAACTGATTACACTTCAACTTATAACTATTAATCAAAATTAGCCTTTTAACAATCGTATTACTATAGGAAATGGATTTTTGCAGTAGCGGAACGGTGCACCTGGCTCAGAACCGAGATATAGGCCTACCAACTACACGTAGCAGAATTGTTTGTTGTAAAAAATTATGTAAAATTTACTAATTTAGTTTTTTTACTTGTTGAGGCTAATTTTTTGCAGTCTGCTAACTTGTGTAAAAACTTACATACTGTATTTAGTATATTGAAATACTTAAGAAATAATAAGTACAGACATATTCACCAGAATATTATTTTGTAACCAACAGATATTGTTTCTTTTATAGTGCATTTTAGGTTGGGATGAAAAAATAACCAAAGACGAATATGACTAAACATTTTAAGATGCTGTTAAACAATAAACCATTGCTGTACAAATACTTTTTGTATATAAAAAGGCCTTATTTCATAAAACAGTGTTCTAAATCAAGTCTTTGATAATTGATAAACCACTTGTCTTTAAACCTTTCCTAAATAAATAAATCAAATGGATTTCAGTTCATGCAGAAATAATCTTGCATGGATCCATACTAATAGCAGATGTAACTTTTTAAAGACTCGCCTGCTTTGAGAGAATTGCACAAATAGTCACCATATCTTATGAGGTTTGTTTTCTTAAATTTTGTACATTTAACATAATTATGAAAAGCATTGTTTTCAAGCAAGTGTTCTTCATTCAACTATCTTATAACATTGCCAGAAGTAGTTGGTCGTGCGTTTCTGGCGTTTATTGCTCTTCTTCATTCTCTACAAATATCAGGCAGTTTTTGAGAGTGCATATTCTGAAATTTTCATTAAATGACACTCTTATGCCAACTAGGTATTTTCTTGTAAAATGAAAACCCAAAAAACTATTTATCCGACTTGGCCAATAATAAAACCTAAGTTGTTGCTAACACAATAACATTCAATACAAGTGTTTGCCAAAACGATGATATGTATCATCAAAAATATTCCAAAGTAAATAATAAGAAAGCATGTTCATAATAGCCTATTTAGATAAAAATATTGATTTGAGAATTCTTAGTTATTTAAAACTGCAGAATCATGTAGTTCCCCAGTACTGGGGGACTTGCCAGGACCGAGCCATGGCTTGGTATAGTTAATTTCGATTGTAAAAGCAATATGAAGGAAACTCAAGTTTTATTTACAACTAATTTTGGACTTAATTATTTGAGTTCCAGTGTAATTTCAATTTATTATGATGAAAAATTTAACCTGGCAATCTACAACACATTATTTTATTTTACAGTTAATGTTAGAAATCACTCATATAGGGGAACTATTTTCCCAAAGCATTTTAGTATTGCAGATACTTTAATCTAACTGCGACAAACGGTTCCAACTCTCCACACTGCTTGCTTTTACTACTTCCTTCACCACTTCCTACGTTGTGGACCTATTTCCCTCCCTTCCCATAGCATTTTAGGATTGCAGATACATTAATCAAACTGGCACAGACAGTTACAGTACCACACTCCGGACTTCCCGCCTTTACTACTTCCTTCACCACTTCCAGCATCGTGGACCTGTTTCCCTCCCTTCTCACAGCATTTTAGGATTGCACATACATTAATCTAACTGCCACAGACCGTTCCCCCACTCCGCACTGTTAGCCTTTACTACTTCCTACGTTGTGGACCTTAAGTTTGTCATTTATGAGATGGATCCATGAATGTGATCCACCGACAAATTGTTTAAGATAAATGTTATTTGTTATAACCTTAGTTAGCTACGTTGTTATGTATTTGATGTAATAATCACAGTTAAAAAAAGAGTTTATAAAGACGGTGACACACTATCAATCTTTTCCCCTGAACAAGACCTCAAACCGAGCAGGGAGAAGAGAAAGGGAGCATGTTCGATAGTGTGTCAGGGGTCCGTGCACCGATCCAGACATCAGGCCGAGCAGGGAGACGAGCGCCCTCTGGAGGCGGTTTTTTAGCGAAAGATCAAAGAAAAGATCAGTCCGATGTACGGAGTGATGTACGATAGTGTGTCACGGTATATTTTTGCCCTGTACATCGTCGCAAGCGCCGCACCGAGCGGCCGCCTGCGCTAGCGTTGATAGTTCTAATTTTATATGGCAAATAAACTCTTTAATTAGTAAAAATAAATAAATGTTGGGTAATATTGCGCTCGGTAGAAGATGTCTGGTGTTGGTCTTGTTCGGATTGAAATTTTGCTTATATTTACCTCCTTTCTCCCTGTTCGGTTCGGGGAAAATATCGATAGTGTGTCACCGTCTTTATAAACTCTTTTTTTACTGTGATTATTACAGGTAAAGTCTAGACTTTACCTCAGCCCGGTCACGATCGATTGTCAATGTCCCTTCGTGTTTTTTGTAATGTGTGTCCGTTCCGTGTATCGTGTTTTGTATATGTCTTATTTATTGAACTCTGTTATTAACGACCTTCGAATGAAGTGATTATTTGACACCTTGAGGCCTGAAGATGGTTCAATAATTAACCAAAACTAGTTGCCAAAATCAGCAACAAAGGATTACTATATGCAGGTACTGTAAACCATTTTAAGTATAATACAGTAATCCGGAGGCTAAACAACTGTTTTTTACTGTGTTTAGGTCGTGGCTTGATTTTAACTTTCAACATATGCTGTGATTCTTTGTTTTGTTTACATTTATGTTGTTATTTTGTAACCATCATGGCAACCCTTAAGGCCAATGTTAAAAATAAAAAACTTTGATATACTTTTAAATGTTTAGGCATTATCAAATATTAAAATTTGTTTAGTCTAAACATTCCCAACATTTGGTAAGTGTGTTGCATTGAAGTTGATCCCAAAGAGCTTCGCTTTGCTCCGCTCAATAAAATATTTGGTTTTACATTACCTTTTATCAGTTCCAAAAGTAACCTTTGTCAACGTAAGAGCTGTAAGGGGTACAAATAATGTTTTTTGTAGTTCTGTTAAGTTTTGGAATGAAAATTTATAGTTTAAATTTTGTCAAGGTAAAATGAGTATTGCTCATAAAATGTCAGTAGCTTACAAATATTATAGGCCTAAACTTAAACAAAGTAGGAGTAACGTAAAGTGGTCTTTTCTCAAGAGCCATATTATAAGGATGCTGAAAACGTATTAGCAACTTAGCCTAAAAATAATGCATAATTATTGAGAGAACAAGGTTTGAATAAAATTGCTGGAATCATTTAAAATGAATTTGTTTTTATCTGTAAAAGTTATTTACATTATTTACAATTTATATTACACAATCGTATTTTAAGTTATTAAATTTGTACATGTAGAAGTATCTATGCATAGGACGATAGAATGAGATCACGGTCTTCACAACCAATCTACAGTCTCACCAAGGAGATATTGCTATTACTTGGTTACCCACTATTCAGTACCACGGTGAGTTCAAATAAAAAGACAAGACAATGTAATTTATATTGCTCGTTACAATATAATAAATGCTCAGTAATAGCTCCGAATTAAAATTGTAACCAGACAACATGCAATGAAAAGTTCTATAGGATAATAAATAATGGACAATATTTGCCAATGGCTTACACATTTTGCTATTCGACTTAATTCAGTAGGCCTAAAAACTTAGCCCAGTTTACATATTATGTAAAATAAACAAACTAAGTTCAATAAATTACATTCTTATAAAAGAAGCACCAACAATTTTTTCAGAGAAAGATACACACAACTAATAGGAAACTAATAAAAATATCAGTTTCTTATGTAAAAAATTACTTAACTATGGCACCAGCAATTTTCATGAGTATTAAAATAGAAACATTTGATAAAAGATATACACCTAAACCGTAAACATGGTGGTCAAGTTAAGTACGGTGGCTAATCTTAAAATATCAAGTTTAGTATCACTTTCTTAGGAATGCAACTGCAACTTGCTAGTTTTTTTTTCTTTCAAAGTCAAGTTAACTAAAATAAAGGATGATTTCCTTCTGGAAGGTTACTGGGAATAAACGAGACTGATAGGTTTTCTGAACGCAGAAAAAGCGAGATAGCATAGGAACTGGCACTTAACGTAAATAATACTTAGAAAACCATTGGAACTACATATCACATGGATGTAAAGCTAGCCGACTGAAAATACTGCTGCGAGCCTCAGTGGTTTGCTGCGATTGTCCAACATTTCGTTCCTGTTAAAACCTTAAAACTTCCAAACAGTTAAAAATTGTTTTAAAATTTTTCTTACTCATTATAAGCACAACTAAAGGAGGGGCCTATTAAATTAAGAGGACAAATTGGACATTGCGTATTTTAAAATATACAATCAATCTTTTACAACCTATAATGACATTTAAAAACACAGTTTTCTTCACAAATAACTTTGTTATCCGGTGAAAAATTACCAGAAATAATAACCGGAAACGTTTTACGACTAGACAGAAGGGGCGGAAGGCAGTCAGTTCGATGTCGGGCTCTACGAAGAACCAACGAAGCAGCGATAATAAATAAGGCAGGTCAATATAAAACTAAAGCACAATATAAACACATATATACACTAATGGGAACATCTGAACGCAGCCAGACTCAGACTCATGGTAAGTAACTTGGTTTGTGCCCAATAAATAATCATACTTAAAGCTACAAAACAGGAAGATAACACATACAAAACAAAACAATCTAAACTATTCACTATGAGTCCTGCATGTTTTAGTCGTGTCTTATGCCAGCATCGTGCGTTTGTGGCAACTGCAAAGAGAAAGTTATAACCATGCAATTTCTAAACAATTTGATAATCCCTGTCATTTACTTCAACCTACAACTCTTACATAACTCTGTTCATTCACCACAATTACTATTTCAGCATTTATTATTTTACTTTATTATTTGAGTGATTTTTGTAATTTTGTACAACTGACAAGTATTTTTAAAACCTGGACAGGACATGAAATCTTAACCATTACTATGGGAAAAATAACACAGACTTTTAATAGGATAACTCATTGATAATCCAGTTTTCTCTATTCAAAGAGAGTAAAGAGACCCTTAGTGCAAACACCACATTAAGTGGGACAAGATACTTACAACGTGTTTAATTGTAATTTAGTTTTGTTAAAGGAAAGGCTCTAGGCCAGGATTTTAAATTGTAGAAAAAGGAGGATAGCAGCTAGCTTACCTTGAAAGTGTGGGTAGGCCATAGAACAAGTAGAAAAAACAAATAGAAAAAAAACACTGTGGTGTGCACAGTGTTTTTTCTACTTGTGTTATGGCCTACCCACACTTTCAAGGTAAGCTAGCTGCTATCCTCCTTTTTCTACAATTTAATTGTAATTTAATACAATTAAGTAATTAATTGATCTAATATGTTATAGTATGGGTGGCTGAGTGGTTATGAAGCCCACCTTCAAATCTGAAGATTGTGATCTGAACCCAGGTGCTACCAATTAATGATACTATCACACAAAGGGTCAATTTTAGATATTAGAAAGACAAGGTTTTGGACAAAACATAAAAAAATAAAGTAAATTACCTAAATTTTGAGGTAGTGGACGTAGTTTAGAGTAGAGGGCCCTAGGTTTTTAGGATTTTTGTGAGGATTGCAGGCTTACCTAAATAGGAAAGGGTCTAATCTGGTACAAGAAACACAAAACTCTACACTATACACACTATGAACTAGTAGTGTAAAGTTTTGTGCTTCTTGTGCTAGTTTTCCCTATCCTCAAACAATACTAATAACCTACATTTTGTTTCTTTATTGACTAATTTTAAGTCACCCCTGATAAAAAAAAAGATTTAGTGTAATGGTTATGAACCATACTAACATGGTACAAACTAAAATAATGGTTTGTGGTGAATCAACAGGGAGTCCTGCATTATAATTATGTTGAATTCATGAAGTTTGAATCTAAAAAAACCATGGAGTGAATTAATTAGGCATTTAAAACATTTAAACTATTCAAAAACAAAATTTTTGGTATAATTATTTCAAAACAGTTTTCTTGTTATTTATTAAAGAGAGGATTTAAATGCACCTATGGTGTATACAAATGAGCAAGTTGACTAGGAGGCAAGAGTAAAGATTGACTTATTTTGAGAAAACAATTTAGCATATAAATTTTTGTAAAAAACAGGCTGGCAGCCTCTTTTACCTTGCATTTGCCTGACCACATGAACATCAAACGCCCATATGTGGAAGTAAAGATAATAGAGCCAGAACAGTACAGGAATGATACATAGGTACCGATAATGTTGTGAGACATTATCAGACATTATAATGCACACTGAAACACGAACCCAGCATATTTCTGTCTTGGTTTCATGGCCAGTGCAACCAATTGAGCGGCTAAACTTTATAAAATTACACTTAAGGACTTTTTTAATAGTAATTTATATCAGCAAATCAATTTTAGGGTTATCTATCAGCAAGTTATCTAAATATGAAGACAAAATACAAGATATCATCATAATAATTATAGTTCATAATGCTTTACTACATATCTCCAAGACAACTTGACCAAAAGTTATCTAGGCATGATTTTTGGGTCGACAGAAGATCAGTAAAATTAATATTTAGCATCAGGCATATATCGACTTCATGTCACTAACAGAGAGAAATTAGACATTTTGCAGATGCAAGTTCACATGTTCACTGAGTCTCAAATTATTCAAATACCTTGAGAAAGCGGGATGGAAAACAAAATATATTTAATAAAATTAGATAATTTCAACGCACAAATTCAAACAGGCCTGCATGTGAAACTAAAAAAGGTGCAACATACCGGCGTGAAATATTTAAAAGTAAGACTCTCAACCATTTTTATTTTACAATAAATTTAGCAGTAGGCTAATTTAATTTGTATTAGTTTATCAGACAGTGATATCTATTTGTCATCAAACCACAATTGATGCGTTCAGAAGTCAATCTGACTAAGTCCAATTTTTGTTCAAATCGAGTTCATAAGCCTTCTTTCACACCAGCGCGGTGCGACGCCGTCCCGCACCGTCGATGCGGGACGACCCGCAAGGCCCTTTCACATTAGCTGCCCGGATCCGGGCGTTTCCAGGCTGAAACTTTGTGATTTTTGGATGCATTTAATTCAAATAAATATGCTACTTGTTGTATTCGAAATTAAAATACAGTGCCCCCTTGCTAAATAACTTAATTGGATCGATGCCGTGTGTGTAAAAATGCCAATTCATTGTATTTTTAAAAGTTATGGTGACACCTGTGGGGTAACGGATCTTAAACTTCTGTAGAATGTCCACGGCATAACTGATTTCAAATCTAAATACACCTCTCGCCATGCTTCAGTTGCTACAGCTAACTATGGCATGCTTTCACAGTTTTAGCAAATTCTTCCCTATAGAGAAGAAGCGTATTTTATAGGTCGCTACACTACTGTGAAATGACTTGTTTTCGTTGTATGCTTATCATCTGCGAAAATCTGTCATCGCATTGTTTATTACGGCTAAAGAATGTTTACTATGCAAAAGTAATGTTTACTATTGTATCTGTTTTGGATTTGACGTAAACAAACAAATATTTGTTATTGTTTTATCGACTGAAATTTTGATAAATATGGATATTTATGCACATATTGTAGGCTGTTTAAGTTTAAACAACACTACATTTCTTTCCATATACTTAGAAGAACATGTAAGTGTTCGTTAAACCAAATGATTTATATTAAATAAATCATGCAGGTTTAATCAAATCGTTTGTACAAATTTAAACATGCAAATGAAAGATGGTTTGCTGCAGTGGGGGTTTCGTTATACACACTGGCTTTCAAACTAAACCAAAATATAAAGCTTGACCAAACTAATCACCTCTATATAAATTTCAACCTCCATACCAAAAACAACAACTTCCCAAGTTAACAAGAGTACTACAAAATCAACCACACTCAACCACTATGGACGGAGACTGTCAAAAATACTGATTTATGTGCGGGCGAAACCAGCCCGTCCCGCACAAGTGTGAAAGCGTACATAAGAGCCCATGATCTAAACACGATACATGCGGTTCCGTCCCGCATTGGAAGTTTAGGTTCGTGCGGGTGATTTTTCAACCCGGACAGAGGTTTAGGTCTATCCGGGTGAACCCGCACTGGTGTGAAAGCTCCCATATGATTCAATAGTATAAACAGCTTCGTCCGGTGCGGGACGGTCCCGCACCGCGCTGGTGTGAAAGAAGGCTTACATGGTTAGATTGCTTTTGTAAAGGATTTTCAGTGGCCTCAGAAGTCAATCTGACTAAGTCCAATTTTTGTTCAAATCGAGTTCATAACATGGTTAGATTGCTTTTGTAAAGGATTTTCAGTGGCCAAGACGACTAACTCCATACTTCATTAGTTTGCCGCTAGAATGCGCTAAATGTTATACAAACTGAACCTTTCCCCAGCTGTTTCGGAGGCCAGTTTTTTTTATTAACTCCATGTTTCCATAACAACTGTCAACTAACTGATGTTTCATGTTGAACTGTCATGGTAAAAGGTTTTTTTTGCTAAGTTGTTGTGCTAAGAGCTTTATAGTGCTTTTGTATGATGAGTTCTTTCATATCTTGCAAGGCGAAGTTGAGAGTGACGACAAATGCATTACCAACGCAGAATGAAGCTGCTTGTATTAGCATGAAACCCATATTTATGTTTTATCAAATGCCAGAATTTGTATTTAAATGATTTGCAATAATACATTGTTCTTTTTTATTTGATCGAGTTTTACTTTTTGAGTATTTGTTAAACAAAGTAACTTTTATACAAACCACTCAGAATGTTTTGTTGAATCTTTTCTGTTGGCAATGTGACTAACTCCATTGAAAATGACTATATTTTTTTAATTTCAAGAAATTTTAATTTTACAATAACGTAAGTATAGGTTAAAAAGTTGGCAATTATTGTAAGACATATGTTGAGGTTGAGCCTAGTAAAAATTTGCTAAAAATCTCTCAGAATTTTCCATTCAAAGATAACTTTAATTCTCTATAGGCCGACTGCACATTTTCGTTGATAGGACTTTGTCGGATTGACTTCTGAATGCCTCAATTATGTAAATTTGAGTGATGAATAAACATTTCATTTCATATTTATGCATTTTATGGATGTTCTCCTGCCAGTCAAAGTTAAAAGCTCTAGCCCACTGGTGAATTTTCTTATAGGGAAAGATCCCTAGGCAGCTCGGAAAGGCTTAGACTAGGGACCGGTATACATTTTTATTTTGATGTCCCCAGAGGACAAGAACACTATAAAGTTCAAATTTTGATATCTATATGCGTGTCCCTGAACACCATAACTAGAGTAAAATTTTGGTCATGAAAATGTAGAGCTGGATAAACATGAATGAAAACTTGAACCAGTAAGATCGGGTCACAGAAACGGGCTGTTATGGGGTTTGAAAAAAAAAATGTTTTAATTTCAAATTTTCACCTTTGAAACATGGAAATACCTAATTTGCTATTAGAGCCATCATGTACAGCTTAAAAAAAGAATTTTATATATTGAAGCATTGATGGACAATTCATCGCTTACATGAGACAAACTGTCTGAGAACCTCTGTCTTACAAGCATCGAATTAAAAGGTTTATCATTTTATTCTTACGGAAAAAATAAAGTTGTTGTGGTTAACTTGTTTACTATGTACATTTTATTGTTTTGATCAAATTTGGTAAATTATTTATATCACATTACAATATTCAAATCTCGAAATCTCACTAAAAATCACTGTTACTTTCCCTGTAGCAGTAAACCAAAGTACTCATTAAACCTAATGTTATTTAAATACAGAATAAATGTGGCACATTTCAGTAAAAATACAATCTCGCAAATGGAAATTCGCTCAGTCTGCGGGTTTGCGGAAGTTATTAATTTCGGCCCTAAAAGTGGCTTCAACAAATTAGGAGGATTCTGACTTCATCGCAAACTATCTAAAAATGATAATCAATTATAAAATATTTATGAATATTGAGTAGAAACATTTTGTGCATAGTTAAAACTCAGTGAACATGCAAATAAGATATTTTGTAGTCACAGAATCTTTCTGTAATTGCATTTTTTTCTTTTACTAGCAACCCCTGTCAAACCAACCTATCTTTAAAAGTTACAAAGTTACATTTTCTATGAGTGATTTTTATGAAATTACTGTTCGATAAGATATTTCTGAACCATATAAAACATTTATAAAATATGATTTTAACTATCGAGCAATTAAAAACAACTTTAAAACAAAGGCACACATCGAACATGCCCTTGAAAAATCACTCTTTGATTTTTCATGTTACAGCACAGTTCATAACTTCCGGTAAATTTTAACAAATTTAACATCAACGAATGGAAAACGATTCTCCGCAAGTGGACTTGCCTCGGTGGAGCTTGTGGTGGGGGGGCGGGGGCAGGTCAAGACGACAAGATGCTGCGAACAGCCTCGTCTATCACCGGGTCTGACCCTTTGTTTCCGAGGTTTAGGATACTGTCGATTGCATTCTGCACTTGTGCGTTGATCTCCTCGTCATCTGCACAGTGTTTCTTGACGCTGACTCCGTCGTCTGCCTCCTCACGTTCCCTCTTCACTGCTCGGTCGTGGCTGCGGGTCAGCTGATCACCCCCACCACCGTGGTTGTGGTGATGGTGTGAGTGGTCCTCCGGCTCCTTCTTCACGACTACTGGCGATGTCTTGTCTTCTCGTTCTTTTTTAACTGGAGCAAAGATTATCGATCAAACAATGAAGACAAGATATTACTTGTAAAATATACACTACTGTGAACTTGTTTCCCTTAAAAACCCTTACTCTATTAGGCTTAAGGACTTAATAACCAGAATTAAACTCTTAGGCATTTATTAAATGCAGTAAGAAACCTGATATATCAGAAAATATCAATATTTAACTTACCCCAATAACAATTATGTATTGATATTGATACATTACAGACCTGTAGATCCGATTTTCTATTTTATGATTTGGTCAGGGGTCTCACTGGTCAGGTAACAATTTAACTCCTTATATCAGTGGTCGAAGCACAAGTCAAGTAATCAAAGTAACAGAACACATGGATCCAGGAATCATGAAGATAAGATAAACAATTGGTTTTTCTATTCTAAGGTCCAGTTTTGATACATAAAAAAATTACTGATTTTTGTCATGATCTGGAACAGACGGCCTAATTGTTAGGCAAGCACTATACCCTTCACCTACTCACAGGTATGGGGGACCCAACGTTATATTTACCTGGAGGTGTAGGAGCGCTGGCTTCCAGCTTGACTGCCTCTAGTCTGGCTGTCTCATCACTGACAAACATCCGCCCCAGCATGATCAGCTCACTGGTCTGTACTTGTCTCTGTCACAACAACAAAAAAACTAAGTAGGGTCTGCGGGTCAGACTTCTGGTTGATAATTTTGGCCCTCGAGTCTCGGGCCAAAAATCATTAATTACCGGATATTTTTTGTTTTAACTCCTATCTGTGTTTATAATATTACTTGATAACAAAATATGAAAAAGGTCGTATTTATGTATAAAGTTAATAGATTGGAATTGATTGCACAAGAAATGAATTTAGATTTTCTCTGTGTAACTGAACATTTTTGCAAAACTCATGTTACAAGTCTTTTGTTTACATTTCCCTTGTTATTTTTGTTCAACCAACATGCTTACACAAGCGTCTAGGCAGCCAGTGCAACTCCGAGGATCGTGGATCAGAACACCCCCCACCACCGCACCATGTCGTACGCTTCTGAATCATACCGGAGCATCAGCATAGCCTATCTTATCTTATCTTATCTGACAGGGGCAGGTCGAGACCTTAAAGCACTTAATCCGAAATCGAATTATTGCGCACCCCAGATACTTAATTGCATAGCCTAACTGTTCGCAGAAAATTTTTATCTCTATCACTGTCACTGTCAAAATGCATCATTTGTAGGTTAAATTTAAATTAAATATAATTAAACTGTCATAACCTAACCAAACTTGCTGATAATGAAAAACTCGAATGAAGATTTATTAATCGAAAAAATAGTTCTGTTCTAAAAATAATATTATAAATGTCTCAAATTCAATTTTATAATTATGAAATTAAACTGTCATAACCTAACCAAACTTGCTGATATGAAAAAAAAATGTTCACAAAAAGTTAGTGCTACCAGCGGGATTCGAACCCGGCACCTTCAGATTATCACGCTATCCACTACACCACCAAGGCTCATGACTCAGCTCCATATCGTTGCGGTAATGGTTGCAGCACGCCATCATCACGGAGCGGTGTTGGGGGGTTTTCCGATCTGATCCACGATCCTCGGAGTTGCACTGGCTGCCTAGACGCTTATACATGGTTACTTAGCATTATAAGGCCAATGTTAAAAATGTTGACTTAATTTTTTTTTATGTAATTGATTAGGTTTTTGTTGGTAGTTTTAACTGGAGTAAACACCTTTTTAGACCAGAAATAAATTATTTACAACATTTGAAGGAAATCGTCGAAGCTGTTTACAAGATCTTTGTGCAAGCATACATACATACATGCAAACATTGCTCATATAAGAGTATAGAAGTTGTTACTATTCTGATCACTGATCAGTATTGAGTTAATGGACAAATTGAAATGCATTTAATTAAGAAACTCATATAATACAAATCAAATTGAAATGCATTTATTCTTGAGCACTTCCTGTACTTCCTAGTAAAATTTGTGTAGGCTTAAGTTAATTAATTTAAAGTGAAAAAGAGTGTCCTGCCTGATGTCCTGTCGAGCCATTACTTTATGTGTCGTAAGTATCTCTGTCCAGAGTTTTTGTTCTTGATCAGATAACGTCTGATAAATGAGACAACAATGTTGGCCTCTGAATAAAGCTTTGACAAATTATCCTAATATCTAAGGTATACCCAAGAAAAATTATTCACAACTTTCTAAAAAACCAACACCAATTCAGACTGAAAACATTACATATACCTTGATGACCATACATCAAAACTCCAAAGAATGTTGATTTGATTGTATTTTCACTAATTACTTTTAACCGAGGTGTCGACTCACCATGCTTTCCATCAGAAGCAGGTAGCGATACTTGTTGAGCATCTGCTGGTTCTTGTCCAGCAAGTGTCGCGCAGTCGCCTCAAAGATCTCGTCCGCCTTCTGCAGGTCGCCCTCACTAAACACAGGCTCGTCCAGGCAGTGGTATCTGACCAGCCGCTTGACCGCATCGCTAGTGCCAGCAAACGGAGTGTTGACATCGGGCGCCGTCGCTCCTTGTCTGTCTGCTCTCTGCTGCTGATCAATCCTGTGGTGGGGATATTTTAATACAGGGTGACTACAGAGACATTGTGTGAATCTAAAGATTTCAAATATAGTCCACAAGTTGTAGGGTTACTGTAGTTTGCATTATTGCTGATGCATGTGTGCTTACATTTGTAGGCCTATTGATTGTATATTCTTAATTTAACCCTTTCCGCTCAAGCGGCGGGGGAGCCCCGCCGTGCGTCATGGCCGCACGAACTCTAATGTCGGGCCAGGCCCGCCGTCGCTATGACAACGTACTGTACTTTTATTTGGACATACGTAGTTATTTATTTCGCCGCTAGGGTTGATGTTTGACATCTGCTGCCATCTGGGGAATTTTTTCAGAACCGTTTGAACAAATATTCAATGCTCAATATTAAATCTTAGAGCTTATGTCAGTCGTCTTCACTCGTTAACTGAACTGCTGTCTGTAGCGGCAGCTGACTGACTGCACGGCAGCTGTTTACTAAATGTTGCTTGGTTTGTTTACTGCCGTATGTAGTTGGAGTGTTATTATCGAATTGCGTGCTTTACTTTTACTTTTTATTATTGTTTACATACAATCAGATATTTTCAGTTAGTTGTTTATTTTCGTGTTTGACTGAACTGTTATGATTTGAGTTAGTTAGTTCTTGTTACGTAAGCCCATAAAATGGATGAAGACGGCGATGATTCGTTGCTAAATCGCAAAATTGCTGATGGAACAAGTAATATAAGTGATTCTGATATAGCTGGTTTGTTATTTGAAGACGATTTATTATCAAATAGCAGTTCAGATCCAACCGATCCAGAATTAGACGACGACGAAAATAGTGATGAAGATGATGATAATAATAGTGATCCCGATTTGCCGATTGAACATATTGATCCATTTTATCTTCAAGATGATGTTAACTTTGGGACATTAGATGACATACCTGGAATACATAATGTAAGTACCGATTTGCCTGTTGAACATAGGCCTATTGATGATCAATTTTTTCAACAAGATGATGTAAACTTTGGGACATTAGATGAAATACCGGGAATACATAATGTAAGTATCGGTGGGCCTACCGAATTACCTGTAATTACTGAACCAAGCTGTTCCAATATTTTGAGTCAATCAAAAAGACTAAAACTTGACAGACCGAGACCTAGCTCTATCCCAGTTTGTACTGAATCAGGACCTTCTTCACAATCAACCAAACTTACAACAGGTAGACATTTGCGTGGATCGAGAAAAACTAAAGTCTCAAAAACCAAAAAGAAGTCTAGTCTTAGCACACAGGGTAAAAAGGCTCGGCCTAGGCCTATCCAAACCAAGAACAAGCCTAATGAAGATCATAACTATAGGACTTACACAAATACTGACCAAGATTTCCCCCACTTCCCTTACACTTTGGAATCTGGCTACAAACCCCCAATAGGCTACAAACCTAATAGCCCATTACAGTTTTTTCAATTGTTTATGACAGATGAACTTTTAGAAACTATTGTTACTGAGACAAATAAACATGCTAAGGTTGTCATTTCTAATAAGAGGCCGTTGCAAAAAAATTCAATCTGGCACTCGTGGACGGATGTAACGTTAGAGGAGATACGAGCATTCATCGGAGTGGTTCTAAACATGGGACTCAATACTAAACCCTCGCTGCAAGACTACTTTGCACAAGATTGGCTTTATAATCAGCCATTCTTTAGCCGTGTATTTTCAAGAACAAGATTTTTTCAAATATTTTGGACTTTACACTGTTCGAGTACTGGTGGTACCCAACCAGCCCGATCACGAGGGGACAAGCTAAAAAATATAATTTCTTACCTTCAGACTAAGTTTACAGAATACTTTGTCCCTCCATATGAGCTTTCTATGGATGAAAGTACAATTTCGTTCAAAGGAAAAGTGTACTTCAAGCAATACAACCCCAAAAAACCAATTAAATGGGGTCTAAAGGTTTTTGTTGTATCTGATGCCAGGTCAGGATACATTTTCACGTTTGAGCCATACTATGGCTCAGCTACATCGCAGATATTACCTTACCCTGACCTGCAATTCACTACCAGAATTGTTTTGCTGTTGGCACTAAGAGTGAGGCAAGTATGTGGGCCAGATTGCGGTTTCCACATATATACTGACCGATTGTAAAAGATGAAAATGCATCTCACTGGTACAGTTAATTCAAATCGTCAAGGTAATCCCAGTAATGTAAATAAGAAAAGGCTAAAGGGTCTTTTGAAGAAACATGAGACAGCAGCCTACCGTCACAAAGACAATGTCTTGGTGTTGGTGTGGCGGGACCAGAGACACGTAATTATGATGAGTTCGTATCATAACTCGGATATGCAATTAGTAAAAAGAAGAGAGAAGGGAAGAAAAGAAGATGAAATTGTGTCCAAACCAGTTGTTGTATGCGATTACAACGAGAGAATGGGAGGAGTCGACACTGCCGACCATTACATTTCGTCCTACATGTTTGTTCGGAAATCTAAAGTGTGGTGGAGAAAACTGTGGTTCTGGCTTATGGAAGTATGTGTTGTCAACAGCCTCCTGCTATACAACATGGACTTACAGAATAAGGGGAAAACTCCCATTGATTCGAAGAGATTTAGGGAAATGCTGATTACTGAACTTGTTTCTGGTGTACGTAACAAATCTTATTCACAGCGAGGTCGTCCTTCTTCAGCTGACCAAGAAGAGAGGCTAGATAAAAAACCTCATTTTATTTATGCCAATGAAAAAAGCAACAGCAAGGACTGTGCTGTTTGCAGCAACAGGAAAGCTGGACAGAGAAGAGAAACAGTGTATTTCTGTGCTACATGTGCAAGAAAACCAGGCCTTCACCCAGGGCAGTGCTTTGAACGCAACCATACCCTGAAAAACTATAAGATGTAATGAGGTATGTCTAGTTCTTTGACAAAAACACTGTTTAAATTCTTATATAACTTGTGTTTATTTTATGTTATTATTATTTTAGGCCTATTCTTGCTTGTGATTGAAGCGGAGTAGCGTACAAGCGAGATAAAATATTTAGGCCTAGTTCTTGTTTTATTTATGTTTTTCAGCTAATACAGTTTTGAAGAAAAAATACTTTTTCTCTTTACATCATAAATATTTGGTTTCTAAGCAACAGCAAAATTAATATTGCCTAAAAAGATATTAGTCGCTACAAAAACTGATATTTTCACAAAAACTTTTTTTTAGCAAAAATTCATATTTTTCAATATATTTTTTTTTTCCGCATAAAATTGTGTCTTTTAGCTATGTAAATCACTTCAATATATATATAAGGACATACACAATGTAAATAAAACACTTTTATACTCTTATTTCTATAAAAAAATTGTAAAAAATCTTGTTATTCCAATTTTTTTATTTTCTCCAAAAAAAATTTTTTTTTATGAGTAATGTATAATAAATTTTTTAAATATATATACTGGTTTCTATATCCTAAATATGATCTTTGGTTCATACAGAATTAGGAAAAAAATTACCAGCATTCTACAAATAAAGACAGTATTTGTTTTTTTGGCAAATAAATGAAGTGTGCAAATTTGGCTAAAATTAAATGGAGCTGGTGAGTAAATGGGCCTCCCGTTAATCTGAGTGGAAAGGGTTAATCGTCTCTTTTTTGGAAGATGTAAAATTAGTTTGTAGAGAATTTCAGGTGTTTTTGTAAACGATAGGTTAAGTTATCTAGTTAATACATTTGTTATTTTGTTTATATCTCTTCTTCAAGCTAAAAAACGATATGATGATAAAAAATTACTGACTGTAATACAACTAATTCAGAAACATCTCCAAAAGAATTATTGTTTTTACAAATAACTACTTTAACATTACTACACACAGTACCTACAAAAAAATAGCATTGTACTTTTCGTATGCAGACTGTTGTTTTACTACATAAAAAAATAATAAGTACAGAATGCTAAAATGAAATGACTGCTTGGGTGAGCTGTGGGGCTAACTCGACTATTCAATGTCAGTGCGACCAAGGAAGCTCATCACAAATTCTGGTTACCAAAACCTAATATATAAAGAACCCTTCACACTCCTTAGGTTTGGGATTACTGCATTAGTCGGGACCAAAATAGGGGTTGAATGGTCAGAGAAGCAAAGATAAACCAGGAAAATATCAAACTGATTTACAGTGAGAAAAATACAATATAAAATTTGTTAGTTTCTTATAGTTTCTAAAATTAGGGATCGACTGGTCCCGAAATTTGAGGAAATTTTCAGGAAAAAAATATTCCTGATTTTTGGGACGGGATTACATTTCAGTCGGCGATTTTGCCGCTTCGCGAGTGATGGTGCCACCGTTATCGCGAGAGATGTTCACGATAGTTCCGCGAACGCAAGAGGCGAAGTAATTTTGACGATTGCGCCGTGACCGTGAGTCATTTCAAGGATAGTGTCGTGAACACGCAGTCGTACTGATGATCCCGCTGAGACCGTAAGTCATACCAACGACCGCGCCGTGACCGTGAGTCACAAGTTTCTATACCTGTAAATTTTTACCCATTTTTTTTGTTTTTATAGATCAGTGCCACAAACAGTAAAAATTTCTTTTGTTTGTCGTTTTTGTAACTGCAATACTCAAGATTTTCTTTTTATGCACAGGAAAAAGTCTCGCCCCGTCCCAAAAATCGGGAAGGAAATAAAAATCCCGTCCTTAACTAAAAATTGAATCCCGTCCATCACTATTTAGAATCTTATTTATTTCGAAAACACATCTGAATGATAAATTTAACAAAAAATATATTTAATGAAAACACGGAAACACAGTGACCCAGTACAAGCAAAATCTACGGTACAATCAGAGGTGGTAGGAGATTCCAAGATCTAATAAGTAAGGGGAGTTGTACAGTTTGTTTACTCACAAGGTGGCTCTCTTGGCGAGACTGAGAGTTGGAGGACTCGGAGACGGTTCACAGCTGGTTTGTGTGCCAACCTGCAAAACACAACATACTTGACTAGCATTTTACTTATCAGAACATGGGTAGTTCACTTGAACCATCAATTGATGAAATGGATAAAAAGTTCAACAAAACTATTTACTATCTTTTAAATAGAAGTTTAAAACCATTTTAGTTTTCAAGTTCCTAAGAATGACTATAGATAGACCTATTAAATGCATCGTTGGAGCCTTGGATGAAAGAAAACTTTCAGAAAATTTGAAAATGAGGATATGTCAAAATATAAAGTTTGCTCTCATAAATCTAGGGTTAACTTTGCAATAAAACAGCTCACTCACTCACAACCTTCCCTGGCCATTTATGCCCAATACGGGATTTGGCCGCACCAAAAACTGCTCTCCATCCCTCTCTTATCTTCTGCCTCTTCCACTGCTACCCCCACTTCTCTGAAGTCCTAGGAGACACTATCCCACCATATCTCCTTGGGCCTTCCCCTAATGGTCGTTTCCCTTCTGGCTTTCCTATGGTTGCTTCTTTTAATAGTGAACCCCGTTCTCTTCGTAGTGCGTATCCTGCCCACTTTATTCTCCTTGCTTTCACGTGTGCTACTATTCCTTATTTCCCTATTATGCCTTTTCCTCCATTCTCCATTTTCTTGTGTTGGGCCATATATCATTCTTAAAAATGCATTTTGTTTTCTTATTTTTTGTTTAAAATCCAAGTTTCAGCTCCATATGTTAATTAATACTAGTCGAATTATACTATGATATATTTTTATTTTTGTTCTATGCAAGAGAATCTTTGAAGTCAACAATTTCCTACAAGTGTACATACATTTATTGACCTGAACAATCCTATAATTTATTTCCTTTTTTCACTATTGCTGCTTGATATAATTACCCCTAGATATTTCAATTGTTCAACAACTTCAAAATTATGTCATTTGTCCTCATTGGCCTCATTTCATTTGGCTGTCTCGTGAAATGCATGTATTTCGTCTTAATCATCATTAATCTTTAGGCCCATTTTCTCTGTTTTTTTTTTATGAACATCTGGTTAACTCCTCTAGGTCATTTCTGTTTTTTGACAGGATGACTACATCATCCGCAAAAGCTAGGATGTTAATTTTTACTCCCATTTCCAAGCCTATATTTGTTTGCCTTACTATAAAACAACACTAGTCTTAAAAGTTGAAAATACAATACATAGTTAAGCAGCAGACACAATTTAAATAATACATTGAACACACCTAATTTCATAAATTTGGCTAGGGTAAAAAGTATTTTAATATACAAGAATACAGTACAACTTCAACCATCCAATCTCCTTGTTGTCCTAAAAATTGGAGATCTATTGTTAGTAAGACAATTTTAAAATAGGAATAGGAATTACATGAAGCTAATTATTGGCTTGTGTTATGTAGCGAAAAAATATTTCAGTATGCAAATAGACCAGTGTAGTGTATAGCACAAGTCATAACTACTTTGACAGATCTCTAGTTTTGATAATCAATTAAGAGAATAGTGATAGAAAGTATTTCATTACAATACAATATCCTTGGGTATATCTGGTAAAACATGTAGGCCCTAATGTAATGTAAAGAAATACTTTCTATCAATATCCAGAGGTACAACAATGATTCTGAACAAAAATAGTATCAACTAATTTGTTATACCAACCTGAACGTGTATAGGTGACGTAGCTTTAGACACAGTAGGGGGAGGTGGTGGTGGTGGAGGAGGTGGGGGTGCTGAGACTGGAGGTGGAGGTGGCGGAGGCTGGCGGGGACTACTGGGCGGAGCGGGCAACACTCTTACAGGCGTTGACACTTGCTGTAATACAATCCAATTTCATCACAAACAACGTACTGTTCTAACCATGTAAGCTTTATAAGAGCAGCAAAATTAGTAAAACTTTACAATTAGTCATAAAAAACATGCATGAAAATAAGAATGATTTTGGCCAGATTCAGTAAAAAATACCCCCGCCGCAGCAAACCAGCAGACTAAAAGCTAATTTCCATTTGCCTGATTGGATTTACACTAAAATGTCTCCTTAAAAATATCACATTTATTCCCTATTTAAACATCATTAGTTAAAAGAGTACTCTAGGTTTGCTGCAACAGGGAGGGTAAAAAATTTTATTGTAAAATGTTAATAGTTTAGTATAAAAAATGCATTTTCCAAATGTGATCAAAATATGCTTATAAACAAGCAAACAACAACAGTTTACTTATTCTCCATGAGAATAACATAAGAATTTTAAATTTTAGTTTTGTTGGAATTTTCTCCGTAACCATTATGCGCATAATAACGCTTAAATATACTAAATGATTTGTTTTTTAAGCTCTACAAAATCAAAATGGGTTGGAAATAAATTGCTAAATTTTATGTTTGTAGGGTCAAAAATGGGAAAACCCAATTTTTACCCAATAAACCCTCGTTCCCGTGGTCCGATCATGCTGATTCGCGAAAAGTAAATCGGTCCCGGGTCCAGGTCTTACCATGAGTACTGTAGTACTACGGTAATAGCTTATTCCCTATATGGGAAATTCGCTAATAATTTTCTATAACCATGTTAGTACAGACACCTGCAAGTACTGCATTGTTGTGTCAATAAATTATTTTATTTCATGACAAATATTTATACTAGTGATGGGTGGGTACTTAACGTCAAATGTCAGTCCCACCGGTTCTTGGGAAAAGTACCGAGACTGGAAATCGTTGGTGTTGATAGGTTATATTTTTATTTACTCATGTACAAAATTCAAATTGTCAACCATGATGATTATTTCCTTTAAGGCTATTTATCAGAATTATCAACAATAAATTCGGGAAATTTTTGGGGAAAAAATATTCCCGATTTTCGGGACGGGATTACATTTGATTCGGGAATTTTTCGGGACGGGATTTGATCCGATCGTTGGCGATTTTGCTTCTCTGCGAGTGACAATGAAGCCACTATCGCGAGAGATGTTCTCGATAGTTCTGCGAACGCAGGAGGCGAAGTCCGATGGTACCGGAACCAAGAACCGATTTTGGTTAGGAACCGGTACCGGAACCAACATTGTAAAGTGGTACCGACCCACCACTAATTTATACTGTATACTGAAACAAACTAGATTTCAATATCATCATGCAATGAGTAAAACATGAAGTAAAATTTCAGTCTTAGTTTGCGCAAAAACATTTTTAATTTTGTTCAATTAAAAAGTGTTTAACCATTTCAAATTGGTTTGGATAACAAAACAAAACTGCAACTAAAATTCAATAGACACAGCAAATGAAGGTATTATTTGTTAGTGTTTGCACATTGATTGATACTCACAAAAGTAATGCCCTGAGCATGCTGTCCTGGAATGGTGGGGATCAGCTTTCCTGAGAACAATATCTTTTGCTGCTCCATAAACAACCGCTGCAGGCTTTGGTTTTCTTGAGGAGTTCTCGGCTTCTTGGATGACAGCAGTTGGATTTGGTTTTGCACAGCTTTCAGATGCTACAGATAAAAAATCTTAAGAGAACATATTTTACAATCAGATGATAATGTTAAAGGACCATTGAGACATTTTTGTCACAATTGGTAAAAACAAGTTTTCTCAGGTTTAGAAAACAAGATTAAAAAATACAATTAAAATAAATTGCAATCACTATAAAAAGTTCAAACCATTGCTTTATTTTTTTCTATAATGTAGCCTTAATTTTATTTTTGATACACAATAATTAAAATAGTGTACCTGTTGCTCGCAATCCAGCAATATTGTCAAGTATTACATGATGTTCAGTCAAGTTGCCTTTGTTTTTTGTATTAATTTTATATGTCTTTGTTTTTAACAGTCCGTCTGTAATTCCCATCACATTACCATATGTCAATTTTCATTGTTGCATTCATTCGTCTCGAATCACCGCTCATAACATCACGTATTCATTTTTCTCTTAATAAATTATACTCTTTTATACCAAAACCTCGATTTTTTCCTCTAATATTATAAATACACCGCACACATGAGTTATTTACAAACTAATAAAAGTCATAATTTTCAATGAGTTTTTTTAAAGACTCAACTCAAAGATGATATAAGTAACGGAAATACTCACTCTGTTCATACAAAAATTTCTTGTAAATGTTTTTTTTTTTCAGAAGCTAGCCTTGTTTTTTAATTTTTTCTACTGATGTCTACTTATCCATAGCCACATAAAGTTGTTCATCTTCGTCATTCATTGATGGCATAGCCTACAAGGTACCACCATTGTCGCCAGTCAAAATTATAAAAAAAGCTATCAAAATTAATTATTCACATTACTCGAGTAGGACTACCAAATTTCTTGCATTATCTATCTGTCACATTTGTTAGACTTTTTTTGGTAGGTTGCTTTTATACATCAATTAACCCTGCTTGTGTCAGTAATTTGTTGTGTGGTGTCGGTAAATGTTCGGGCATTTTGCAGCAATGCTTATTAAAAATTATAACAAAAATCTACCTTGATATGTATTTTTGTGCAGCTAAATACATGCACATTATAATTCAGCATAAATAATTGTTTTTATATCTATTTAATGATAAAAGTTACTTAGGAAGATAAAAACTACAGAATAGCAATATGAAAAAAATGTCTGTGCCCCTATAAAGGTCGATTCACACATATCAGTTCAGTAACAGTTCTGCTACAGTCCAGTCTCAGTTGCATCCGTAATTTCTCAGTCAACTGTCTGTCAGTTGGTTTCAGTCAGTCTTCTGTCTATAATATTTACAGTAATTTACAGTAAAAATTTTTAAATTGTAGACCTATATTCTATTAAATTTTCATCGTCCATCTCGTTGATTGTTACAAACAGTACTCAAAATATCAACACTACCATTTAAATAACAAAAACACTATTTTTTAACCTCAAACAGGTTTGTCAGGAGTCCGAACAATCCAAAAATATCGGGGGAAAGAAATCTAAAATTGACTCGACGGGCGTCGGCAGAGCGACTGACTGAACTGAAACGGATGAGTGTAGATAGTGCAATTGAAAATCCATTAAAGAATATTTTTGTTAACTGTGCCGTAACTGATGTGTGTGAATCGACCTTAAGATTTTTAATACAGGTTTCTTGAATGTAGTCCTACCCTTCTTTTATTAAAATATGTACACAAATCCTCATTTGCTAGTTAATATAGTTGAGCTAATAAATGTTTCTCATGAACCTAATAATAAAACCTTTTAAGTGTCCCGGTAGACCCTACTAATACTTGATAACTCAGTTCCATTAAATCATTACAAATCATATTATGCAGAAAGAAATAGTTTTAAGCACAGAAAGAATGTAAAGTATATAATTTAAACTAAGTCAGTAAATGTTAGTATTTCCTTGAATTGCAACTTAATGTTATCACCAATAAAATTAGCCCTGATTGTAATGTAAACAAATCTGTTCTTAATAAGGATAACATGGGAATTTCAAAAGCCACTGGGGCAGAACCCAAGGAACTTATGGAACCTTATGACGTCTACAATGAGATCTATCAAATGCACCATAAACTAACAAAATCAGTTAACAATCCACGGAGGAGTTCTGAGAAATAAAATTTGTGTTGGCCTAATTTATACATAGATAGATATAAGAAAATCCTCTTTAACATAGCCTAATCAATTAAAAAAAGCCATATTAATAAATTATATTTAAAAAAAGCAAAAAGTTGCAATGTACAGCGACGACCAGTTGTCTTACCTGTTGTTTCTGAGGAGTGAGCTGTATTGTCTGCACCCTCTGTATGTTAGGTGTGTGCGTCTGTTCACACTGTGTACTGATAGGCACCAGGCTGGGAGGTTCTGGCTCCTTCTCACACGGAGGTGTCCCTGTCCGCTCCTCGTGCATCATCGGTTTCACCACCGCGGATTTCTTTGGTAACTTTTTCGGTTTGAGCGCTTTAGATGCAATTGGCGGAGTGGGTGACTTGTTTATCACCAGGCTCGGATGAGACTGTGCAATAGTGTCAAGAAACGAGTTTTGATAGGACGAACCGATAGACGTGGTGGTAGTGGTCGCAGTGGAGGTGGAGGTGGTGGTCGGTAATCTCTGTGTTTGGGGTTGTCTGGTGACCGCTTGCAGTGGCTTGGTGATGGCCGTGGTTGTCTGACAACTGGCCAGCGACGTGATCACAGAAGGGTGGTTGTGGTTGGAGGTGTCCATTTGATGGTTGAGATGTGGTTGTGATGTGTGCGTAGGTGTAGGTTTGCTGACAAACTGCGGTGGATAATGATTGATAATGGTGTGACCCTCGTGTTGAGTAGCTTGAGACTGTGATGTGGTTGTCTGCGAGCTGTGGTGGAATTGGGAAGGTGACGACTGTGTAACAACAATAAGGTTGGGACGATTGGAGAACGAGGGTTTGGGTTGTTGAGTCTGTTGCTGTTGTTGAGGAGAGGGTTGTTGATTCTGCTGAGGGCTGTGGCTAGGATATATGATGGGACTTTTACTGTTGCTACCTCGAGGAGACTGAGGAGAAGCTACTGGGTTACACCTCGGACTAATCACAGTTTGTTGATGGTACTGAGGCATTTGGGGGGACCTCGCCAGGGGTTTAAGTTGGTACTGAGGTCTTAAAGACTGTTCCACTGTTTGCACACCACTGCTCTGCATTTGTCTTTGAGGTTCGATATGAGGCCTTAACCTATCATTTGAAGAATTAGACAATATATGCACTCGCTGTTGGTCGCTAATTCCCCCAGAGCTCGCAAGGGAAGTAACAACTTGAAGTCTTTGATGTTCATTTAGTGTCAGATTACTGGACCCGGTTATCCGAGAATGGTCTGTATTTGCCATGGAAGTAATTATTTGCACTGTTGGATCTGAACTAAGTCCTGCCACTAGTTGCACCCTCTGTTGTTCAGGAGCAAGGGAAACACTATTGTGACTTGTGTTAGAAAGAATTTGTACCCTGCTTTGCTGTTCACTCAAAGATAAAATATTAGTGTTAGGAACCCCTGTTACTATTTGCACTCTATTTTGCTCAGATAACACTGGGTTGGAATTTGTGTTACCTGAAACTATATGGAGCCTGTTCTGATGATCAGAAAATGTCAAACCAGGAACACTATTAGCAATCTGAACTCTGCTTTGATCATTCTGCACCACATGTATTCTGTCTGCAAGTGAAGTAGCTGTCCTGTTGGGAATGCCAGACACGATCTGTACTCGACTAGGATGTTCAGTGGTGTTGGTAGAGGCTGAAACAACGTGAACTCTGTTTGTTGGCTGCTCATTGATTTGAATTCCTGTTGAGTTACTCATCCCTGACACGATTTGAACCCGATTCTGTTCACAAGACAAGCTGGAGTTAGCTACTCCTGAAACTATGTGAACCCTATTTTGTTGCTCCGCTAAAGACATCCCACCGGCCTGCATTCCCGACACAATTTGAACCCTGTTTTGCTGTTCTAAAGATAATGAGTTAGTATTTTGCATACCCGATACGATCTGCACCCTATTTTGTTGTTCAGTCAAAGACATGGAATTAGCACTGGGAACGCTGGAGATAATTTGAACTCTGTTCTGTTGTTCGGTAAGTGACATGGCTTTGTTTGTGATCCCAGAAACAATCTGCACTCGATTCTGCTGCTCTGTCATGGACATGGCACTGGAGCTGTGAACTCCTGAAACTATTTGAACACGGTTTTGTTGCTCCAGAGACATTGCACTTGAGTGTGGCACAGCCGATACAATTTGCACTCTATTTTGTTCACTAAGAGACATTGCAGGATTGGCCACTCCCGACACAATTTGAACACGATTTTGCTCAGTCAGTGAGACAGAGCTAGAACTAGGGATACCAGAAACTATTTGCACCCGATTTTGCTGTTCAGTCAAAGTCGAGTTAGGAACTCCCGACACAATCTGGACTCGGTTCTGTTGTTCCGTCAGAGACAGGGAGTTCGCACTCGGCACACCCGACACGATCTGCACTCGACTCTGCTGATCGGTTAAGGACATCCCCGTGCTCATCTGACTGCCCGAAACTATCTGCACACGGTTCTGCTGTTCTGTCAGCGACATTGTGGTGGAAGTAGGAACACCAGACACAATCTGCACTCTGTTCTGCTGTTCTAAGGACATACTCGTCGAACACGAACTCGGCGCACGAGACACGATAGTATGGAACCGGTTTTGATCACTGAAAGACACTGATGAATGAGGAACACTAGTTACGATCTGCACTCGGTTCTGCTGTTCGCTGAGCAACACTCGGTCGTGGAGGCCGTTGATGATGACACCGTTGTGTGAGGTGTCCAGCAGCTGAGGATTGGCCACCACCACACTAGGTGTGTTGGCTGGGCGGCGTACACCTGTGTTGATGACCACCTGTGGAGCCTGCGCCAGAGCCACCTGGCCACCTGCAGCCTTCATCACCAGCGAGTCTGTGTTGGCCCAGCTCAACACCGCAGTCTGCAACATATATACAACCATTTATCATAAACAACTAATTAATTATATTTATATTTCTAGAGATTAAAAAAAAACAAATTTCAACCTTTTTAGAAAATTATCGGAACAGAGGTAATTGTGGGTAATAATAATGACATTATTAGGTAAATCCTCTAAATCCACACTACCATACCTGCAAAGATTGAAGTAGAGCAGCCGAATCTTTGTTAGGTGCTCCCGCTAGACTGGAATTATTCTGAAATCATAAATTTTACTAAAAATCTTTTACGTTAACCTCCATCATTTTTTGTCTTAATAATTATTAAGGCTTTGGGCAAAGATTTACTAATTTATTTAAAATACTAAATAAATACTAGCTTGTTCTTTTTAACAGTACAATTTAACATAGCAGCATAAACTATTTAACACTTTAGAAACTGCAGTAGTTCTATCACATGGTTTCTTTGAGTACGGTAATGTGTTGAAACTGAACCTTTAAGCAAAATCACCAGTGTTTAACCCTATTTTATTTGAGGAGTTACTCTACTTTGTGCTTTACAGCAAACGGACACATATACAGCATAGCCTCTTTTAAAATAAGCTTGTATGAAAGCTGTTTGAGGAAAGGCTTGAAGCTTGAAGAAGCCATTACAGTAGACTCCCTCTAGTTCAGCCACCTCGGGACCGGACCACTGGCCGGACTACAAAACAGCCGAACTAACCGGTAGTAGTAGAACCTCAATTATTCGCGGTAATGGGGGGGGGGGAGACCATGGATAACTGAAAACTACAGTTAATCCAACATGGCATAAACATATATTACATACCTATAAAACACCTAATACTGTATAAAATGGATGTTAATGTGATAATTAATTTGAATTTTACATAACCAAAATACAAATAGTAGTATTGCGCAATCGTGTTATGTTAAGTCATTAACCTTGGTTAAGTAATGAAAACTGTAACACTGTACATACAAATAAATCACGTAAAGAACAGAACAATAGAAAGTCTAGTACTGCAAGCTACTGCTACCGTAGTCAGCATAGGCTACTACTACATGTTGTTTCAGAACATAAGAATGTCGATAAAAACATTAGATAACTCATAAAACAGCATAAAATCATAGTACTTAGTCTTAAAGATAATAACGACAGTCGTAAAATAGGATAAAGATAACAATGGATGATATAAAACACCGCTTATTCTGTCTTCTTTGTTCTTCTATTCTTTCTTTGGTTTCTCTTCATTCACACATTCAACAAGTTGCCACGGTTACTTACTAATCACCCAATTACAAACTGTTGTGAGATAGCAAGCGCACAGCAGACAGTTGTGTAAAGAGCAGATGATTGTCAGTGCAAGCGGATAGCTTGTAACGATGGCTATTTCTTTGTTTTGTTTTGCTTTAATTTATTTTTGTCAAATAAACCGTGGCGTTTCAAAAACAATAATGGGGGAACCTACCGCATAAAAAAATGGTCCGAAATATTTAATTATACACTACATTTCAACATATTAGACTGAAGAAAATCTATTTATAAAATGTTCTTGGTATTTTTGAGGTTATGTAACATAGTTTTACTTAGGTGATATGCAACAATTCGCCCATAGAAGCACCCGTAAACTAAACTGACATGAATTGTTTACTTCTATGACTGGAAACTAAACATTAAAATTGAATCCGGTCGAAGGTCATTCGCCCATGACGATATGACTTGTCCCCCTGAGACCGGGCCGGACCATCCGACGGCCGATCCAACCGAAGCCGAACTAGAGGGAGTCTACTGTATTGTGATTTCTAGAATAAAGAGATGGCGGCTTAAAATAAGTACCATAGAAGAAGTCCAGGTAAGGTATACTACACATACTATAAACAGAACACACAATACTGTAATTTATCCTCTGGAGGACTTACGTCAAGTTTATAGAAGGAGAATTGTATTTTCTTTGTCTTCTACCATGGCCTTCCCGGATTTTTTCTAGGGTAAGCTAGCTAATATCCATTACAGTACACCCCCTCTTAACCGACCTCGTATTAACCGCCTTACATTGTAAAATATTACAGTTTGTTTTAACCGACCATGCTTTGAGAGCAGTTCGGTTTAACCGCCGCTTTCTAGGAATCTCGCATTTCCGCTCCCACGCTGGGCGATGAGAACCAAACCATACGCTTATCTCCACAGGATGTGATGACTAAGAATAAGTTATTTTGTATTGATCACAAAAAATATAGCATATTGTCAGTTTGTCATCATCGTTCGTACCGCAAGCACATCTGATCTGATTTGTTATCTGTGTGTTACAATTTTGAGAACTGATTATCTTATCGCTAGAGTAAACAAACAACGCAACTTGTAGGGAGGGCAGGGAAGGGGGGTTAACAACTCCAAGGTCAAGATAGTTTTTTTGCCTCGAGCCTCTAGTGAGAGGCTATAAATAAGCATCCTGTCTTGTCACAAAAGTGTTGCTAGTATCTTTAATTTCAACAAAGGTTCCTGTATTACGATGGATTTGGAAAGGATAAATTAATACATTACAGCACTAAAGTTATTAAAATAGGAATTTTTATTGAATCTTGCCTAGTACTACAATCTATTCCACTGAATGTAGGCCTATTTGATTTATAGGTGTTTTGTGTTTATTTATGACTTTTCTATCAATAGAAAAAAAAGGAGATAAGAGTAGTTTATTTTATAAATAATGCAAATATGACTTCAAAATAATGATTATATAATTCCAAATGAATAACACTTAATTAGGCCTATGTTATGATTTTAGGGATTGCCCGTTTTAACCGACCTTTGGAGTTATCCGACCTAGGTCTGGTCCCATTAGGGTCGGTTAAGAGGGGGTCTACTGTATAAAGATTTATGTGACCGGTATACTTGTTTAGAAATATCTTGTTCACTTTCAAAATCAACATATTAATAGCCACGCATGTTTCTTTAAAACCTTTTTTCTCAGCTCGTGTGCATTGCAGGGAAAATCTACGCATACTGTTATAAAGATATTTGCCTGTAGATGTGCAGAATCCCTTTATAAATTAAAGGCTAAAAAATAAGCACAAAAAATAAATTTTAAATTAAAAAAAATTACCATGGGTCTTATAGGTTGCCATGTTAGTGATGAAATAACTACGAATTATAAACAGAAAATCAAAACAAATGGAAGAAATTACAATCACATGTTTTATTTACAGCGTAGGGTGATAATAAAGAAGTTTGCACAAAATAGATATTATTGATAAGAGTTTTCAACCACAGGACGACCTCTAGTTTGAGTAAAACCGCATTATTCTGTCTCTTGCCCCTGACACCGACTTTAAGATTTTAAACCTACTCATGGACCCATTGTTACTTTTAAAGGGTACTGATAACATTTATCAAAATTTATTTTTATTAAGATTTTATTAACATAAATCCAACAAAGCAAATGAGAACTCACTTAGGTTCAGTATCCTATTTACATGTTTGAAAGGGGACAGGAGGTTAACAAGGATATGCAGTTTCAGACCTATTAGGTACTAGTGATAATACCTGCAGTATGCTGTCTCCATGACTCGCCAGTAGTTGTGCCAGCTGACTTTGGGCAGCAGCTGCTATGCTGGGTGTCACACCCCCACTCACACTCACCTACACAATAATCAGTGATACAAAATGTCCCCAACAATATGTTGAAAAATAAACCATCACAGTCTATCAACACGGGCAATTTATTTTCCAAAAATAATGTTCTGTTGACTGATTAATTCATAGAATATTTTCATGAAATTATTACAGATGAATCTGTCTTATCTGCGGTGAGAGAATTCATAAAATTTATTTTTAACAAATTGTTTAGGACGAAGCTTACTTGAGAATAGAGTTAAGGTAGCTTGAAGATGTACAGAAAAACTATCAAACTTTCCACGACTAAAACTGTTTCTTTAGAACTTACTTTTTTTATACGGTAAAGTTTTGATTCTTAATATATTTGCCTTTGATTAACTGGCTTTCCATGGTTCCCCCCCTTCCCTGTGAATGATTGAGTACCTTGAAATCTTGGACTGTTTCAACAATATGTTGGTTTCAAAACATTTTCTTTGTTATCCGTGTTTGCCACTTGGGCCCAATAATCAGATTCCATTGTTCAAGTCTTTCCTTGCAAACTACCTTATTATTCGCTTAAAACTTGGCTACCGTAAAGCATTAAGAAAGGCTCAAGTTACTGAAGACCCTAATTTTATTGAACAGAATAGAACAGTCTAATGATTATGTCAAGTAAAATGCAATTGTGCATATTAAGCAAGAATCAAGTGGTTGAAATGTCAACTTATTTCAGCTGCCCCAACTGGCAAAATAATTTATACGTATCAAAAGCTATGTTGAATAGAAAGTCCAACAAAGGTTACTAGGCCTAATGAGTAAAACTTGTTAAAACTCCAAAAAATATAATACTGTATACTAAATTATTAAGATGATGTTTGAAAATTAACCTGAGGTTGAGTTTGATGCAGTATCATTCTCCCATCTTCACCGACTGAAACTCGTAACCCTTGGTTTGTGCACTGAAATATTATATGAACATTTAACTTACAATTACAATATAATCATCTGAAAAAATAAAGCCTAGTATTCAGCAGAACAATAATACCGTGTAAAACTTACAAGAAGTATTATTTCGGAACTCTGGCTTTAAAATCACATGATTTATTCAGGGTATTTTATGTTTATTTTGTTATGTATTTTTGTATACTGTTTTTTAGGAGACATGAAAAATCTATTGCAGCATGAGAATGTTGTCAAATGGGTTGTATGCATTTAGTCCAATTTATAAAGAGTGTCTTTAAGGGGAGTCTGAGGTCCTATCTTTAGTAATGTTAACTAAATGTCACTTTTCTCAGGAGTTAGAATAGGTAGGATAGTGAAACTTGGTATACCTTTATATTAACTAATTAACTAGACACAGACACATGATTTTTCATTTAAAATTAAAAATAACTATTTTATGGGTTTTTATAAATTTAACAAAAATGTGTTTCAAAAATAAAATTTATTATTTTTTTTTACATGCTTCTACTAAAGATATGATGAATTCCTTATGTCTGTGTTTAGAATAAGTCACTAAGACTACATGGTAAAAATTTCACAGCTGTATGTATTACCAGTCCTGAAAAAAATGACATTAAAGTTTAAAAAAGTAAAGTTGCGGAAATCGGCAAGAAAAGCCTCCAAGGGTCAACCAAGGGTCTACTAGTTTTACCTTTAAAACGTCACTGCAATGTTATGGAAAATATATTTTTTTATACATTTCTAGGTTAGTAATCAAAAATGTAAGTATACCATTTTTAAGAAGAAATTCTGTGCTATAAAAAGAACATAAAAAGTAAAAATTGAAAAAAAAATTAAAAAATTTCGTCTTGGACTCCCCTTAAGAGTGAATTAGGGATTTAAGTTTAATTGATGTTTAACTCTAAATATGTTATTATTATCATTCTATGAAATATACATACTAGTAATTTGTCTGTACATTGCTCAGAATCATAAATTTTTAGGTTATTTTTACGTTTTATACATTAAAGAAGCCGAAACAAGTCTCATCTCAATTTCTGTCTGTCTGTCTTTCGTCTGTCACGGCCCAAGAGCCATTTTACGCTGCCTTCTCCTGAAAAACGAGAGTACCTATAAAGATCCGAATCATTTTAATTTTTAATGTATTCACTGGATTGGCGAGAGTGTCTTTAGCTATTAAAATATGGCCTCACTACTTTGTAAATAAACTTACGGACGTTTAAAAACCCGATTTTGTGCGATTTTTGTCAAGTTTTCTCCCAATGTTTATCACATAATCATCTATGAAATAGCGAACAGCTGTTCTTATCAAGATTATTTTTTTCTAGCAGTCACTGATGTGATTACATTGACTGTTGTTTACAAATACTGCAATCATTTCCTTATAAAACTGTTTTTCCTTACATAACGGATTTAATTAATCGCAAGTGCAATAATGTGTAGGGTTAATGTAAATGAAAATAGAGATTCTTTGTGTATAAAATTTGTCTTGAGTTTTGATAACCGGGAAAAAGACCTTGAATCAGTGTTTTATATGACTGGGAAACTTACATTTTTTACATAAGCATTACCAATAGCTTACATAAAAGGTTTCAACTCATTGACGGCACTTCAATGGTGGTTGTGTAAAGTGTAAAGTGACAACTGCAGTGGGTGATTGTAACAGGGGTTTACTGATTATGCTCAAATCGCTTTTCCAATGTGTCTTCTCAACGCTATTTGCTGCTCGCTGGACCATACAGCCAATAGACCAATTTCCCATCTCTTGGGTTCGTAGGCCTAAAAAATTATTCATAAGTTGGTAGCGCATATTACTCAGTGTTCCGTACGGACAGGACAAGAGCACCTTTGAAAGTGAAATTTCCAACCTGAATGTTTAATGGCGAGGTTGAGGTTAGTTAGTTAAGGTTAACCTAACCTAACTAACCAAACGATATATCAAATTAAACAATCGAATAATCAATATTACTCATTTGGTTGTTTGTGCCAACAGATATGGAAGTGTACCCCTCATAAATCTATTACGCAATTTTTTTTTACTTGAAACTGTCAGATACTGTATTTGTTTATACAGTAGAACCTCTTTAATCCGAACTAATTGGGACTGGGGGTAGTTCGGACTATTGAATAGTTCGGATTACAGAAAATATTGTTGTTTTTACATAACAATAGCTAGGGAAAAGTGAAAAATGCTTTATAAAGTAAAATACCTACATTGTTTATTTAATACAGTTGTAAACATAGGGAATAAACAGTACTGTACATTACAATTGAAATAATTACGGTGCGTATATCAATAAATAACTACTGTACTGTGTATAGAGTACAGCAATGAGGCGTTCGGATTAGTGGACGTTCGGATTACAGGGGTTCGGATTAAAGAGGTTCTACTGTATATAATAGTTTGGCCAGCATATCTGAAAATATGGAAACCAACTGCTGTTCTTTATATAGGAAGGTTTCAACAGAAAACTATAAGATCCCCGTGCGTAGAACGGGCACACAGCTAGTTACTTATAAAAGTACACAACTTGTGATTTTTCTATGTAGGAAATCAATTGAACTTTATAATAGTGCGTAGAACGGGCACACAGCTAGTTACTTATAAAAGTACACAACTTGTGATTTTTCTATGTAGGAAATCAATTGAACTTTATAATAGTAGTGTCATTTATTGGTGTCTGGATTAATCTTGGAATTTGTAAATCTTGTACTTTCAAATTTTTTTAAATTTTAATTTCTATAGGTCTAATCTTTATAATTTTATTTATTTTTGTTTTACACTTTGACTATCTAATTACTACTTCTTTTTAGACAATTTAACTGTGAACAAAATGGCAAAAGAATTATTAATTTATTACCAAAGGTTTTCTTTCTATAACAATTAGAGTAAAAGTCTACAAATTCGGTAAAATTAATTGCCGACAGAGGGTGCTGCAGGCAGCGCATTAATTCCTTCCCCAATGGGTTAAAAGACCCATTTAGATACTTGACAATGTGTTAGTTGTCAGTGTGTAGGGCCTACCTGAGAAGGTGTGATGATGGTCGGCTGAGGCTGTTTAGGCGAGGGAGGGGTAGGTGCCGGGGGTGTTGGCTGTGGCGGAGGGGGTGGAGTAGGCGACTGTTGAGGTGTCTGAGTCTGCTGTGCGACTGATACTGGCGCCATGTCATCATCATCAATACCTGCAACAGAACGAGTTCATAGAAGTGATCTTGTGGTACACAAAAATATGGAATCACCAGAGAGACAACTCTGCTGATTATGAAAATGTTTTTTCAACCTCTATGTTTGGCCTATAAACAGTATCACTTGCAAGTGATATAAGAGGGATTAGAAGTTTCAATGACGTGAAAATTACAAATTGTTTATGAACACACCAACCTCCAGTTTACCTTACATATCAAACAATGCATTTTTTGTTGCTATAGCTATTGTTGATATGAGCATAACAGGTAAATAATAAACACATGACATTTTTCTTCAATCTACTCTGTGAAGAAGTCCTAAATTAGGGTGAATCATGAGTGTTATGTTTGTGATCTTAATATAATGTAAATTACAGTATAACTGAAGTTATAGTCACTTTGCAATACCACATCAGAGATGATTTGACTAGGTGATATTCCTTGGTCAAATATTTACATTTAAGAAATTGTGTGAAAACTTTTAAAAATAAAATGCTAAGTACAGAGAAGTACAGAGTATAGAATATTCCCAAATTATCAATTATGTACACTCTGTACCCTCAACATTGAGCAAAACATACCTGACAGTTTCATAAGATTCGCCAGGTCCAATCTCGTAGGTCCTTCATCCTCTTTTTTCTTCTTCTTCTTCAACTTGTTCTTTGGCGACGACGGCTGCGGAGGTGGCGTGGGAGTGGTGGGGGCAGGTACAGCTATAAGTGCTGGGCCCGAGGATGTCTGTATGTGTTGCAGTTGTAGTGTCTGCCCTGTGACCAGTCGCACTAGTTGCGGCTGGGCCTGTGCGCGGGAAGGGTTGTGCTGTACCAGTACTGTGGGCTGCGGGCCATTACTGAGTACCACAGTAGGTTGTTTGGTTGTATGCTGGGGCGGTGGAGAGCGCAATATCAGCTGGACACCACTGCTGGTCTGCTGCTGGACCAACATCGGACCTACACCACCAGGGATCATCTGCAAACAAGACATAATGTGGACCTGAGTATAAACTACCTCATTTCATTTTCATCGTTTCATCATTTTTACACGGGATATTCGACAGCAAATGGAAATATATTACATTTGTACAACACTGACACACATTTTAAAGTGAATAATGAGTGTGTGAATGGGATGATAGCTTTGTTACTGAGTAAGATTAACAGGTGGTTCTTTAGCCGACCATAAAAAACCACTGACCAATTGAGGTTAAGATAAACTAATGATTGATTTGTGTTAACCTTGATACTAAAATTAACTGAACTGAATTGATAATCCAATTTTATTGGATATTAAGATTTCACAAAAAAAGTGTATAAAAACTTTAATAATCAAATAAAAAACAAAGCAACTAATTTGGTACTTGACTAGTTGCAACCAATATCATAGACAAAAATAATTAAATATAGACCCTCAGCTGTGCTGCGGTTACCATACTATGGTAACCTGGTTCTGGCGCACACCGCTTGGAGCACCACGGTAGTTGCGGCGTAGGCGCTACGTAAACTACAGCGGTGTGCCCCGGAACCTATGGTAACCATGGCAACCGCAGCACGGCTGACAGTCTATATTTCATTCTTTTTGTCTATGCCAATATTCAACTCAACCCAGCTTGACTGAAAAATCCACTTCTCGCACACCCCTATCTACTAGTTATTTACATAAAAACCTAAGCAATACAATGACCTTGTTGACAGTCACCTGATTGAGCAGGATAGTTTGCTGGGCGGGGGCAGGTATGGTGATGGCGGGGCTGGTAGACGGCTGTGGTGCTGATTGCTTGTTGGGGGTGGCAGCACTGCCCGGGGGCTTCGGTAGAATTTGTGGCGGCTGCTTTGTCTTCATTGTAGAAACGCCACTACCCACCCCTACTGTAAAATTATTATTTTTTTACTTGAACAATATTAGCTATGTCTTGATATTTGCAAGGATCTACATTGCCTTACTATAAAGGGGGTGATTTATCAGAAACCAGCAGATACTTATCTCTGTAACCCTCCCAATAACATTTAAAACTATGTTCAAACAGTTTGTTTTGAAATGTATTTATCCTGATAAATAACCTGTTTCAATGATTCAAAATAATGTAATTTTCAATAATTCTAAGAAGAATTGCCCTTGTCTTTGAATACTGAAGTAGACATCTTATCTATAACATCTGTAGCCCATTTTACACCAAAAAAGAACATAAATGTCCGCAGAGAGTGTTACAACCTTTAGTTTTTTGTGACCGTGAAAGTGACTGTAATATAATTACCGGTGTTCCGTGTCGCCTGCTGGAATATCTGCAGGACCTGTGGCACCTGAGGAGCCCCCATCACCTGGTGGTTGATGATGGTGGGGGGTTGAGGGGTGACGACTCGCTGCTGCTGGGAGGGGGACGGCGTAAGTCGTGAAGAGAAAGGCGACCCAGGCTTGACACTAGCCTGACCACCGACTCCCACGCCCACCTACAACATTCCGTACCATTCATTCCTTCCACTCTATTTACTACCATTCTTCCTTTTACTCTTTAATTAATTTTTTGTTGTGCTATAGCATAAAAAAGGAAAAACATATGTGAGAAAGTTTCAACCCTACCCTGTTTGGAAATCTACTTCTTTACCTCATCATCAATATATCAAAAGAATAATGAAAACTTACGGCAATGTGCAACATAGGTTATAGAATCAATATGGTTGGTAAAAACAGGGTGACAGTATTCAGCAATCCATATAACCATATTAAATGGAAAAACCATCTTATTTTAATCCAATATGAATTCAATACTTTAAACAGGAGTGTATTTTAGGAATAGTTGAAACAAAAATAGTAGATTAAAAACAATCAACTAATTGAACAATGAAATTGTTGAGAATTGTTTATTAGAGTTCTTGTTGCTAGCTTAGTGGTTAGCATCTAGGACTTAAGTGCAGAAATGGATAGCTAGGATCACCAACATATCCACACAAATTCCAGAGGTTGGGACCGTCTTCATAAATAAATAATATTTTTATTGTCGTAAAAAAATAATTATTAGCATTGACAGTCTTAAAATACAGTCAGAGCCAGACATAACCAACATGATTGGAAGTGAATAATCTTTATAACTAACTAAATCCAAAAGTATTTTTGATTGATTTATTTACTCTACCTACTTAAAAATGAATACAATGCTAATAAAAAAAAATATTTTAGAGAATAAAAGGGGTTGTCCAAAAGCCATTTGTAGAGTATAGTTTTAAAAAGTATTTTCACGATATTTTGGTATTACAGTCGGACCTCAACATCTCGAATCTGAAGGGGGTATGATAAAAATTTGGGTTATCAAGTTTTTCAAATAGCCTAAGTGAGGTTCGAGTTATGAAGGTGCTATACGAAATAGTTCGAGATACTGAGGTGTTGGGGTCTGAAAGTGATGTTATGTCACAGACTTTATAACTCGACTTTTACGTGCTAAACCTTTATAAATTGAACTCAAACTATTTATACGTACTGAAGAGTAACTAAGGAAGCAAAATAAAACAATTTTAATGCACATAAAGTACTGTATTTATTATTTAGCAATAATTGTAATTTATTGTTAACGCAGGTTCACTGGAACTATAAAAAAAAGTAAACAACATAAAAACTGTATAAGCTCCATACATCCAAATACAGTACTACAATACAAATAATGAAAAACTGCTGTGAAAAATACTAAGCAACAATTGTATATGGATACACAGTAGGTACTGTATTTATCATGTTTGGTGTTATTGAGGTTAAACGCAAGTCCTGTTTAGTAACATTGTGTAAGCCTAGTGTATGGAACAAGTTAATGAATAAGTTTGATAGAGTACATTAAAAGCCTACTAAACAAAGAAAAAAAGTCAAATACATACCTGTTGTATGCTGGAGGTGTGGCCGACCTGCTGTATAATGCTCGCTTGGCGCACATGGTGGTGTAGTATGCTGTGTGTCGTGTGACCGAGGATCTCGGGGTAGAATGTCGGAGCCTGAGGTGTCAACACATACTGTCCGCCACCCTGGCCGTGCAGGGTCACCGTCACTGCCCCTCCCCCCTCCCCTACCCCCAGCTGCTGTTGTAACTGCTGAATCTGCGACAAACACATTTAATGTGGTACCGTAATCAACTATGTAGTAAACTTTGTTCAGCACTTATAAACTTACTTACACAGTACCAGTCCTTCGTACGGGGTTGGAATCTATATCTATAAAAGAGAAAGTATGTATGTATGTACCCTATGAACTCAGAAACCGCTCGACAGATTGTAATGAAACTTTCAGGCATTATTAAGCATTATTTAAGGATGGTTTGTGTGAAGTTTGGTACAGATGAGTCGAAAGGGCTTCACCCTAGAGGGTTTTAAGGGGTCCAATGTCAAACTTTTAGAACTACAATGTTTACAAATAAATATAATTTAAAAGCAGATGTTTACTTTCACCTACTGTTTTGTAGGTTTGAATAATCACAACATTCTGTATTAGTCATTATTGGAAATAGTGCCACACTGTTTCCACAGAATGCAGCACAGAAAACTAATTTACTTTTGGATAATTCCAAATATATTAAACCCCAATCGCAGCACACCTGTGCACTCAACAACGTTTAAATTCTCCACTATTAAATATTTAAACATAAAAGTAAAAACTTTTATGAAAGTAATATGAAAAATAAAATGGATGGCAATGCCTCAATATTTTTATCTCTTGTTCTATATTATTAAGTGAATAATAATCGTGCGTGCTATCTCAGGTATTGAAATGCCTCCCAATTTGTCAATAACCCACTACTCATTAAAAGAAGGAACTCCAATCATTCCAATTTCAAAAACTTAAATCCACCCAAGCTATGCAACCGAACCAGACTGACGATTAAAAAAAATGACAACAAACTTGATTGAAGCAACAATCATCAGTGGTTAGTTTAAAGGAGAAATAGTCTTAATCTCAAGAATACCGATGATTTTCTCCGAATTACCCTTTGAGTTCAAGCGACTACAATTTCCTTGCTTTCACAATGACCATAATAAGGAACAAGTAGGTACAATCCCTGAGTATCAGTTTTATACTTAACTGCTGGTATAAGTATAAAATGCTTATTTCAGTTATGGGAGTGGACACGGTTTAAGAACATTTGGTTCTTATAATTTATATGGTATGCTATAGTATATAGCACATCTACCATAGCCATCATGTTCTACCATTGTACCTAAACCATAGAAAAAAGTAAAGTTCTCATTGTGCTTTTAAAGTTTAGCTTTTTGTTGCTAGTTGGTTGAAATTAGCTGTTGTCATAAATGCAAAAAAAAAAATAAATAATAATAATAATAGTGCTGCACCCTGTTGGTAAACCTTATAACTTTTTTAATGCTATTTAATATCATAGAACCAACTTGTGCAGTTGAGACAGCTGACAAAATTCTTTAATTCCTTTTAAATATGAAAACTCATGACATAAGGTAAACATGGGAAACTCCAGAGCCACTGGGGCGGAGCCCGAAAGGATTCTTGAGATAAGAATATGTCTGTATGTTAATCGGAAATGTGAGCTATCATCATACCAAATCTTAACCCTGTCGGTTAAGTATTTTTCGCGTTTACTTGTCACAAACATCCATCCATCCATCCAAACTCTCTCCTTACTTATAATATTAGTAGGATTAGTAGGATAAATAAGGGGTTTTGTCAGCAGCTATATTGTTATTGTATTTGTTTAACACGTTCGCTACCGCAATACCAAATTTTTCATTCACATAGACCAGCGACGCAAATATGCGACGGCCGGTTTCTATCCACAGACTGCCGTCGTGCACATTAAAATAGATTGATAACGCATATTTGCATCGGTGTTCAAAGGTTATCAAAAGGCTTATATCTTTCTAACGGTCTATTTGAAGGCACTGAATTCTCTGCGGTGGTCTACAGGGATGTTTGACGCACAACTGCGTCACTTGGTCTGTGGATATGATTATTAATGGCGTCATATGATAGTTGGAAAAACTGGCCTTTACTTTTCTGCATCACTGTGCAGTATGTATGCTGCATTATCCTATGTAGCTTTTATATTTGTTCCATTATAAACTGTTCTTGAATAATCTGTTGTTTTTACTTACTTTCATCTCAAAACATAAACAAAAATGAACTGTCGCATATGTATGTGGCGTTTGGGCTATTTAAAGAAAAGTATAATAATTTTAACTATTGTCTTCGCTATAGACCGGGTGTCGCAAATATGCGACATTACAAAAGGTTATCAACAATATTAGAAAAAAGAATATATCATTTACATACACGACTGCAGTGTATTACAAAGTAAATGATCGCTGTTTAAAACAGATTTTGCCCATGGTCTGTGTGTACTATTAACCAAGTGACAGCCGGTCTAAGTGTAAGATTAAATTGTATACCTTGGTCCGTGGCAATGATCGCGGCGTCGCATATAGATTCAAGATTCAAGATTCAAAGAGTCTTTAATTCACACAGTACAAATTTTCGTACATGAATAGTGTCTATTGTCTATTGTTACTTACTACCTAAATTAGCAATAAGAAACATTTAAACAAAATACTATAGGCTACATTATTTTAAATTGAAATTACTATAATCTTCTATTTTGTAAGGTGCAAGGTCAAGTAAGAATGCCTTCAGATTTTTCATAAATTTAGATTTGTCTTTTTCTTTTTTTTAAAAGCTAGGAAGTTTTCTAAAAAAATAGTTTCCAATATAAGAAGGTTTATTTTTAAAAAGTTCAAGTCTTGGTTTTTCTTTAGCTAAATAATTTTTACCCCTTGTATTATAATTATGCACAGGCAATTCTTGAGTCTCAGCAATATTTAAAAAATATTTAATTGTTTCAAAAATATATAAGGCGTGAACTGTAAAAATGCCCATCTCTTTAAAATAAGATTTGACGGACTGGTTGTATTTTAATTTATGTATTATCCTGATAGCTTTTTTTTGAATTTTCAAAATCTTTTTTAAATTATTTTTCTTTGTCCCACCATAAATACTAATTCCATAGTTAATATGTGATTCAATATGAGCATGATATATCATTTTAAGTACTGATCCTTCACAAAGATATGACATTGTTCTTAGGACGAATATACCAGAATTTAGTTTTTTTATTAAATACTCGACATGTTTATTCCAGCTTAAATCCTCATCTATTATCAAACCCAATAGTTTTGAGGTTTTAACTTGAGCAATGGAATTTGTATCTATATCTAACTTAATACTTTGATCATTTTTGTCTCTTTTTGTTTTGAAAAGAATGAAATTAGTTTTACTAGTATTAAGTACTAAATTATGGTCTTTTAAAAACTGATTCAGACTTTTTAATTCTGATTTAGCAGACATTTCTAAATCAGTTAGGGATTTCCCAGTTGTGTTAAGATTAACATCATCTGCATATATACTTATCTTACTACCTGGGTCTTTTAGAGAATTTGGAAGATTTTTAAGGTAACATATGAATAAAAGAGGACCAAGAATCGATCCCTGTGGGACACCAGATGATATCTTTGATAAATTAGATCTTGTTTTTTGGATGATGTTATTTTTTGACAAAGTTGATATTTCCACAAATTGGTAACGTTCCTCTAAGTATGATTTAAACCATTTGAGAGTGACTCCTTTAATACCCAAATTATCAAGTTTAGCTATTAATTGATGGTAGTCTACATTATCAAATGCCTGGGACATGTCCATGAAGATGCCAGCTGAATTTAAACCCTTATCCAGTGAATTTATCACGGCTTCAACAAAATTAACCGCTGATGTAACTGTCGATCTACCAGCACGGAAACCATGTTGTTCATTATCAATTAGATCATATTGGTTCAAGAAACTGTTCAACCTGTTGTACACTGCCTTCTCATATACCTTTGATATTGCCGGGAGAATTGACACTGGCCTGTAGTTTGAAATATCTTTCTTAGAGTTTTTCTTATAAACAGGTACCACTCTAGCAATTTTAAGCTCATTTGGAAAAATTCCTGTTACAAATGATGAGTTAATTAGGTGCATTAAAATTAATTTAATCTCATCTTTCACCTCTTTTAACATTTTTACTGATAAATTGTCATAGCCAGATGTTGTTTTATTTTTTAAAGATTGTATAATAGTTATTATTTCGGTATCAGTTACTGGTTCGAAATACAATTTTGTATGCCATATATTTTTTGAAGAGGTGTCTGATGTAGTATTACAAAATTTTGTATGTAACGTAGAGGATTTTGTAAAAAATGAGTTAAAATTATTTGTTATTTCTTTTGGATTGTTAACTATCTTATTGTTAACTTTTATTGACATATTTTCCTGTTCTTTTTGTTTTTTGCCGTTAAAGACTTCCTTGTTAATAATTGACCATGTTGTTTTTGAAATGTTTGATGAATGTTTAATTTTTTTGTTATAATATTCTTTTTTTGTTTTGAAAAGATCGAATTTAAATTTTCTTTGACGAATTTTAAGCTCTTTGCACTCTTTGTCTTGATTTCTTGCACACTTACTTAGCCTAACAATAGTTTCCCTCTCTTCTCTTAACCTAGTATTCATCCAGCAATTCTTTTTGGAGCCTGTTCTAACAGTAATTTGTGGAAAACACTCATTAAAATAATAAACAAATTTCTGATGGAACTTAGAGTACTTATATTCAATAGGAGACATGTAAATTTCCATCCAATTCTCATCTTTCAGTTTTGATTTAAACAAATTGATGTTTTCTTGGCCAAGATTTCTACAAGTTTTTACTATGGATTTTTTTTTGTTATGATCAAGGGTGATATTCATCTCAAGTACCTGACCATCATGGTCTGACAAACAAGTAATTAAGCCATATACATACATCTGTACATCAGTAATATTAGTTAAAAAATTATCAATAGAGGATTTGGAATTTTTAACAACTCTTGTGGGAAAGTCCACCAAATATCTCATGCTGTGGCTTTTTAGCATGTTTGAAAACTGTTTATATGTGTGATTTTTATCCAGTACATTTATATTAATGTCCCCAGCTACAATTATATTTTTACAAATTCCTAAGAGCCTGTCAATCACAAAACTAAGTTTATCTAAAAATAGTTTACTGCTTGCGCTTGGGGAACGATAAACTCCTAATAGTACAAACTGATAATTGTTGGTACAGCACTTCACCGCACAACACTCAAAAACCTTCTCCTCACATGTTTCCTGTATTATAGAGGTTGAAATTTTCTTAATTTTTAGATTATTTAAATTATTTTTAGCCATCAATGCCACACCTCCTTTTGTAAAATTGCTTCTACAAAAATAATGCTTAAGAGTGTAACCATCAATATTGAATTTTTGAATTTCATAATCCTTCATATTATGCTCTGTTATTACTAATAAGTGTGGATTTATTTCGTCAATAATAATTTCTAATCCATTTTTACGAGATTCCAGATGTTCTATATTTTGGTGAAATATTGTTATTTTGTTTTTGGAGGAGTCAAAGTTTGGTTTAGGTTTGTGGCTTGAAGGGTTCCGAGAACTGTGTTGTGAAGAGCTGTACACATTCTTAGTTAAGGCTATACATTCTTTGGTATTTGTTGTATTATTTGTAAAAAAGAAGAGGAAGGAACAACCATGTTACCTGAAATCACTCCTAAACTGACTTCACTCACAGACACATCACTTTTACTCTGCTTTTCACTGACACTGACATCCGCACTAGTGTTGAGGGAGACACATTCTGCGTAACTGCAATGGCCAGGTACTAGATGAGGTGGTGGACTGGTCTGCTGCTCACTAGGCCTGTTGGTCTCGATGGTCGGGGACTGGCTTGACAAGGGTTGCTCACTCAGAGGCGAGGTGACACTAGAGACTGTGTTGAAATCTTCCATTGACGACAGCGATGAACCAAAAACAGATGTCTCCTGCAATTCTTGGATAGCAATTATATTGCGTAATCGTTTGACAAAAAAATGATGAGGCATCCCACTCCACAGTAACCTTTTGGAGTTCTGATGATAACTTACTACCTCAACCATTGCACCAGTCTTTTTTTGGAAGTTAGTTAGATTTTTAATAAAGTGATTAGGTGAAATCAAATCCCTTACGCAACCCATCGCAGAGCATACCAGTTTTTTAAATCCCTTTTTCTGAAAATCTTTAGTAAGTTCGTTGAAAGCTGTGTCGTAATCGAAATGGGTTGGCTTGTTGAAATACTCCAACTTTGTTATAAGGCTATACACACCAGCACCCTTAGCACTTTTCTGATATGCTAAGAAATCGTTAATACAGTTTTTCTTTGCGGGTCTTCCGAACATTTTTCGAAATGTAGCTGCCACACCAGCAGTCATATTTCTTGGACTTTCTAGATCTGCTGATATTGTATGTGCAAAAGCGACATCTTCCATCTGTTGGTATTTCCTTATCATGTCCTTCATGTCCATATCGATGACTGAGATTGGTTCTTCATGCTCTCTGTTGATTTCTGGTCTTGAAATGTTCATTGGGGCTGGGGTATTTGCTTTTTTACTAAGATAAGTATGTTTTTTATTTGAAATTTCATTAATTTTTTGTAATTTTGATTTATTACAGTTTTCTGACATTCCTTTGATTGAGCTCTTGTTTTTACTTGCATGCCACTGACTGAAAGCATAGATTACAATACGTGCCAACTCTTGCTTACCTTTAACATATATGCAACGCTCGGCAGCGAACGTGTTAAGATGACAACATGATTATGACCTTAGAGTCAAAACTAGTAGGTAGTTGTTTAATAAAATGAATTTAATAGGTTAATAGTGTTTAATATTGCATTCAATTGTGTTGTGTATATACATACATACATATATGTCCGTGAACGTGATAACTTGAGTATACTACCATTGACTATACACAGAATGTTCTGTGTATAGTCAATGGTACTACACAAAGTCTGATCAATGGCCGAGTGGTCCAAGGTGTTGTATGTATCTCAGGGAGTCTTGTTTTGGTCAAGTTTGGTAGGTTTTAAATAATTTAGGGCCGTCTCAAAGTTACAGTTAACAGATCAAAAATTATTTCTTTGATTGTTTTTATGAATCAAGGGAAAACATAATAAAAATGGGCATGATTAAATCATGAATAATTGATGAAGTTCAAAGGACCTGAGGATATTGTACAAAACAGTTGTGCTTACCTGCTGAGGTGTGAGCAGCAGCGAGCTGCCAGGGCGCCCGTCCAATAAGCTCTGAGGTAGCGAGTCCACGATGCCTTCCTTGTGCTGCACTCTGCAACAACCATCACAGCATATTTTAGAAGCACCGTACAAAATATATTTTTGAAAACATATACGAATAGTAGGGTTTAGATTTTGAGATATAGGCTGTGTGAATCATGGGAAAACTAGACCTACTGAGTGGTATTAATCAGTGTAGTGAAGTTAAATTTAGGCCTACCTACAAGGCTAAATCCAGATTAGCTTGTTGACATAAAGAACCCTTAAAAGAAGATGGATAAATTCTTTTGTCAGGTTCTCAACTTTTCTTCATACCTATGTATACCTAAATGTAACAATTCACTCTTCTAAGAACAAGAATTAGAACAAATACCCCCGCCGCAGCAAACCTGCAGACTAAGCAAATTTCATCTTGTCTGATTACATATTTTATAAAATATTTCCTTAAATAAGACATATTTATTCCCAATTTAAATAACATTAGATTTAACGAGTGCTTAGGTTTTCTGCTATGGGGAAGGTAAACAGTGTTTTTGACCAACTGTCAATTAGTAGGCCTATAGAATGAAATAAATAAATTTGCCAAATTTGATCAACATATCCATAAACAAGTAAACTACAACAGTTTTCATTTTATCCATAAGAATAACATGGGAATTTTAAATTTGCACTTTTTTGAATTTTCTGTAACCATTAGACATACAACAATGCTTCAATATACTAAATTATTTATTTGTTTAAGTTCTGCAAAATGGTTGGGAAAGAAATTCCAGAATTTTATGTTTTTAGGGTCAAAAATGGGAAAACCCCATTTTTATCCCATAAAACCCCGTTCACATAGTCCGATCATGCTAGTTCGGGAACTCGTTCGAATATATGTAGGTTTACACGTTTATACTAAATTTCATCAAGATCGGATGATTTTTGTTTGAGTTATTGTGTTAACGGACATATATATATATATATATGAATTTTAACGGGTTTTGTTTTTGGCCTCTGGGGACCTCTAAACGAAAAAGTAAATCGGTCCCGGGTCCAGGTCTTACCATGAGAACTGCGGTATTAGCTTATTCCCTATATGGGAAATTCGCTAAAAACACTTTCAAACGCCAATTTTGTTTGAATTGAAACGAAAATGAGCTAGTAAACCGAGTCTTTGACTATACAATCTGATTCATTAGAGTTATCGTATTTAATATACTCACAAATCCAGCACTGGAGGGCACACACACCAATGCTAAGCATATCTGAAACCAAAGTTATTCAGAACTAAATTAGTACTCAAATCTCTCTCTACCAGACAAACACATTAGCTACATCTCATCAAGAAAATTGAAAAAGTTGTCTACTTAGTGCTGTGGAAGCTACAATAATTTAAGTCTACATAAGCCCAAGACTAATCTTACTTCTTTAAACTATCTTACATAGGTCACTTAAAAACCCCCATACTTACAATAGGCTACGGGTCCAAGAGCGAAAATCGGAAATAAAGAGGCATTGCATGATTAAAGAATTTAATAGGCTTAAGGATCTTTATCCCCTCCTCGGCTACAGATTCATAAATATTAATCAAGTTAAGTTTATTCTAAAAGTCCATAAGCCACCAGTGCTTCAATGCAACAATGCTTCAATATACTAAATTATTTCTTTTTTTAAGCTCTACAAAATGGGAAAAACCTATTTTTACCCCATAAAACACCGTTCACATGGTCCGATCATGCTTTTTCGCGGATTCATAATTAATAACCATTAAGTTTACTCTTAAAGTCCATAAACCACCATGTTGGGAAAAAAAACAATTTCTCGGATGTAACCTAAATGGAGATGATTGGTCTGCATCTTAAGAATCTATCAGTTTGCTGATAGCAGACCAGTGGGGCCTAATTTATGCAGAAAAAATCATTCTAAGGAAGCAGTGGACTTAAGAACTGGGCTGGGTAATGTTAAAATTAGGCAAATGTAATGGAGACTGAGTCATCATCAGTCTTGTAGCTGTAGCAAAGTTCAAACTAAGCTACAAGTTAAATCATGTAGTCAGTGAACCTATGGCGTTTTGGCAAAAGACTGGCTGGTTTATGCTAGATTAGAAAAGTAAGGTTACCGTACATTAGTTAATGCTGGTTTGGAAAGAGGTGTTTTGCCTTGGATTTGGCATTATTTTTAACTTTTTCACAGCGATCAAAGCTCTTTTCACAGTGATCGATGTGGAAACCTAGAGACTAACTAAATCATAAGTTTAGGCCTAAATTATTCAATATACATAACTACCTGCAATAAGTACAGTAGAACCTCGCTAATCCGTCACCTACGGGACCGGGAGCATGGTCGGAACAGCATAAAGGCCGGATTATCAGAGGAACGTTTTCATTGACATAAAACGTAGTAAAACTGTATTTTGAACAGACCACGGAGTCGGATAACTATGGTTTGTCCAACAGGACATAAAATGGTTATTTCCAACTCATAAACAACGCCTAATACTAGCTGTAAATGGACTTTAATGTGATAAGTTTGCATTATATTAGGTACGGTACATCATAAAATTACAATTAGTAGGCCATTGCGCAATCATGATAAATACGTTACCTAGATGTCATTATCCTTGGTTCAGTAATAAAAAATGTAACGTTTAAAATCACAGCTTTTTCAAACTTTTACTCAAACAAAGAAATAGCCAAACACTGTACAGCAAAATAAAGAACAGAACAGAAAGTCTAGTAACCTAGCTAGTCATAGGTTACTGCTACGCTTTTTCAATACAGAAGAATGTTGATAAAAACATTAGACAAAAAATATAAAAGTAGCCTATCAAATAATATATAGTACACTTATAAAATCATCGCTTTTTCTTTTAATCTTTTTTATTCTTTCTTCAGTTTCTCTTCGTCCACCCATTCAACATGTTTCCATGGTTACTAAGTTATCACCCAATCACAGGCTACTAAAGTGTTCATGATTACCAAATACCCAGTCACAAAATGTTGAGACATAGCCCACAGCAGACAGATACATCTGATACACATGTGTCATGTATAAGCCTAAAAGGAGAAGACTATTGTCAGTGCCAACGGATAGCTTTACCTTGAAGCTTTGATCGATATTCCTTGTTTAGCTTCCATTTTATTTTTGTCAAATGAACTGTGATTTTTCAAAAACAATAATGTGGGAGCCTACTTAAAATTAATAATGGGCAGAAATTGTTAGATGTAACTCACAACGAATTTCGACACATCATACCCTACATTACTAAAAAACACAATTTATAAAGTTTTCTAGTTTTTTTTTTTACTTGGACAATGAGGTTATGTTAGCGGAAGCCTAACTTATTGTGTTGGTGGCACAGTCTGACCAAGCGAGGAGTCGGACCATCGGAGGTCTGATTAGCTAGGTTTTACTGTATTGCATTAGCCTACAGCTTATTTACCTAAACTTACAGTACCGTAGGTAACTTATTTACCTAACTTAGGCTAAGTTATTTAGAAGTTTAGATCCTAGGTTTTTTTAACAGAGAGCCAGGCTTATAAGTAGGCCCAAGCATGATGAACCATCGCAGCTGAAACAGCTTAGTGTGCGCACAAGAGATCCTAAGCTACTGACACATTCAAGTTGAAAATTGGGCCTATGTTAGTAAGTAACCAATTTCAGAGTGTCATATTAAGATCAGGTTAGGCTGTTTAAAATTAGGATAATCAACACGCAAGGTAGGCTAGGCCTACTAACAGACTAGCAAGCAGGGAATGCCTTGGCTATTCGATTTTGGTCTCTTGAGGTTAGAATTTTAGAATTAAGACCTCAGGCCTTGGATTGATTAACAAACTAAAAAGTATTAGGCTACAGCCTGTATTTAAATTAAAAATAACTTTATAATAAGCTATTATGTCAAACATATAAGTTTTATTCAAATACTACGGTAGGCCTACTGTATGCTCTACAGGACTAAAAGGCTAGGGCCGTGTTCTCTGAGGTCAACATGAACAAAGACAAGAAAATTATAACTGAAATATTACAAACAACACAATTTATGTCATACTTACAACTATTCAGTACTATTTCATGCTGCATTTAAGTTATGAACTGCATGTTTACTACACGATAATTATTACAAAAATCACTATTTAAGAATAACAATAAACAAACGGGTTTAATACAACAGCACATCTCCATAACGAAAATTCGAAACTATCGCGTAAACATAACCATAAACGAACACATTTCTGTCATTAGATTTTAATTTACAATTGTACACTTCATTCTCACTTTAACTTCAAGACGCATAATTAATTACGATACTGATTAATGAAACAGCGATTCACAATCGCGTTGATGCTTGAGGTTTAACAAACGGCCATCTTCATTTTGCCTTTTGCCAATGCCATTGCCATTACAATGTTGCCATAATCGCAGAATGTTTAGAGAAGCTGGAACAAATGCTGCCAACCGGATGACACAATAGTCAAACAAGAAGATGCCTTAAATTATTTGTTTGATAATTAAAATTGTTAATGATTCAATAAAAAAACAATTTGCATAAATGAATGCAAATGAACTGCTTTGGAGTTTAATGGACTTCATTTTAGAAGTTAGTTATTGTACCAAAATTGCAATAAATAAAGATAATAGTGATGTTATTTCTTTGAAATTCCTTATTTCAAATTACTGAATTTGTAATGCAATTTAGTTTAGTACAATACTGCAAGAAATAAATGTGATGGGATATTTGTCTCAATAAAAAATAAAAAATAAATAATTTATTTATTCCTTATTAGGCTATGACAGATAGGAAAATAAATCACAGGTTAACAAAGTTTGTTTTTTGTGCATGTAGCCAAGTTCCATTTATAAATATTATGACATACGAATCGTATTTCAAGCTCAGTCTCCATAAATTAAGGTATAATATTGATTACCTAGGGCTTGGTAAATAATCGTTCAAATAATAATTCCGCTTTCATGGCAATGTCGGGGGGGGGGGGGGGGAAGAACAAGCACAGGCAGCAGAAACAAATCTTTATTATAGGTAGTTGATTTACGGGACCTAATTGTCCTGTCTTAGATGGATGGGATCTTTTTTGTAGCCAGTCTAAAATTGAACTTTAGCACGCTCCCCTCTAACTTCTAATGATTGCGAAGGCCGTCCAATAAGCCTCGGGTGGGTAGAGATGGTGGGAGGGGTGGCACAGAAAACACAGTGGGGAAGAGAGTGGAGAGGGGAATCAGGAAATTGAAGGCGGGGGGAGGAGGGGTTCCCTAGTCCCTACTACAGTGATCACTAGCCAGGATTCAGCTCACGTGAAGATAACGCGATCAGTTTACTTTGTGGAACCGTGCAGTCACTTCAGTGAATAGTATTTTGGTGCTAATAAAGTGATAAAGTTAGTGTTGTGAAATCAAGGTGTTCTCACGGATGACCGAACCTTGTTATCTCCTTTGTGTATCAGAGCAAAGATAAAAATTCACTAATTATTCATAGTAATAATTCTATAGTGCATTGTTTTATAGTGAATAGATAGTAAGAGATTGTATATTTGATCGTTTGTACTATCGGCAAGCATGCAACCCGTATTCTCTACAAAATGGTATGAACAAAATGCGTAATCTGAAAACACTTACCCGTGGTGTAACGTGCCTATGTCCTACGGGGCCCACAGAACACAAAACAAGTATTCCGTTGCTCCTATTGGACATGACGTCACAAACACAAATGCAGTGCAATCGATGGAGTGACATGAGTCAGATTAAAGCTTAACTAATCAATTTAAATAGTTTTTCATGAAGTAACATGATTCTATTTAAAACAGTCATTAGTTTACCGGTTCATATGTGGAGTTATTTTCTAATAATAGTAATGTATGATTTAATTGTTTGTTTCAATTAATATTTAGTGTGGCGTCAGATGTGTTCCGGATAAAGTAGTTCACGGATTAGATTTTGTTTCTGAATCCACGGAGGGAGGCATGGCATAGCGGGGTTCATGTTTTGCATTTTTAGAACTGGAGGGGCTTTCTGGTAACTAAAACCATGAAATAGATTAGAAGGGAGGGAATTTGATTGAAGGTACGATGGAAAGTTCAACATAGCCGTGGTGGGGTGGGCGGTGTCTTGCGTCCGACCAATGGCGTTCTGGATTTGATATGGAGGGGCGTGGTTTATTTTGATTGCACACATTCATGACAATATCCTAAAAACGGATCTCGTTTCCTTTCTTTTTCTTTTCATGTATTAGATCTTCAAAGTACAGAGGAGTTTCTTGCGTGGTAGTTCAAAGTACCATAACCATAGCATAGGAAGCGAAGCCGCCAGTCTTCTCCTTTCTCCTTTTCCCCGTAGTGAATGTAGTTTCGTCTGCCCTTCCATTCCTATCGTCTGCGGCTCTTCATGTTTATTTATGCTATGTTTTAGTTTACCATATGGCGTTCTCTAACCCACGAATTTGAAATAGGCCATTTATCTTTTTCCTCCTAATAAATTTCATTGTTTAAAATTTACTGTCTCTTGACAAAGATTTGTATAGGATAGGCCTAGCCTGTTTGTCGATTTATCTTGGTTGACCATTAAAAATAGGCTAACACATTCTTCTTCTGCCTGCAATTTAGAAGACTAGGCCTAGGTCTATCATGTATATTTTTTTTAAACCCTAAACCTATAGACTAGCCTAATAATTAGTGGCTGCACTTTAGTTTACGTCCTACTCTCATTCGAATGAATATAACGATCGATATATCGATTATTTCATTCAATAGGCCTATAACTTAAACAAGTTTGGTTAGTTAGGTTAGGTTAACCTAACTAACCGAATGAAATAATTGATTTATCAAATAATCTATATAAGTTATCGATATATTCATTTGAATAAGTGTAGGACGTAAACTAAAGTGCAGCCAGTTTAACAGGTTAGTTAAAAACAAAGGTAGTTAAGAAGTTAGTTTAAAACAGTTTCCGTTTTTTAATCCATCTTAAGTTTATGTATTAATTAAGTTAACCTAAGTTATTTTGCCTAAACTGGGATCAGTTGTCAATTTGTAATTTAAATGCTTTTAAAGATATAAAAACAGTAGGAATATGGACCGTAAAGGAAAACAAAAATATCGATACCGGTATAGCCTATAACAAAATCATCGATTAAACTTAAAATATGAGCTATTAATTTACAGCTGTGTTTAAAGAATAAGTCAGCCTTATTTACTAACAAGACTACAAGATCGAGCCACTCATCCTACACTCATCTCCATTCATACTAACTTGACTTAAAATATCTAATGGTCGCCATTTCATTGAAAGCTATTAAAACATTAATGAATGTCCCCTTTAACAGGAAAGTAAGTTAACTTAGCTTACCCTTATTTCAATCTACTACCTATCTTAAGTGACTTTTTCTGGTGAACGCTCAAGTTTCATGTGTAAGGCAAACCCGAACACAGGAACAGCACATTCCATATGTGAGGGTTGGTTTAAACTTGATGTATAAAGGCGAACACGAGGACAGGAACAATTGGAGTGAATGCTAGAAGGTCACTTTTGGTGTAAGTTATGAATCTTATGCTTCTGATTCGTGGATACTTTTAATCATGATGAAAAAGAACATAGGCTACACACAGATTAGATTGGTAGACTACACCTTTTGAAGTAAAATTAAAGCTATATAGTAGAACCTCAATCGACACTTGACTTAGTAGACTAAGGGGGTGTCGAGCTAACTTATCGAAATGTCGGACTAGGCCTAGGAAATATGGAGAAAATGAAGTTAGACATTTAAGTTTCACTCAGGTAGTATTTAAAACGTGAGATGAATCAAACAAATTTGTTGAATAGGCCTACTATTTAACTTGCTTAACTCCAAATAACTCAAAAGGTCAAAAACGATTTAATAATTTGTAGGCCTATACCAATTAAAAGATAAAATTTCAAACTTTTATTTTATTACATTTAAGTTAAATGAACTTTCCCTAAGCATAACAAAGAGGTCAATGTAATTTAGCACAAAAGTGAACAAGAATTGCGAGTAAAATCAGTTGCTCCATGCAAGTTACGCATCACTAAACTGCCAAACATGGTGTGTTTAGAAGAATCAATGCAAGGAGTCAAAATAACAATGCAGTCACTTTTTTTTGTGAATTAATGTGTTGTGAAGTGGCATGAGCGACCTTAATAGGTAGTCACAGTTGTAAACATAATAGCCTATTAAAAAACTTTTGCAAAACTTATGACAGCTAGCCTGGCCATACTACTAGACCAAATTACACGTGGGTTGTAAAAAAAAAATGGTTATCGGTCCTATATGTGCAGGTTTTATTTGAATTTTGAAAATATTTATGTTAGTTGGATCAAAAATGGTAATTTAACTATTTAAATATTTAAGCTTATGGCAGCCGACCATACTACTGGCATAGATGGAAGTAACTTTATAGGCTACAGTATATGCTACTGGACCGATTTAGACGCGGGTTGTACGAAAAGAGCGGTTATCAGTCCTATATGTACAGATGTTATTTGTATTTTGAGAATATTTTTGCTAGCCTAATTGGGTCAAAAATGGAAATTCAACTTTTCTTATGGAGATTTATCATGGGGCCAAATTTTTTATCTTACGACAACCACCCTGACCATACTACTTGACCGATTTACACGCAGGTTGTACCAAACCCGCAAACCAAAAGAAAGGTTATCGGTCCTATATATGCAGGTTTTATTCTTTTTTTAAGAATATTTATGTTAATTGGGTCAAAAATTTAAATTCAACTTTTCTTATGGAGATTTAACATGTGGCTAATTCTATGTAGCCTATTAATAGAGAAGCATGTTTATAAAAAACCTGCAGTGGAATTCTCTGTTTTTTTCTGTTTTTTTTTGTTTTTTTTTTGTATCGTATCTACCTGAAAAATGATTGTATTTTGAATATTTTTACATTTCTATATAGGGAAGTAAATTAATTTAACATTTTTTCTTTCTTGGATATCACGTAAAACTATTATGTTCATAAAAAAATTATCGTATCTACCTGAAAAATTATTGTATTTTGAATATTTTTACATTTCTATATAGGGAAGTAAATTAATTTAACATTTTATCTGTCTTGGATATCACGTAAAACTTGTATGTTCATGAAAAAAAAAGTTTGCCTTTCAACTTAAAGAATTATTAGTTTTTATACTTAATTTTTAGAACAACTTAACTAGGCCTAAACGGTTATAGTTTTTAGGGTTTTCAAATATTTTATTACATTATGCTTCCTTTAAGTATATGGCTCACAAGGTTTTTTCTATGTTGGTTCTATTGGTGGAATTTATATGAATTTTCAAAAATATGTCTGCACAGTCGCTAAAATTGCACTGCCAAACAGAGTTTGCTGTGCACCAGTTGGAATTTATCAACTTACATCTCTACTGTAAATTATTTTGCTTCTAACTGTATAACAATTTATAAATTTTAAAACTTTTAGAAATAAGAAATAAAACGTTTTTAAACTCAATAAAATAGAGAAAATAATTTATAAATATGTGGAGAGAATAAGAAATACTTGTAAGATTTAAAACAAAAAGCCTGGGGTGCATGCAATAGCTAATTTACTATTTTTAACATGTTTAGCCTCTGGATCACATAATTTACTAATAAAAAGGTTAAATACCGGTACCTGTAGTACTTGTCAGTGATCCTGGATTTTAGATCAGTGACCCAGGTTTCGAACCTAAAGGTTCATTTTCAAGCCGATACCATAGTCAAAACACAAAAGACCATTTATCGTACCGATTTTAACCGATAACCGATCTTAATTTACTATTATCTTCACCTATTGAATTATGGGTCTGACTTAGGGGAGGTACGAATGAGGCATTAGTTCAAAATTCCTCCGTGAACAGCGCTGTAGTAGAGAGCACTTTGGCAATGAAGGTTTACTAATACTAATCGCAAAAATCGTTCTGTTCATAAAATAAAATTATAAATGACTCAAATTCAATTTTATAATTTTTAAAATATAAAATTAAACTATCATAACCTAACCGAACTAACCAAACTTGCTGATAATTAAATAATATAACAAATGTTTAGTAATGAAAAAATAATTCTGTTTATTAAATAAAACTAGAAATTGCTAAATTAAAATTTATAATGACTTAAAATAAAATTAAACTGTCATAACCGAACCAAACCAACCAAACTTGCTGATAATGAAAATATCTTGGACAAAAAGTTAGTGCTACCAGCGAGATTCGAACCCGGGACCTTCAGCATATCAGCCCGGCACGCTGACCACTAGACCACCGAGGCCGATGGCCACTGACCGTATTGTTTCGGTAATGGCATTCCTTCAGCTAATAAGAAGTCCACAGCTGTCATCGTAGCCTCTTCTGTACCTCCCCTGAGTAAATACCTTGAATTATTAGCTATTTTAACCTCAATTAGAAAATATAGATGTAAATCATACAAACTGGATGTACTGTATGAACATGTTTGTTTCCTTTCGGTATCTACCCCCTGTTTATTAGTATTATCTATTGCAGGCGCCCTACGTTTTTCGTTTTAAATCTTACAAGTATTCATTTTCTCTACATAGTTATATTATTTTCTTATTTATTGTGCCTTTGAAAACGTTTTATTTTTAAAAGTTTTTTTTTTATTTATAAATTATTTTCTACTATTATTCCAATGTGTAAATATGTTAAATCTCTACTGTTTTACATAACCAAAATCTTTTGCTACTATTTTTGTAATCATAAACCTCTGCTCTTTGAACAAACTGTCAAATAAAGTATTTACAGCTTCAATTGATATATTAGACTTTAGACTATTTACATTATTCCAAAATGTAAACATTGAACATGTTGAAGCCAATGGGGCTTAGCCCAAGGGAAATACGAAAATAAAATGATTTAATATTGCATTGTCATCCATTTGTAAGCTATATTTCAAGTTTAAAGTCTCTAGCTCATTTGGAAGTTAGTTTAAAATCAATTGCAGGATTTGTACCGGACAAGAAAGCGAGCGAATAAATATGTTTTAAAATAGTCTGTAATATCCTTGAGTATGCACATACTAGAGTAGATAGCCTACTCAATGGATGTTATCGCTACCTGAACAGTGCTGTTGCAGAGTAGCGTCTACTGCACCGCGGGCAAAAGGCAGTTGATTGTTTTTTAATATTGCTTTCATTGTAGGTTATAAAATGTCATTCATGAAATTTGTTTGTTTGGTCGTAGTTCCGTTGTTTTATAATACATTTTAAATTCTAAATGATTAAAAAGGCCGTCAGCTATTAACGCTCGTAAGTGCCAATGGGTTAATATAGAGATAAACAAGTTTTTTTCATTGTCAGAGTTTGACTATATTCTACAATGCATTTATTAATCTTGTATTAAAATGTGTACACTAATAAGAAGATTCAAAGTTAGGATTTGTGAAAAGAATGTCTACATCTATTTAAATCTCTTGGTGAAATATGGTTTAGAATATATTCCAAATAGTGGTTCAGATAAGAATTCTGACCTCAAACACCTTAATTTTGCCCTGCTTCAAATTGATGAATATGTGCTGCTTGTAGACCAATTATAATAGCACATATTTAAAAAAAAAAACCTTTCATAAAGTGATTAAAATATATGTAGCATAGCCTAGGCCAAGTTGCAATTCGTGTAGCCTATATAAGAAATGCGTATAGAAAAGAATACCGTAACTTGGTTATTATCAGAAGGAGTTAAATAACTTAAACAAATAAACACAGTTTCCTAAGGATTACATTTTATTTGGAAATAAAATAAAAACACATATAATACATAACTCATGAAGTAATCTATGTATATAAAAGTAATATGTAAGAACTTATAACTAAATAGGAACAATAAGCAGTATATATTCAACAATCATTGTTAAAATTAATTCGGGTTAACATTTATCAAAATCTTTTATTTATCACGACCAACAATGATAGGGGTACCCAAAACTATTGATAGTTTTACTGTTAAAAATTAAAACGTGTCAAACAAAAAGTATATTAGCTGGTGATTTCTTTAAATTTGATATAGGTTATTATAATACTTGGCTGCCACATTAAAAATTGCAATATTGTTTGAAACTATTTTTTATTCTTTTATCCACAAAAATGTAAAACAAACAAATAAGTTAGCAACTAAGAACCAGCAGGAGACTCGTCAAGAGAATAACTGTTATTGAGGATGGGTACTGATGATGACCAGTTTTAAGCCTGGTAACTTTGACTATTAATAGACGGTCAATTCCAGTATCCAAAGGGCAATGGTAGGCAAGCATCATAACTCCGTTAACTGCAAATAACTTGTACAGCTTTAAGGACTTTAGTCCTTTAAGTGTTAGTCTTAAAAACGTAACCCAAGTCAAATCAGTGATGGACAAATAAAATAACTTGACTATCTAGGCCTACCAATATAACACTTCTTGATTACAAACACATTTAACTTCTATAAAAGTTGAGATAACAAATATGTCTTTTGAAAAATTAAAAATTATTGTGAAACATCCTTTAAAAATAACTTTGAAATAATCAACCTTATAGCCTACTATGAACTTAGCAAACATCATGACTGCATTGCGGATTAGTAACCTTAAGTACTTAGCACAGCTTTACAGTTACTTTTTGATTTGCACTAACACAACAAAGAGATAAAATCTGAAGCTCTAACGGAAATGCACAGAAGTCGGTAGGACCCAAGTTTTCTGACATAACATTGACTAGAAGTATTATAAGGCACTAACAACTACTGGTACGATGTGTGTGGATTGACATTGATCACCTCCGTGGTACTGAAAAATAAATAAAAACAAAGGTTAGCTTAGCTTAGTGGTTGACTTATTATTAAAAAAATATACATGCCAAATTGGTACAGCTGTACTTTACTATTCTACCTTGTGATGCGCGATTGAGAGATGTGTAAACAATCAAAATGTTTCTTCTCAAGATGTTCCGCTCATCGATTGCTTCGATTACTTAGCAAGAGGTTTGTACAGTCAAAATGTTTTTCTCCATTGTTGCGTTCATTAAGCCAAAACGTCTTCCAGCAACTGTCTACATTTCATGAGCTGTCACGAGGAAGTTAATTCTTGTTTCTATATTTCATATAGGTACAAACATATTCTGCTGACATTTGAATAAACACTTGCGTCATTCCGTCATGTCAGCAGCAATAGAAAATTATTTTCAAGTGGTAATAATGTTAACATAACATTGCAAGAACTTTCAGTCTCACTATAAACTATCGAAATCCATATACAAACATTTTGTTTATAAAATATCTGGTCAATAGTTTTTATTGCTTAAGCCTATTGCAGTATATGTCACTATTCCGTAGATAAAGATAAAGAAAGTAATATCATCCATGAATCTTCCTCGTTTTCGAAGTAGGAAAGACCTCTCATTGGGGGACAATCCCCGGAAGAAAGGGCAGATACAATATAAATTAGTTGCAGATTGCCAATGCCGTACTAAAGGAAACAATCGCCATGAACATCTTGTTAAAAAGTCTCTCAGTAAGGACTTCACAGTACTCTTCGAGAGGAATACGAGAGAATTATATGCTCACCGTTCTGAACTAAAACTATCACCACAAATATCTTGTTGTTAAAAAAAAAACCTCTTTGTAGAACCTCTTGCTAAGCAAATTATAATCGAAATGTTTCGATTGTGACCATATTTTCTAAAAATCTTTAACTACATAATGGATATTATGTCTATGCAGCTGGCACTGTTGAGGTTTAAACTGTTACAACCAAGAGACAATGTGACCCGACAGTAGATTTAACACATTAGTATATTCCAGTAAATTACATTCTCCCAGAAAAATTAAATCTAATATCAAGATCCAAACAAGATGTATGGCAAGTAAATACAAAATGTCCTTTGGAACTTGTCCATTTATCAAGGTCATTTTGGTTGTTAAATGCTCACAATGTAAATGTATTTAAACAAATTTCGTTACAAGAACTACAGTATTTACATTTTGTTTAAGATTTGATAGCTTGACCTTAAATTAAAAGAACTGTTAAATTGTTCTAACAATAAATACATTTTACTAAGCAAAATGAACCAACATAACAACTGTTACTCTACAGATTACATTAATGCTACCTTCCAAAGCTGCTACATACTATCCAACCCAACAAAAGAAAAACCTAAATACTAATTGATTTTTATATATCAATGAAAGTTAGATAAGCTAACAAGTACTGTATAAGGAAATGAAAAATTATGTTGTTTAATAGATTACATTGTATAATAATTACTTACATTACATACTCATTTTGAAAACAACCCGGTATTTATGCTTGTACAAGAAAATTTTCTCTTGTAGTTTTCTAATTCAACACAATGATATTACAAAATTACATATAACTGAACGAAGCACAATTTTTTTTTTAATAATTCAACATCCTTTTTATCAACAAAGCAAGTGAAATCTGATACAACTGATACAAGAAACAGCAGATGAATAGCAGAGCCACATCATGTTTATGCCAAAGAATATTACAACAACTTGTAGGTTTAAAAAAATGTATTCATCAAAGAACTAGTAAAATACTACTAAGGTAATGAATGACAAAGTAAGATACTAATCATAGTAAATAACAATAGATGAGCCTACAAGTGAAGCAATGTGGTGTCACTACTGGAGGGTGGGAATCACAATTATCAACTCACTTATAGCTGCGTACTTTGAGTACAGCGGAGCCGATGCCAAAACCAAGAAATGTGCTCGCTTTACCGAGCCATCAACAGTGTTAGTAACATCTCTACACATATTCAACCCTACTCTCTCCATTGTTACCTCAATTTTATATTTTTTACATGGACATGACAATCAGATCAAACTGATAAATGAGTTCGGTGGAATCAAGGCTTTCAGTATCTAGATGCATACTATACTACATTAGTCCTATCTATCCAACCTAATTGGGACTGGTCCCTGTTTGGATTAATTCTGTTTTTGAGTCATAGTTAGGCGTTTGACCCCCTGGGATTGAGAATAATTTGTCCTACCCTAAAGAAGCGGGATGTTTCTTGGGTTCCTCGAAACGTAGGACTCGATTCTTAGGACGGTTGTGTGTGTGTTAAATAGTGCATGACAAGTCCGGTATATCTCCAGACAATAATACAAATTAGTGAAGCCCACAATATTTTCACTAACTGTGGCCAGAAGTGCAAAAAAATTACATGAAAAATTTAAACAATTTATTTAAAAGACTGTAAAAAGCCATGTATTGCTCCCACAATCACAACAACACCATTATCGTCTCCCGTGATCATATCTCATGATGGCACTCTTCTAGGTACATGACAACCTTAAAAGAGAACCAATGGAACACCGTTAATAAATTTTAAATGGATGATTGGCCAGAGACCACGGTGCTTTAACGGTGCCAAAAAACTTCAAAATTATGAATAGCTTGTTTTATAAGGTTTTCACGGTCAAAAATGTGAAAATCCAATATCTATGACATAAAACCCTGTTCCCATGGTCTAATCATGCTGGTTCGCGAACTCATTAGAATAAAGGTAGCTTTACACATCTGTCCTAAATTTCATGGAATTTGAATGATTTTTGCTCGAGTTATCATTTTAACCGACACATTTATAACTCGTTTTAGTTATAAAATGAGGTGCAATCTGACTACATAGTTAGGTCTTATTCTACCTAATATTACAACATTAGTCATTAAATTGTAATATTTCAGCTATTGAACTTGGTGTTGTTTGATAGGTCATTTTAAATGCTAAATAAGAGTGTTCTTGATATTTTTAAATAATATCAGCTATTTTTTTTGCAAAATTTAAAAAAATGTCCACCGTTTTAAGATTTTAAATTGGACTAAGTTTTTTTTTCTGAACATGGGTTTCTTCTATCTTAACAGTAAGATACATACCAAGTTTCATAACAATCGGTTGGAGCAATACGAAGATAATTTTTTTTATGTAAAAGATTCTAAATGGCGGGATTCCATATCTGGTTAAGGAAACAATGAAACATAAACCATTTCCCAGAGTCTTTCCTAGTTGAACCTTGACACCCTGTGTGTATCAATTTGAAACTCTAGCTCTGGAGACATCAAAACGGAAAAAAATACATCGGTCCCGGTCGTACCAAGAGACCTACGGTAATAGCTTATTCCCTATATGCTAAAACTAGTTTAGCTAGTTGTTTCAAAAAACATAAGTTATCTACTAAATATTTTATTTATAAAAAACTCAAGAAATTAAATAACTGAACCTATAATGACTGTTAAACCAATAACTCTCCAATTAATGTACATCAATATAGGCTATTAAAATAAGTTGGTAAAAAATCTTTGTTAAAAAAGGCAAACTAGGGCTTTTGTCAAACGCATTGTAGTTTTAGACCTTGGGGTAGGTATGGATTGATTCCAATACAAGAAAAAAAATGTACTGGAAACATGTTGGAAAAATAACACTTTATATGGTGATTATTAGCAACCCTGCAATAAGAAGAAAAGAAAGTTTTCCCAACTGTCACCACAAATTTTCCATAGCAATGTATTTCAGCCACTAAAAACCTATGCAACCAGCTGAGCGTGACTACCAATTAGCAAACATCCACTCACAAAGCTCGGTTTATTTCCGGCTTTCTCTCCCTTCCCCCAATCTCATCACATACAGACCTGAACAGCCAATGCAGGTTATAAAAGATCTTCACCATTGGCCATACAGGATGACAATTTATTCACCAAGGAATTTATTATTTAGCTTAAAGACTACAAAACCCATAAGTATAAATGCTGAATGAAGTTAAGTTTTACTGCAAAAATATATGACACCGTATTTGGAGTAACCTTTCTAATATCATGATGTATTCGCCTCTGGATAATTCAAATTGCAGTTATCTGCATTTCTGTCAGTTTGTTTTAGTTAGTTTTTATTCAAGATTCAATTACAGTTTTTACCTAACCCGCCATGTTAAACTTCCCTATCCCAAGCGTGATGTATACAACTTCCTTACTTCTCGAGTGATGTAAAGTTGAAAAAAACTCACTCGGTGATGTAATGAAACCCATTTAAATAACATTGAGTGCTTAACTTAAAAAAATATACCTCTATGGAGGCATCGACGTTCAACGCTAGAAATCAGCTGTGCGCTTGAATGTTATTGTTATGCTTTAAAGTATTTTCCTAACCTAGCTTTTGTTTGTAAAAGAACGTTACTGTTAGACGATGAGTGAAATGGATAATGAAAAATATTGTACGTAAACCCATGTATATTGTCGGGTCAGGTAAAATCTTGTACGTTACACGTTACGCAAGAGCGTGTTTACATCTCTTAGGAGAATTATGCAACTCGCTTCCGCTCGTTGCACAACATTCACCTGCGTGATATAAAAACGCTCTTACTACACTTGTAATGTAAATAGCTATTTCCCCACTTAATGTTTAGCACACTTTCAGTTCAGTACTGTACATACATGTTCTAGTGAAAATTATATTTAACCAGCTTGACGTCTTTACTGAAGATGTACACAACTTTTGCAGCACAAAAAAGCTGCAATTAAATTACATTACAACAGATCAATCAGACAGTATAATTAATATTATTAAATATTTCAAATAAGATTTTAAAGGTTTGAAATTAAAATCTAGGGCTTTGCAAGATATGAAGAGTATTATAACCTACTCAAGCTATTGGCTGAATCCCAAATATTTCACTAGATTTTCAAATATTTAGTTGTTTTCATATCTTAATGTTAACAATCCTGAAGGTAACTTATGAGGATACCATGGTTTCAACACACTTTTAACCGTACACAATTCATACTATTCTCGATTCATTTAATTTTGTTTTGACCATGGAGACCAATAAGTTATTAGTACTACCCAATGGATTGTTGAGATTGAGGTAGGCTACATGAAGTAATTACTGTCCCACACTCCTAGAGCAATCAATGGAAAAATTAATGTTTTTCAAACGCATTCATAAAACCTTTAACTTAAATGATCACAAACAGAACTGGCAGTAAGTGTTGTTTTAATCAATTTTTAGAATATTCTGGTGCTGATTATTTGTTGGTTGGTTCCTAGAGCACGAAATTAAAATCACCAATAATATCTTCATATCTCTCTGATGTTGAGCCTAACCAAAGCAAGAGGAAATAAAATATCAGCTTACCTTTTTCCATACTTGATATGTATAATGAGGAACACAATGCCGAGTACAAAGCAGATACAGCCCACAACTATGTATGCCCAGCCCATGAATGGGTTCTTGCCTCCGAGAATGGATGTTGTGGTGAGAATAACCTGCTTCGACCCTTCAAAGCCAACGACTGGATAGTCTGAAAAATTACACCTTTATTAGAGATGACTGAGAAGTTAGGATATTGTAGGGAAACTTTTCTCTGCTGGTACACAACTCACTCACATGTTACTCATAAAACACTATTCAGCACTGTTATTTTGTTATACCATGTACCATGTATGGCAAGGTAAAGGTATAACCAAGGGAGAAAGTTTTGAGTTTTATAATCACCTAGCCAAAAAAAGTTTAGTTTTAAAACATTTATTAGTACCTATGGCAGTACATTTAATCCTCCAATTTGGTTGTCCACAAGCCTCAGAACATGCTTTGTGTAGAACGTGTGAAGCAAACCAAGGGATCAGCTTGTATAGTACAAGAATTGACTGTACCGTACTGATTAATTTGAGAGACGAACGCTTTACATCCAACGATTTAAAGAACTACTGGATTGTGTTCTCCGTAGCACTGCTGGCACTGTTTTCGGTCTAGCTCCCCCCACTCCTGACTGGCAGAAGCCGATGCAGCCCATACACTCACCATTATAAAAGGCACCTTTTTAGTTACTGCTCTGTTGATATATATAGAGATAAAATATTGCTAACGCATGTCAAACTCGTTTTACTATTCTAAACTTGATGTCTGCTTTATTCCTTGCAGAAAATTTCACATTTTAACTCTTAAAAACTACACATTCACAACATTTTGAGTTTGGATGTTTTTAGACAACTGATATTGCTAGTTCCAAATTATCTATGGCAAAATAATCAGTAATGGCAAAGAAATGATAGAAAATGCAATATTTGTAATTTCAATCCCATCAAACGAAAACATATTACACATTAAACATTTCTGAATAGAAAAAAAACCCACAAAAAAATAAGTGCTGAGTAGAAATGGATTTGTTCAGTTTTGCTGCAGATCGATGTTTGACGTAAATGTGATATTTTTTTCTTTTGCTGTTTTGTGACCTATTTTATCACACAGTGAAATAAAAAAGCGCTTACTTCAAACATATGTCTGTGGATAAAAACTTAGTAAAATAATTCTATTCAGAAATGTTTAATATTTAATGTTTTTTTGCCACACTACTGTGAAATGGACCTGCTTTTGTTTTGTCACTTGCGAAAATTCATCATCACAATTTTTTAGTACGGGAAAAGAATGTTTACTATGCAAAATCCATGTTAACTATCTGATTTGGATTTTGCCGACGTAAACAAACAAAGATTTGTTGTTGTTTTGTCAACTGTTTCAATTTTCAACAACCAAAACTATGCCACCAAAGTAAATATTAACTTTAAATAAAAAGGCCTAACCTAAAAATACTACTTGAGTTTTGTAATGTTCATAACTGTAATAAAAAGAAATATCCAATGTCTGTTTTAATAAAGAAAATAATTAATCTTTGTAGTGTAGCAAAATGTAGCATTCAAAACACAAGTGAAAGTGGGTCTAAACATATTCTCGACCATTTTCAAACATGGTCTCAAATAGTACTTTCTATCATTTCTTGCAATTGCTTATTACTTTACCATGTAAAATTTAGAACTAGCCATATCAGAGTTTTCTAACACATCTAAATTTTGAGTTAAGTGTAAGTGCAGTTTTGATTAGTTCAAATGGGTTATTTTCTGCAATAAACCAAACAGACATAATGTTTTAAATAGTAAAAGAGTTTGACATGCATTAGCGATATCTTATTCCTAGATATTTCAACAGAGCAGCAACTAAAAATGTGCGTTTTATGATGGCGAGTGTATGGGCTGCGTAGGCTTCTGCCAGTCAGGAGTAGGGGAAGCTAGACCGTGCGGCCAACACTGAGCCAGCGATCCATGTGTTGTGTATATCGTTTACATCACCGCGTAATTTTCACAGGCAGTTGAACTCACCAACCCAAAAACTTAAATACTTATCTGGACTTAAAACTGGCAACTGGTTATGGCCTAGGCTCAATTTAAGAAAGAACAGTATTTTATAACCTTTCTCAAAAGCAAATTTGTTCTTTTGGCACTATAAAATAGAATAATGTTTCAATAGACACATGTTTCATATTTAGGGGCCGAATAACAACAAAACTACGTTTGAGTTCAATAAATTTGAAATGATTTGAATTTGCTTCACGCAACTATTCATTTTTTTATTTACACAGCTAAAAGATATGACTTACTTAATCAGAATCAATTAAGAAGAAAACTTGAGTGAGAAGCCTATCTTATCTGGGATTTACTCAAAGGTAACCTCACATTGAGTGAATTTGTTTTGAAATAGATTATTTTCAACTTTGGAGTAGGGCCTAACTTTAATAACTAACAGATAGTTGTAGTGACTGTTTTACAAAAATAAAAATTAATTTCTGTACAAAGAGTCAATAGTCCTTCCCCCTCCCCCCCCCCCAACCGGCGGGTTCTATTGACTCACTAAACACAATATAAACGTTGTTAAGTGCCATTAACAAAAACCATTTCTTTTGTCAAAAGTAATACAGTATTTGGAAATGCAACTCCACTTTCTTTGATGCCAAATCAAATTCTGGGAATGATAGATACATTTACAGTACGGTACTAAAACATGAGCGAGTAACAAGTCTGAGTAAATCCCTTGAAATCAAATTAATTAATAAAGTTACTCCTAGCAGCCTGCGTAACTTTGTGACTTCAAAATCTGTGATATATATTTGAATTTAATAATATAGATACTCACTGTATTGGACATTGAGAGTGTAATTTCCTTTGGGCAGACCTGTGGTGAACCCCTGAACACTGTGGTCTATACGACGGTACAACTTGCGGAAGTTTGGCAAAGCAGCTGTCCGCATCCAAACGATCAAGTCTTCATTTTGAAATCCATTGTTGTCTTCGTTCTCCAGGTCCAACTCCCAGATATTCTTTTTCCACATCTTCGGCTTGTCAAAGTTTTTAAATACTGCAAACAAACCGCTTGTAATTGTTGTGAAAATGTCAGTTAAGAATTTAGAATGTTATTTAGGTTGTTATAGAATTGGTATTTGTTTAATTTAAACCCCCAACTGTTACTTTTTAGGCAATGGAAAATTGACTATTTAAAACAAGCAATGACTTAAGTGAATACAGTTGATTTTAATGCTGCAATATAAAATCAACATTAAATGTTGAACAGAACTATCCTATTGTATAACTTGATGAAGTCTTTAATAAAATTAAATAAGATATCAACCAAAAATAAAGAGCAGTTCGACTGAAGATTTACAGTGAAGAACCTTTGAACTTTAATCCCGAGATTAGAATGACTGAGGTGTGTTTACCATCCTTAAGCTGCTGTCCCGAAGGTACTGGGGGGTTGCGGAACTTGACCTGCTTGTCCGAGGGCCAGGCGATGTTAGTCCTCAGTAGCGGAACCTCCTTCGACTCCTTGGTGGACAAGGTTATCTCATCTGTCCAGTAAACAGAATATATTTTAATACAAAACAACAATTTTCGCAATGACTTACAACGTAAGTGATGATGGTGTTTGGTGCTGGACCATTTACATTTAGATTTCGACAACTGCTGACGCACAACCATTTACAATAAATTGTTAAAAAAGTTAAAAATAACAATTGTTAAAAATATTAAGATATAAAATTTTAATATATAATAATAATTATAATAAAATTTTACAGATAAATTACTTTTTAGATAGCCTTCATCATTATTCTTAGAAAAAATTTTGAAACCTTAGCTTTAGTTTAGATACTTTATATTAAATTTAAAAACTGCAATATGATAATACTGTAAAAAAAAATTACCACTGAACAGGGAGTTGGCGATGGCTCCACAAGGTGCAATAGGTTTGCCGTTTGTTCCAAAGCGAAATGGATCACAATCTGTAGATGGAGATTCACTTAACTGCCCAAGCAGCTGAAAGTCATCTCGAGACTTAACATAGCGACGATGATTTTGATAGAAGTTCTTCAATCCATAGTACATGTAAACTGTTCCCTGTTGGACAACCAAAGGTTAAGGTTCAGGTAGCAAAAATTGTAGCCTATTTTATAGACAGAAATATGAGAATACAGCAGTAAGTAAAAAATAAATAATGTCAAACTCTCATCAAGACATGCAAAAAGATGTACCTATCTATGCAAAGAAAATTTTGAACGGTTTGGGACTGTCCAAAACATGATCCATCACATTTACTACCTAAAAAACCTCAGTAGAGTTACTGAGCGAGCGTAAAACCAGCTCACGCATGTTTATAACATTTCATAGACTGAAACATGAGCATTTTATCATAGCACCCCAACAGAGGTATATGGCATATCGAACTGATAACTACACCTGGCACTAGAAAAATGTGCTTACCAAGTTGAATCTGACAGCTGTTCTGTCTTCTGTCCATGTATGTGTACCTATTACTTCGGTTGCTAATGCACATATTTTTGTTTGGTTATTCACTCACCCAAAGGACTGCACTACCTTATTTAGCCCACTTTTTTTTGTTTTGTTTTTTTTTTTTTTTACTCACTAAAGAATCAGTATGAGTATGCATCACTATGTTAGTCCACTATCTATGTGCACTACTATGTGCATCACTATGTTGAGCATCACTATGTAGTATGTTGTTAATTTTGTTAAAAGATATTCTGACATTAAAATTATCTATGAACCTATTTAGATCTAATTTTAACCCTTTGTTTAGGAGAATAACCAGAAATTTTTTATCTAGGTAAATTATGCCTGTTTAAAATTATTAAGTTTAATTATTAAGCCAACAAAACAGTTTGCTGATACCTCAAGTGTCGTGTCCAATGAGAATGGTATCCTACAAGAACAGGAAGCATTGGTGTTGTTAGTTGTGACAATATCTGCACACGATACGTTAGGTGCCTTGACGCTTGTGCAGTAAGTATAGTCAATGACTCTTTCACCAACCTGAATAGAAATCAGAAATATCTAAATAACACTACAAAAGTAGGCTATACTACTAATAACAATGCTGCATTTAAAGTAGAATTCATAAAAAATCTTTGTTAATAATAAGATTTTTATTATATACCAGGTTGAGGCTGGCTGGTAGCCATTTTGAAATCAAACATAACAATTAAGTAAAGAAAGACAAACCTTAATGATTTTAATATTGGTTAGCTTAATGTGTGTTGGTTGTCAAAATGCTCAGATTGAGCTAGTGAGGGAGTTTAAAACAAAGGTTTAATACCGGACCTTAACAAATTTGAGAACGGCAGTAGTCACTCAGCAAGAAGACACTACGTTTCAGGTAATACACTTACCATGAGTACTATTATTATCATTATTATTATTATTATTATTTATTATGAGCATTAGTGAAGTTACAATAAATCAGTAAACAAATATATGAACAAGATTATCTAGAAAAAGTTTACTGCCTAGCTGCTGTTTTTTAATTGCTTGGAAGATTTAAAATGCATCATTTCCGACTGTTAGGACGACTGCATTATCTATTTTACTGTTCGCTTGGATAACCAAGTTGCATTAATAGCTTTTAGCGAATTTCCCAAATATTTAGGGAATAAGCTATTACCGTAGTAATCATGGCAAGACCTGGACCCGGGACCAATTAACTTTTTCGTTTTGAGGTTCCCTGAGGCCAAAAACACCATCCATTCAATTTATTATACAGGGTTAGGCAAAAGTCTGGAACCCCCCAGTTAACTTTTTAACCCGTTGCAGTAGGAAAACCAAACTTGGCACATATTTACAACATAAGAAATTGCACTTTTTCATCAAAATTACAACTTTGCCCCAGCCCCAAAATGGGGTATTTTTGGGGCAGCCCTAAATTTTCAAATGTAAACCCCTATCATGTGACACCTCATTTTTAAGGGTTTATCAAGAGAAATTGAATGGTGCAAACCAGAGGTCAATATCGCACCCTTAATCAAAATGGCAGCCATTTTATTTTAAGATGAGCAAGCAAGTTAAAGTCTGGACATCCCAAGTTAACTTTATAACGTTTGGCTGTAGGAAAACCAAACTCGGCACATGTTTACAACATAAAAAATGCACTTTTTCATTAAAGTTAAAACTTGTATCCTGCCCCCAAAATGGGGTATTTTGGGGGCAGCCCCAAACTTTCAAATGTAAACATCTATCATGTGACCCCTCATTTTAAAGGGTTTCTCAAGACAAATTAAATGGTGCAAACTAGAGGTCAATATCACACCCCTTATCAAAATGGCAGTCATTTTGAAATTTTTCCTATTAACTTTTTAACAGATTATAGCAGGAAAACTAAATAACTCATCATACCTTTATACAAAAATAGAATTCACCTTTTGGCTAGTATTAAAATATAAAAATTTTAAAGTAAACTGGGGGTGTCTAGACTTTATATTGCTTGCTCATCTTAAATAATTAAAATGGCTGCCATTTTGATTAGGGGCGCGATATTGACCTCTGGTTTGCGCCATTCTATTTCTCTTGATAAACCCTTTAAAATGAGGGGTCACATGATAGGTTTTTACATTTGAAAATTTGGGGCTGCCCCCTAAATACCCCATTTTGGGGGCTGGGGCAAAGTTGTAACTTTGATGAAAAAGTGCAATTTCTTATGTTGTAAATATGTGCCGAGTTTGTTTTTCCTAGTGCAACGTGTTAAAAAGTTAACTGGGGGGTTCCAGACTTTTGCCTAACCCTGTATATATAGCCTATATATTGATTTATTAATACATTATATATTTATAGCAAATCTGGAATATACTAGATTAAAATGTCTAAATTGTCCCAAATTCTACATTGGTCAGACTGGAAGAGCATTTTCATGCAGATTCAAAGAACATATCTAAGCCGTAAAGTCAAACATCCCAACGTTCAATGTACGCAGAACATATTATATTAGAAAACAATCATATTTATATAGGTGTGTGTGTGTGTGTCCGTTAGCACGATAACACAAGCAAAAATGGTCAGATTTTGATGAAATTTGGTATAAACGTGTAAATCTACTTTTATTCAAACGAGTTTGCGAACAAACATGATTGGAATATGGGAACGGGAATTTATGGAGAGTTTTATGGGGTAAAAATTGGTTTTTCTCATTTAAACAAAAAAAACATCAAATTTAGCAATTTCTTTCCAAACCATTTTTCAGAGCTTTAAAAAAACAAATAATTTAGTATATAGAAGCGTTATTATGCGGCTAATGGTTACGGAGAAAATTCCAAAAAATTGTAAATTTAAAATTCCCATGTTATTCTTATGAAGACAAACCATAACCAGTCAACCAGCCACTAAATAAAAGGGCTCTAAGCATAGTAAACTGTTGTAGTTTGCTTGTTTATGAAAATATTTTGATCAAATTTGGAAAATGCATTTATTTCTCACTAAACTATTAACATTAAACTTGTTAAACTAATTCTATTTAAATAGAGAATAAATGTGATATTTTTACGGAGACTTTTAGTGTAAATTCAATCAGGCAAATGGAAATTCGCTTAGTCTGCAGGTTTGCTGCAACGGGGGTATTTTAATAGTTTTAATAGCTTAGTTTGGTTCTTATTATGCAAATTGTATTAAAATGTTCTCGTAGGCCTAAATGTCTAACCTGTTCAGAAAAATATAGGAGACCGATACCAATCGGTATAAATGTAATCCCTACGATGAAGAAGGTTGGTAGAACTGTCCCTGCAGTAAGAATTGGTTGCCAAGCGGGAAGTTTCTGCTGCTTGAATGCACTATCTGAAAAAAACATCATACTGTCTAAAGGTGCCAAATCACACATATAACAGACTGTTGTTAGTTACAATACTAAAACATGGGACAGGAAATAAGGGAGAGGGTATTGCAGTCTGTGTTAGGTCTCATCAAAGACTAACTAGTTTACCACTAAAATTTTATAAATGGATTTTATGGACCAAGTGTTTGATAAAGGTTACAGTAGTTGTTTGGCAAGTCTATTTAATTAAATTGCAGAATAGCCTTGATTAACTGAGTGTACGTTCGATGATTTGTCCACCAATTGATTTTTACAATAAACCTTTCCACATCGGACAAGCAGCTTCAATTGTGCAGTGCACATTTTATGCTGGGTTGTGTTTAAAAAACAATTTACTTTATGTTTTAAGGATAACACATAATATTGCTATAGGCCCTAACTTTATTTTATTTTATTTCAACGGACATTCCATTTTGTTTGATGTGGTACTAAAGATAAGTTAACATTGTACAGTTCAAGATGACTAATATTAGGCCTAAATAACAACTGTAAAATTTTGACACTTAAACATAGGCAACAAAAACAAATAACAATAAAATAGTGATTACGGTAACAACAATAACTAATAGCAAAAACAATAACAATGACCATCGTATTATATAATAACCATAAACAACAAGGAAAACAGGCATGTTCAAGAAAATAAATATTAGCTTAAATAAGTAACAGATTATGACTAGAGCAATTATGAAATACTTTGTCTAATATTTACAAGGAACATGCAGTGTAATAAATGTGATTTTGAAAAGAAACGAGGAAAAAACAAGTTTGTAATTAATAGACTTTTACCAACAAGGATAGGCTATTAAAACAAAAATAAATAAATAAGCAGCACACTCACGCACTATCTGCCTGTTTAGGCGTGTGGCGTACAATGTCATCTTATCAGTTTGACTTCCAAGGTTAAAAAAACCTGCATATTCGTCAAAACTCAGTAATTTGACACATCAGAAATCCAAAAATAAAAATAAAGAGATTTGGAGGGTAATAAATAAAGAAAGGAAAGCGCCTAAAATTTCAAACCAGAATAGGAGCACCTACAAATCCAACAGGCCTAAGTAAAAATGAAGATACAAATTGCAAGCCTAACCGACCGGACCCACAAACAGGCTTACACCAAACAAAAGCTAAACTGGAGCACTTCACTAAAATAACAAAAAGTGAGTTGATTTGGATTTTTAACAGTTTCCCAGCCAAGAACTCATCAGGAATCTAGACAACATTTCAAATAAAATAATCAAATTCTGTCAAAATGAACTTCTAGAACCCCTTTTACACATCATAAACGCCTCAATTGAGCAATCCACTGTCCCAGAACTAATGAAGATATCCATAGTGTATCCTAAATTCAAAAAAGGAGAAACACAGCTCATAGAAAACTACAGACCAATATCGCTACTACCAACCTTCTCAAAATACCTGGAAAAAACAATAAATATGCAACTGATACATTTTCTCGAAAACACAAAATTAATATCTCCAAACCAACACGGATTCAGACAGGGAAAGTCGATAAATACAGCCCTAGCCCAACTATGCGAAACAATTACTAACTTATGGGAAGACAAGAAGCAAGCCACAGCAACTTTCCTGGACCTACAAAAGGCTTTTGACAGCCTAGATCGGAAGCTTCTCATCACAAAACTAGAAGACATGAACATCACTGGAAATGCCATAAAATGGATACAAAACTACCTTGATAACAGAAGCCAAACCGTTGAAATAGAACACTACAAAAATAACTACCAAATTAAAACTAGATCAGAACTACAAAAGACCATATATGGCGTGCCACAAGGCTCCATACTCGGGCCTCTACTTTTTCTTGCTTATATAAACAGTTTTACAGACAACTTACCCCCAGATTATACATGCATAATGTTCGCTGATGACACCACAATCATAACTCCGACAACTAAATCAGAAGAAACGACCCCCAAAAAATTGAAGAAACCCTAAAACTATCAACAGAAATCTGTGACAACTTGAACCTAACTATAAATAAGAAGAAAACTATACACATAAAATTCACAACTACAAACAGACAGCAAGAAGAAGAAAACCTCACGCAGCAAAACATAACCGACAATGCAAAATTCCTAGGAATTACAATTGATAAGAACCTAAACTGGCACAAGCATATAGACAACTTGCATAAAAAACTGTCATCAGCCCTTTTTGCACTGAGAAGAATACGGAAAATTACAAACAAATCGATAACAATAACAGCATCAAATCAAATCAAATCAAATCAAATCATCTTTATTCAAACTGTACATACATACATGAATAGAGTCACAGAAATAAGAACCAACAAGTACATTATGTTTCTTATTTTAACATTATTTTATTTACATACATTGCTAAATCTATGCAATACAATCCTTTATTAATGCTGTGTATTTATGAATGTAGTTAAAACATTTTTTACTCTTTTGGTTAGTTAGTCCTACATAACAAAAGGCTAAAGACAAATTTATTAAATTCGCTCACCAGTCACTAGATCTTGCAATTTGTATTTTTTTCTTCTTTATCATTAAAATCGTTTTTGTAAATATATACCTACAACCAGCTCTAGTTTGCTGGTAGCAAATAAGCTTGATTATAGGATGGATTAATAGAGCTATAAAAAGAAATCTTCTATAGAATAACAAGTTTTATCTTGGAGATATTTTCCTACTAATTTCCTAAATCCCTTTGTGTGTATATTAGTTTTCAGATTTGATGGTAATTTATTAAGAAATTTACATCCGATTTGTGTTGCTTTCTTTGAGAAAAAAGTGAGGTTATGCCGGGGTATATCTATTTGATCTCTGTTTCTTGTGTTATATACGTGTATATCTTTGCGAAACACATACTTATGAATGTTATTTTTGGCAGAGATAATGCATTCTAAAATATACTGGTCATAGACAGTTAGTATATCTAATTGTGAAAAGTAGTTTCTTACAGATGTTTTAGGTTCCAGGTTTAACATTATTCGCAAAGCCTTTTTTTGAAGTTTAAGTATTTTATCTAGGTTTTGTGCACTAGTGCCCCCATAGATTGCTAGACCATATGACAGATGTGAGTGTATATGAGCAAAATAAATACATTTTAGTGTTTCTAGATTACATAAAAATGACATTCTTTTTAAGGCGTATAATCCTGAAGAAATCTTTTTTACTAAATGAAGAACATGAAGATCCCAATTCAAATGGTTATCCACAATTAAACCTAAGAATTTTGTGAATTTTATTGTCTCTACTTGACTTTGCTCTATTGATATGGACAATTCCGGATTGTCTTTATTTTGCACTGTTGAGAAGAACATTTTATTTGTTTTTCCATGATTTAAAAATAAACTGTTTTCTGAGAAATAGGATTGAAAACATTTTAATTGTTCATTACACACAATTTCAAGATCATTATAAGATTTAGATGATGTTATTAAATTTGAATCGTCAGCATACAGAACTAACTTGCTATTGCTACCATTAAAGCTTTTTAATATAGAGGGCATTCCTTGCACATAGCACAAGAATAACAAAGGCCCAAGAATAGAGCCTTGTGGAACTCCATGTTTGATGTTTATCATTTTTGAGTTATGTTTTAAGATTTTACCAGTTGTTTCAGACACAATCTCAACATACTGTCTTCTATTAGAGAGATATGATTCAAACCAATCTATATAACGATTTGTTATACCCAGATTTTGCAATTTATTTAAAAGTATTTTGTAAAATCTGGGTATAACAAATCGTTATATAGATTGGTTTGAATCATATCTCTCTAATAGAAGACAGTATGTTGAGATTGTGTCTGAAACAACATATCACGCACTTTTTGCAGCTCACATAAATTTTGGAATAATAGCCTGGGGATCCACAGATCAGACATCATTAAAGAAACTTGTAACACTGCAACAAAAGGCTTTGGGAATTATAGAAGAATCACACTACCAAGACCACTTTTTCCCAAAAAACCAAATCCTCACCATCACCTCCACCTATATCCTTGAAGCAATAAAGTTTATAAAAAACAAACCAAACACTCTTAGACACGAATGCCACAAATATAATCTGAGAAACAAAACAAACCTAAAACAACATAGGCTCCAAAAAACTAGCTCAACCCCACATTTCATGGGAACTAGGCTTTTTAATCTTCTACCAAACAATCTAAAATCAATAACTGACACTAAAAGTTTTATTAAATCACTAAAAAAATATCTTCAAAACAAACCATATTTCAACCTAAATGAATTGTATAATGACCATAACTTCCTAAATAGGCCCTAAAAAAAAAAATGCTCACAGCAGGCCTACAGCATGAAGAAAGAAAATTCTGACGATTCCCCGATCTTGATGACCGTGGAGAAGATGAAGTGAACTATGAACTATGAACTAACTAACTATGAACTAATTTAAATCACCGCAATCTGATGGAGGCTCACATCAACTACATCCATTTTTAATTTAAAACTAGCGACAAATTTAACATGGGGATGGAATGTCCAGTTCTATTAATAGTCAAAGGCCATATTAATTACAACTAGGCTAGTGAATTAATTACTTTGCTACTAACAAAATTTTTAGCACCATAGTAAATGGTAGGCCCTAAATTTTTACATTTAAATAAACATTTACCTTATTATTTGAAGCAGTGTAACATCTTAATGGTTTGCAATACGTAATCAAACATTTAATGACAACTTTTTGCTAAAATCTAAACAAAATGTTTATAGTTATTTTAACATTATAAGTTAGATCATAGACCTAGGCTAAGCCCAAGTTACTCACACAAAATTACTTAGGCCTAGTGTATCTAAACTTACCAGATGGTCTTTTACTCTTAGGGTGACTTGACTCAGCCATTTCGACTTATTAGGCCTATGAACCTAAAACAAAAGAGTATATGTAGTACAATGCAATACTTTCATCTTAGTGATGATAACTGAGTCTGCCCTTTCCAGACGTTAAGTTTACCTTTAAGAAGGGGGGCCTTAAAAACGGCCTGAAACCCCTAGGTTAAGAACAACTTGAAACTGAAGTTGTAGCCTATAATGATATAATTTATAACTTGAAGAAACATATTTATGTAAGTTACCAGTGTTTGGACAATTCTTGAATTAATATAGAAAAGAAAAATGTAAATCAATGCCTTTACCTGAACTCTCTAATTATTGTGAGTTTGATTTTATGTCGATATTCCACAACATTAACATTGACATTTGATGACAATGTTATGTTGTTGACATTAACAATACTATAGAAAGCTACAGACTATAGGGTAGACGACTAGAAGGTGCATCGTGCAAGGCTTTCAGCCACAAAGATACAGATTATCTTTACGTCCATTAAGCATAGATTAAATATACTTAATTCAATATACATTTAAAATTCTTACGGATTAGCTTGGGACAGTTTTGAAACTACTTCTGTCCGGTTCATAAAGAGGATATTTTTATACTTTTGTTTTAAAATTAAAAAACACAAAAAGGGAAATTCTGTTATAAAGTGTAAGATAAACATTAATTAATATTTATCACGAATTAAGCATAAAAAACGTTGATTTACAGTGTAACTAAAATTTGTACAAGAACCAAGGACTAATTTTGCAAAGAAAATGGGCTCGCTGACAAACACTAAGAGCATCTGGGTCTGGGCAATGTAGTGTATTTGAAACTGCACTACAGCAAGCAAAAGCCCTCCCACGAAGATAATAGTCCTTCAGTGCAATCTTGAGTGATCCAGGACGGCTGAGGAACTTCTCTGTCAGCTTGCCCTCGAATACGATGTCGACGCGCTTTTAGTCAGTGAATAGTACCAGTACCAAGATAGGGCCCATCTTTTTGGTTCCCTGATCCTCTTGGTACTGCTGCATTCTGGGCGCGTAATGCAGGTCAAATCAAATCATTTATTGTCCATAAAACATAAATACAATGCATAGACAAAAGTCACAGTGTCAAAATAAAAGTCATAAAACATCAGTTTCAAATGGCCTAAAATAAAAAAGAATACAATTTCAATGCACATAAAAAACAATAAGAGCTACCTCTTAGTGCACATACCTGGTATCAACATATATCACTCAAAACTGTCAAAGGCGAAGTACAAGTGCGGGGTAACGCGAAGGGCCGAGGTTTCGTTTGGGTTCGGTGCAGAGATGTCGCTTACTTCAGTGTCTACCTCACTCCCAACGAGGCCTTCCGTGACTTTCGTGAGAAGATAGACCGCCTAGAAGAGAGCAGAGAGCATGCGCGATACCACAGGACACGTCTTCGTGGGTGGGGATTTTAATGCTAGGGCTGTCGAGTGGGTAATGAGGAATGACCCTCACCAATTCCCGGGGCAAGTACATTCTAGACTTTGCTGTCAGAGCCGGACTCGTCGTCGTCAACGAGGGCAACACGCCAACTTCAATTCACGAAGTTGACATGGTCAATTCCGATGATGACAGTGAGGTCAATTGGACCTGTGTGTCACATTACATCCAGGTTATTCTCCACGCCAATAAGCTCGACCTTGGATGGGATGCGGTGTAGGTCGCAAAGAATCTAAATGCCAGAAACGGTGATAGCCCTGAGGGCTTAGGTCACATGTTGGCCTGACTTTAAGTAATGTGACAAACAATTCCAGGTGTCTGTGTCCATGGTCCAACAGAGTAGGAGTTTTTTAGTGAGCAGTCTCATCAATTCAGAGTCGCACACTACAGGCTGGCTACCTGGGGCCCATTTCATAATAAAGTACAAACTAATATTATTAGTAAATCAGCTGATCGCCCAATGCAAATCTAATGGAAATTACAAGTTACAAGTTGTAACTTGTAACATGTAGTTTATTATGAAATAGGCCCCTGGGTGCGTAAAAGCATTTTCCCTCCCTCCCTAAAAAATAACTAAACTTGCCTTTAAAAAAAAAATCAAGCCTAATTAAGCTAATTAATTTAAGTCTAACCTCTCTCAAAGTCAATGGTGGAATGAGGAATTCATCTAGCTCTTTGCCATACATAGATTAAATGTCATTAGATTGCAAATCGAACATACCCTATGCTCGGAAAATGTTATAGTCCTACATGCATAAGAACTGACCTGCCTCAAATTTAGTCTTTCATCATGCAAACAAACAAAAAAAAACTAAATATAACCTCAAAACACGTGTCTGCTTGTCTAATGTGTTTGTTCTATTGTTTACACTCTGATTTCTCTTCTGATTGAACGATTCAACCTCAACCATCTTTCTAGCTCGATCGCAGGCCAGTATCTTCATTGTGTCATATTTCTTTTAGAATTTAACTGTTTTATTTTTCTTAAAATGGGTAAAAAGAAAGGTTTGAAAAGAAAACTGCAGCAGAAGTCTGATGATTCTATTGAAAAGGAAAAACAACCTCCTCCAGCAACCCGGTCTTCAGATGAACCTATTCCCAAGAAGGCAAGTAGGGCCTAGGCCTTTACAAATAATTCATAACTAACTTAGGTCCTATCTTTTGGAATGCAAACGTGGGTGATTTTTTTTTGTACTAATGGTTGCGGGTAGACTTTTGTTATATGTTGGCAAAAACAATCGGGGTACAGTTTCTTAACTGGGCTAGGCCTATGCTAATATCGATTGAAACTATCGAATTGGAAATATTGATTAATAATCGATATTTTAAATATATCTATTAAATAATTAAACTATCATAACTTAACCTAACCAACCAAAATTGCTGATGGCGAAAAAATCGCATGAAGGTTTACTAATCGAATCGATAGTTTCAATCAGTATTAGCATAGCCCAGTTAAGAAACTGTACCCAACAACCGAATGAAAATATCAATTGATAAGTATATCAAATGAAACAATCGAATAGCCTAATCACAATTTTAATTCGGTTGTTGGTGCCAACAGATACGGAAGTCTACCCCAAAATAAGAATCAAATTATTTTTAACGCAGCAGCTCTGAAATATGTAAGTTATTTTCTTAATAATTTTTAGATCACTTTAGTGAAAGCAGAATTCATCTAGGCTAACTTAAATTATTTGTTGATAAGTAAAATAAACTTCACACACTCTATTAACAGAATTAAAAGTGGTAGGCCTAGGTAGAATAAAATGATAATAGATTTGTACACATGTCTCATGTAAACAAAGCACACTTTTTTCAATACCAATGCATTTTTAAATGGAAGATATTTTTGGTTCTGCTATTTTCCTGACCCCCTGGGGCCAAGCCCTTTAATTTGAGCCCTCTCCCATCATCTTGCAAGCTGTCAAACTCTAACAATTTTAATTTAAAAAATTGCTTACAGAATTAATAATAGCCTATACCGGTAGATTAGTCTGTATGATCAACCATAGGTTGCATTTCTTTGGTAATCTCTGCATTCCAAACACCAAGTTGCAATAACCCTCCGAGTGTCCCTAGTTTTGGCCTTAATGTCTGCCTATTTTTTGCGCATTTGCAAGGTTTTATTAAAACGGATCTGAGAAGCCTAAAAACAATGTTAATTATACTGTTCTATATACCATTTTGTTTGGAAAATCATGGGCTTCAATATTATACATAAAACATAAGGAACATTTGTTTAAAAAAAATTTTTAGGTAAAAAAATTTTTTGGAAAATTAAAAAAAAAAATAAGTTTGCGCTCAATGAAATTGTATAAATTATAGGCCTATAAATATTTGAAAATAGCCACTTTGTTCTAAATTTTATGAGGATTACAAATATATAATAATATAAGGAAGTAGATTTGCAAATAAATAAGTTATGGGCAAAAAACAGATTTCAGTACATAGCGTTTAGCTAAGAATGCATAGCCTAACCATAGCTAGGAATCTGGCTGATAACTTACATCATCACTACCTACTTCTTCAGGATCATCAACCAGCCCTTCAAAATCACTTAAATCTTCTTATAATGCACCACGTATAAGTTTATCACTACTTTTGATTTTTAACACTAAAACACACATCAGTCATCGGTGCGAGGTTAACCAAGCTGCTTACAAATACGTACGTCAGCTGTCTGCTACAATTATGATCGGCTCGAGAAAAAAAAGCGCTTAGAGACAGACCTCCGGAGAAAGCTTAGAATCTGCTAAATAAAACGATACCTAACTCGATCCAGTTCAAACCGATTTTGTCAGTCATAGAGCCTTCGCCGTAAACAGTGTTTGTGAGTCGAAATTTCGACACAAAACACTACACAAAGTGTGTTATGTGTCGAAGCTTCGACAAATAACACTCGGAGGGTTAAGTATATTACTGATTTAATAATCTTCTTCTCATCAATTCTAAAACTCTCATTCTCGTCCAAACCATTACAGTAAATTTATCTACCCAAACCCATGCTTGCAACTTAAATTACCGTAGGCTAGGCCTATGTCATAGAAAATTATATCTAGCCCACAAACCTTAGTAGCCACACTCATCTCCATTCATACTTGGCTTAATATAAATTACTTATATTCGTATGGTAGCCATTTAAATGTAATGTACCTAACCTATTAAAAGTATAAAGTAATATTGGTTTGGGTGAATTCAAGTTTTAGTGGCAAGGAAGGTACTAAACTTATGTGCACCACGGAATCGATTTTTCAAATAAATTTGGGTACACTTCTATATCTGTTGGCACTAAAAACCGAATGAGTAATAGGCTATTGATTATTCAATTGTTTAATTCGATATATCGTTTGGTTAGTTAGGTTAGGTTAACATTACCTAACTAAACAAACAATATATCGAATAATCTATCAATTTTCATTCGGTTGTTTGTGCCAACAGATATGGAAGTGTAGCCTACCCTTATTTTGTTTAAATATAACATTTGTTTGTTTTACATTTGAGATTTTTAGGGACTTATGTCCCTACATGCCACTAACTTAATGTAGTTAGTTCTTATTTAGGCATGTTAATAAGGTAAGTAGGTACTTAGGTTGGTTTTTATGCTTAAACTTGTAACTGTATCAGGTGGTTTTAAGTTAGATTTTATTAGGAATGTAAAGTTTTGGTTATAAATGAACTGAGTTATTAATTTATATTACCTCCAGATAGATTTCGAACAGTTGAGATACTTAGTGGCTTGAACGCAATTAATTAGGTACCATTTCAAAAATGTTTTTTTGTTTCAATGGTAGGGTACATGGAATCGTGTGCAGTGGTTTTGTTTGTTTTTTCATCGCATATAAACAGCTATGATTTGCTCTCCACATACCTTCCTCTTCAAACTTGGACTCACCTAAACCACCACGTAAATATAGCTCAATGAAGATTAAATTGTAATCTTTAATGTATTTATTCGGATACAGTACTTTTAAGGCTCTTTCTGACTTCCGTTAAAAACTTATTGCATTTTTAGGATTCAGTGTGAAAAAACTGTTAGTAGCTTAGACATATAAAAATTAAATTGTTAATCGATGAAACTAGCCTACTATTTAACTTTGACCTAAATTTATAATTTTGATCTTGTTTTAGTCAAAATGGACTAACAGGACAAGAGTTCTTGTGTTTGCTACAAGAGGAATCACACATCGTGATCGCCATCTCTTACAAGACTTGCGCACCATGTTGCCTCATTCCAGAGATGAAAATAAGATGGAAAGGGGAGAAAACTTTTTAGTGGTCAATGAAGTGAGTAGACAGTTTGTTAGGTATCATATTTTAAACAATTTAATATTTAGTTAATCGTAAGTTGTTGTGGGAAGGTGCAGATCAAGACTGCCCCTGCTTTTGTAGGCAAAATCTAACATGGAACTAGAAGTTAAACTTGTATTCCTGTTATTCTTTGTGTGCATGTTTCTATGCAAATGGCATTTTCTAGGGAACGCACCAAACTTTTTCCAACAGCTTTATAAATTACCATTCCAAAGACATAATTCATCTGGGGTCTAGAATTGGTTTCACTTGGAATCAAACAAGCAACCTTTAGTTGAAAGCCAAGCAATATATATATTACAGTAGGTAATTACAGTAAATACTTAACCACTACATTGCAGAAGATCCTTGTTTAACTGGGACCAGAAAGTGATGACTACTTTGCACAGGGTGCAGTAACGTTAAGACTTTGAAAAAGTACCTACCGTACTAATAATATTTGTAGAAAAAGTATAATTGTTTTAATATAGGTAAATCTTAAAAGTACACGAGTAAAAAATTTTTGAAAACAGCGTCAGTAAAATGGCATCCTTGGTTTTGCACTTGTTGAAGTCTGAGATAAAATCCGATGATGTTTTTAAGCATCTGGAAAATGTCTGCAATTTTTTTGTAGCGCTTAGTCATGCTAGCAATGGCTTCAAAGTTATTCATCCAAAGGAGGATAGCTTCCCCTAATGGCACTGGAGCCTGTGGCGGTAGACTGAACTCGCAACGGAACAAACCACAATATCTGCGTGTTTAATATACTTTATACCAAACGCATGTTGTACACTTGTCCAACACACCATGGCTACTAAAATTTTCACTAGTCTAGACACTTAGTATTTCCCTTGTACTCTCATAAGCCCGCTACCCCCGTCAGCTGGAGTCGGAATGCCATTTCACTGCTTCGAACGCAGTTGTCTAAATAGTTGTCTAAATCACCAAAATTTTTAGTGGATCTCTGTTTTAATGCTTTATACAAACAATAAACATCGGCAGGTTTTTGTGCCAATACTTAATGCCTTTTCTGTAGACTTAAGCCTAATGATCATCTTAGATCTAAAAGAATTCCGTCAAGCGGGGTAATTCTGACCCCCCAGGGGTAACATTGACCCCGGGGTCAATTGTTTGTATTATATGCTTTTTTAAATAGTAGGTTATAAATAAATTGAAAATAAAAAATATGATAAATTACAGTAGTTGGCAGCAATTTGAAAACAATTAATATTTAGCAGAAATTAGTTTTATAACAATAAAAAAATATTATAATACAATCATCTACAAAACAGCTGTATAATTTCATAACAAAAAACTTTTTCAGCCCAGCAAAAACTGTTGGTTCTGGCACTGTCAGGATTTTATATGGTAAAATATATATGTTTTTAGGAGTATCTGAGCACTTATTACAAGTAAGTACCTGGGGACCGAGCTTTGCTCGGGTAAAATCATTAGTTTGCTATTAAAGCAGTCTTAGTATTGAAGATACATTAATCCATTCCCAAAATCCACACTCCCCGCCTTTACTACATCCTTCACCACTTCCTACGTCGTGGGCCTGTTCCTTCCCTTTCCATAGCATTTTAAGATTGCAGATACCTTAATTTAATCGTCATAAACAGTTCTCACACTCCGGACTACTCGCCTTTACTACTTCCTTCACCACTTTTTACGTCGCGGACCTGTTTCCCTCCCTTCCCATAGCATTTTAAGATTGCAGATACCTTAATATGATCTTCAAAAACAGTTCCCACACTCCGGACTACTCGCCTTTACTACTTCCTTCACCACTTTTTACGTCGCGGACCTGTTTCCCTTCCTTCCCATAGCATTTTAGAATTACAGATACCTTAATCTAATCTTCAAAAACAGTTCCCACACTCCGGACTACTCGCCTTGACTACTTCCCTCACCACTTCCTATGTCACGGACCTGTTTCCCTCCCTTCCCTTAGCATTTTAAGATTGCAGATACCTTAATTTAATCGTCATAAACAGTTCCCACACTCCGGACTACTCGCCTTTACTACTTCCTTCACCACTTTTTACGTCGCGGACCTGTTTCCCTCCCTTCCCATAGCATTTTAGGATTGCAGATACCTTAATATAATCTTCAAAAACAGTTCCCACACTCCGGACTACTCGCCTTTACTACTTCCTTCACCACTTTTTACGTCGTGGACCTGTTTCCCTCCCTTCCCATAGCATTTTAGAATTGCAGATACCTTAATCTAATCTTCAAAAACAGTTCCCACACTCCGGACAACTCGCCTTGACTACTTCCCTCACCACTTCCTATGTCACGGACCTGTTTCCCTCCCTTCCCTTAGCATTTTAAGATTGCAGATACCTTAATCTTATCTTCAAAAACAGTTCCCACACTCCGGACTACTCGCCTTTACTACTTCCTTCACCACTTCCTACGTCGTGGACCTGTTTCCCTCCCTTCCCATAGCATTTTAAGATTGCAGATACCTTAATCTAATATTCAAAAACAGTTCCCACACTCCGGACAACTCGCCTAGACTACTTCCTTCACCACTTCCTACGTCGTGGACCTGTTTCCCTCCCTTCCCATAGCATTTTAGGATTGCAGATACCTTAATCTAACCGTCATAAACAGTTCCCACACTCCGGACTACTCGCATTGACTATTTCCCTCACCACTTCCTACGTCACGGACCTGTTTCCCTCCCTTCCCTTAGCATTTTAAGATTGCAAATACCTTAACCTAATTGTCATAAACAGTTCCCGCACTCCGGACAGCTTGCCTTGACTATTTCTATACCACTTCCTACGTCGCGGACCTGTTTCCCTCACTTCCCTTAGCATTTTCAGATTGTAGTTACCGTAATCTAATCGTCATTAACAGATCCCACACTCCATACACCCTTGACTACAATGTATTGAGTAATCTTCAGTATAATCTTTGCTCAATGGTAACAACTAATGTTTTTCCTTTTGTACTGTATTTTGTAATTGCTAGTATACTGTGGATAGACTACTTTCAAGTCTTTTGTTTACATTTTCCTTGTTATTCAATTCAACCAACATGGTTACTTAGCAACCCATAAGACTAATGTTAAAAAAATGTGACTTTCAGTTTCATTTTTCTACATAATTAGATTTTTGTTGGCAGTTATAACTGCAGTAAACTCGTTTTTAGGCCAAAAGTAAACTATTTACAACATTTGAAGAAAATCGTCGGGGCCGTTTTCGAGATCCTGGTGCAAGCAAGCAAGCAAGCAAGCAAGCATACATACATACATACATACAAGCAAACATTGCTCGTATTAGAGTATAGGATAAAGAAAATTTAATAAATTAATTATTATTTTTTAAGGCCTTGTAACATTGACCCCTGAATTTTTTTGTCTTCGGATAACTTTGACCCCTCGTTATAATTCCAAGTTACTAATTACACATCATTTTTATTGATTCTGGTATATTTAATTTAACTGATATATGTATATAATGTGATAGACCTACTAAAAATATTGATTTATAATTGTTTTATTTTTATCTATGAAGTTGAGGTAAAAGCAATCTATGGAAAGCGAGGAAAACAATACTTTAACACATTGAACCCTAAGCCCGAGTATAGGTCGGGGTATGACGTAAGACACACTGAACTAACCCCGAGTATAGGTCGGGCTTCAATATTAAATTCCATAGCAACGTAATGACGTCACATTTGCTATTTTTGTTATTACGTAACCATTCCTTGGTCATCTGGCTTCGATTGTAATACCCCACAACCTAAAAAAAACCAGCTGTTTGGTAACACAAAAAAAAGATCCAGCTGTCTGCAGCCTTGCATCGTATTGCTTAGTGATGACGACGACGACGCTTTGTTGTTGTTGTCTGCGCTAATGGCTGTCTTTGTTTACAATCGTTTATGTGTTCAATAAAGTGAATGTTTTATGTTTTTTACAAGTATTATGATTGCGTAATAGTTCTTGTTATGAGCAATACCTTGTTGTGGATAATTTTTATTGTGTTTAGTGTCAAATATGAGCGATATATTTGATAAAAAAACGTTGAGTCATATTCGTGAACTCTTGTCGGAATCAGACCATAGTGATGAAGAAAATCAATCTTTTAGTGAAAATAATTACTTATGTTCAGGACCTAGTTCTACTACAATATCAGTAAATGAAAACTTGAATGATCCTATTTATGATTCTGGTTCGGAAGGTGAGTTTGTTGTAAGTAATTTAGATGCTTTTCAAAATGAGGTTAGTGCAGTTACATACATGGTTGATGAAAATGATCCTGATGAGTTGGTGTTTTATGATTTACTACCAAGTGACATAGACAATGATGACTGTAAAAATGAATCAATTTCAGTAGTTGAAGAAGATGAAAGTAGAAACTTAGGCCCAATTAGATGTAAATATAACCCTACAATTTACTCTGATGAAGAAAACTGTGATGAACCAGAAACAGTTCTAGACACTACTAGGCCTACAGATGGTATACCATTTAGGCCTAACCCTCTTGAAATTAGTCATGAACAACCACCCAATCAGCCTAATCATAAAATCTGCAAAAACAGAAAATTACTTAGGCCTAATAGTTCGATAGTTTCTTCGGATGACGAACTGTGTGATCCTGATTTCGACAATGTTGACAAAGATCCTGATTTTCTACCTAGTGATCGTGAAGATAATGTCTTACAGCCTTCAGCTACTTCTTTTTTAGGTTCTCTTAGGCCTAATAAAGTAACCAACCAAGTAAAACGCCGGTCAAATAGTACTAATTATAATCGTAAAACCAAAAGACATCGATCTATATCGCCAAATGAAAACTTACCGGATAATGCAAATTTACCTGTGCCAAATGAAAACTTTGAACATGAACCGGAGCAGACTCAACCAAGGAAAAAGAAGAAGAAAAAACCCACTGATGAGGAACTTGGATGGCGGTTGGAGGACAACCCACCGCCACTACCAGCATTTGACGAGTTAGGCGCTGGTGTTACGGCTGCTATTGATGAGAACTCAACTCCATTTGATGTGTTTTCTATATTTTTTCCTGAATTTTTTATCAAATCATTGAAGTCAGAGACAAATAAATATGCCAAATCTATAACCGATAAACTAAGAAGATCAAACAAATTGAAGAAAAATAGTGTCTGGTCAAAATGGACAACCGTAAAGCTTTATGAAATTTACCATTTTTTCTCGATTGTATTGCACATGTGTGTTGTGAAAAAACCTAAACTTAGTGACTATTGGTCAACAGACAATTTTATAAAATCTATGTATGCTCCATCAGTCATGGCCAGGGATAGGTTCCTAGCAATTTTGGCAAATTTTCACATCAACGATAATTCAACATACATCCCATTCAACACTCCAGGCCACGATCCGTTACATAAACTAAGACCATATATAGATCTTTTGCTGACTTCTTTCCCAATGTGTTTTTCACCGTACGAAGATTTGACCATAGACGAAGGAACTTGCGGATTCAGGGGTAGAGTTCGGTTTAGAGTTTATAATAAAAGTAAGCCTGACAAGTACGGGATGAAATTATATGTTTTGTGTGATGCATCTACAGGATATGTTCTAAAATTTGAAGCCTACACCGGTAAGTCTGACTCCAGTAATACAGTTGTAGCTCTATATGAGAGATTGTTGGCAGATTACCTCAATAAAGGACATACTATTTATAATGATAGATTTTACTCTTCACCAAAGCTTTTTGACTTTCTCTGGGAGAAAAATACTAAAGCAGTCGGTACCTGCATGAGCAATAGGACCGAGTTGCCCAAGACTGTCACCACTAAAAAGCTACAAAAAAATGAAACTGTTTTCATGAGAAGAAACCATTTACTCTGCATAAAATGGAAAGATACTAGAGATGTCTTAGCTCTATCAACAGCTCATAAAATGACTACATCAGAAGTTACGGTGCGTACAAAACAAGGGATGTTGCAAAAACACAAACCAGATCTGATTTTGGATTACAACAATAAAAAAACAGGTGTGGACAGAAATGACCAGTTTATTTCCTATTACCCTTTCAAGAGGAAACAGATGAAATGGTGGAAAAAAATGTTCTTCCACTTGTTTATGATGTCAATTGTCAACGCATTTATCTTATATCGAAAAACCAGACCTGCAAACCTGAGACCCCTCTGTCACCTTGAAAAATTTATAATAGCAATTGGAAAATCATTGAGCGAAAAAGCAGGGACTTTATTACAAGAAGAGGAAACTGCAAGAGCCACAAAATCTGATCGACTTATTGGACGTCATTTCCCTGACAAAATCCCCTCTACGGACAAGAAAAAAAATCCTACAAGAATTTGCAAAGTGTGTTCGGGAAAAAACAAAGTTTCTACAGGAAAATCTGGAAGAAAAGAAACTTCTTGGTGGTGTCCAGAGTGCCAAACACCATTGTGTGTGCCTGAATGTTTTAGACTGTATCATACCAAAGCAGACTATAGTAAAGCCTAGGCTAGATGTGCTTGGGAACTGATACGACAACGACATTTCAATTTCTCGTGTTATAATATGTAAGGTAAGCAATATAACTATATACATGTATATATTTCCTGAAAGGGCATGTTGTTCTCTTCAATTCCACATGATATAAATGCCATAATTATGCTAAAGTAAATATTAAATACTTTTTTAATTAGGTTAGTACTTGCGGTTGCAATTTTTGTTTTTCTCAATTTTTTTTGTTATTTCAAACTGAAACCCTGTAATTTATAGCCTACGGTAATGTAATAAAATATATGTCATTTAAAAGCTTATTATTTTCTCTTTAATTTGATATATTATTCACCAGAAAAAAAGTTTTTTTTTACCAAGCTACAAATTTTTAATAATACCCTAAAATTGCCCAGTAACGCCCATACTAAGGGCATTTTGCGCTCAGGGTTAAAAGTGTTAACCAGGTCTTTGCCTGTTAAGTTAAAAATTAACAGTTTGTTGAAGTAATGTGACTTAATTCTGTTGACACTAACTATGGGGAAAATTTACATCTAAAAGAAAATTATGTGTTTTCTATTCTGCCCCATCTGTAGATCTGATTATTTGCCGGGAACTCTGGAATCTGATGGGCGCAAAATTTTCTATAACTTTTTGGAAGGGTTTGAGTAAAGGAAATTTAATGATTTTAGTCTTTAATAACTTGTAGTTTTGATGTTTTTCCTTGGTGTTACATCCTAATAATGTGATTTTGAGAAAAAAAAATGCTAATTGGATCTATTCCGTCATTATAGCCTGGGTGTGTTCATAAAAAAAATTGTTATGTTCACTCCTTGATGTTGTTACCACTCTATTGTTCTTAAGTAACATTGACCCCTTTTACAGGGGTCAAAGTTTCATTGTACACTAGTAACATTGACCCCAGTGCTTTATTATGTATAATTTTAATATAATAAATGTAGGGGGTCAATGTCACCCCAAGACACGGGGTAACATTGACCCCTTTTATTATTTTTTTTTATGACTAACATATGACCATAAAAAACAAAATAATTACTGGAAGGTATTCACACAGTACCTATATATCATTTAAAAAATATATTGTGAATATTAATCAATATAAACAAAAATTAATCAACAAAAACATCAAAAAAGGGGTCAATCTAACCCCGGTTGACGGTTGTATGTCAAATAGGCCTATTCTGCTTGATCAATAAATAACATTCCTATTTCAGATGAGTTCGATGAAAAATTGTGACAAATGTATTTTGCTGGAAGGGCGCAATAAAAAAGACTTGTTCATGTGGGTTTCCAATACTCCTGATGGTCCTTCAGCCAAGTTCCTTGTTGAAAGTGGTGAGTTATGATTTTAAATTGTTTGTAATTAGTTATACTACCTAGTCTATCATTTGATGTCCACAATTGATTATGTTTTTTTTTTTTTTTTTTAACTCATAAAGTGATTTTTGAGACCCCAAATCTCACATGAGTATATGTTTAAGGTCAGTAAATGAAACTCTAAGAGTTGATTGAAAACCTTCAAATAGTTTTGCAGACAAAAAGTTACAGAAATGTATTTTAAGATACACGGCATGTAGACGCTATGCAGCATTTACCTTATTACATTTCCTCTTATCCCTAGAAAGAATATCAGAAGTGTTGTGAGTATAGCTCAATCGATTTTTTTAACTGGTAGTCTAGTTTGTGAGTAGGCCTACATTAAGTATACATAAATTTTTAATGGTATGTGAACAATAACATATGCAAGAGAAGATTTAAAGGACTGGATTATAAAATCTAATCTAGAGACTCGAGTATACAGTGGTTACACTAGCTGTTTATCGCAATCCATGCGTTTCCAAGGCACTCTATGAGACACTCTTTAAACTATGTCCAGGCCCGGACTGGGGCCATTTGGGGCCCTCAGCTACATGCTGTGAAGGGGCCCTCTACCGAGGGATTATTTTTTATTAGGTTCTTGTAAACAAGTTTTTTTTTCTCTTACTATTTTGGCAATTTATAAGAAGGAAGAAATTCAGCTAGGTATTTATAAAATATAAGGGTATTTACTTATTATTAAAAGCCCTATTATTTATTATTAAAATCAACTTTATTATTTAATAAAATAAAAAATTTACATTATTTTAGGACAATACAACAAAAAATACACGTAGGCCTACTGTAGAAGTGTCAACAAGTGTGTTATAACGTAGTTCAAATTAAAGTGCAGTATTATTCCACACCAAAGTTAATAAATTGTGTCAACAATATTTGTGTGGTAATGATAATCACAAAAAGATTTTAGGGATTTGAAAAATAATACTAACAAGACAAAGACTGTACTATTTAGTAGATGTACCTAACAACAAGCAAAACTATTGAACTATAAATACACATAACATAGGTGTCATAAAACATGGAATATTAAAAAAAATTACACACACATTCACAATTAATAAGCACTGTCTACAAGCTTTATTTACTCACAAACGCATACACCTATAGGCCAAAAATTGTGTAACGCAAAAACGTAAGAATATTAGGTTGCATCATAGATAAACCATCGCTATATAACTAGATTGGCTAAACATGCTCCCTAGATTTCTCATCCTTATGGATCAGCTGAGGACAATTTTGCTGTTAGCTGTCCGGTATACTGTAGAGGTCGTGTTTTATAAAAATCTTTGTTTCTTGTTAATTCAGATACTTATAAAGTCAATTAACCAAATAAAACGATGTAATTATAAACAATAACTTGTCCCCTAGTTATATAACCGAACGGTAAAGCAAAAATCACAAAGTAACCCTAAAATAATAGGAACAAAATTTCGTCGACACTAATAGTGATCAGTCAAAATGAACTAGACACGAAAAAGACCTTCAAAATTTACAATATTCACAATATTTTTATGTAGGCCAGACGATGCAGTAGCTGGTTGACTGACATTGTATTGTCCATTGTGCAATACTAGCTGTACTCTCTGAATTTTCTTGTGTTATAAATTTTAACAGTTGGATTTATGTGCTAGCCGTGTTTCGTGCGTTAACGCAAACATCCCTACGTAGCTGACCTTTATGCTACTGCTTTTTAGATGCGGTAGTGTAAAAAAAATCAAAATTCTATGGTATGGTCGAATTTCGTCAATTGATTTTCGCATTCTAATTATTCCTATCCACTTCTAGGTATCGGTAGCGGCATTGACTCTTGATGATCAATTATTCTCGATACACATACTAATGTTCCAGAATCGGTGGCATCAAGAATCGGCACATCCCTACCGGAAGGATTCCAGTATCTTTTTCTTCTTTTCCTGTCTTTTTGCACTGTCTTTATGCTGGGTAATCAGCTTATATGATAGACTGTCACTTTGCCGTTGTCTGCTAACCACAACACAAGTCACCGCGCAGACAATTTATTACACTACAACAACGTAACTCAACTTAGAATAGGCTACCTACAAGTAGGTTGTATGCCTTTATATAAACGGGAAGATACAAACAGCTGTTAAACACAGTTCTCTAGTTTGGAAAATGTAAACAAAACGTTACTAAGAACATATGATAACTTATAACAAGCAAAAACATTTTTTGTAATTTTTAAGGGAGCAGGGGCCTTCCGTGATCGCGGATCTGCGGACCTAGCCAGTCCGGGCCTGACTATGTCCTCTTTTACTTTTAGTAAAAACTAGCTACAATTTGTCTACTTCAGTATTCAAAGTCAATGATATAGCCTAACTAAATGTTTTTTGAAAAAAAATCATTACATTTTTATTTCAGAAAATGTAGTTAAACAAGAAAGTTTTTAAATTGAAACCATTTTTACTATGTTATCATCCTTTTTAACCCATTTATTTATCACAATGTTTTTCTTCAGTATTCACGATGGGTGAGATGAAGTTGACTGGCAATTGCCTCAAGGGGTCACGCCCTCTGCTGTCATTCGACGAATCGTTTGACACCAGCCCCCAGTATGCGTTGCTAAAGGAACTTTTCACACAGGTAGACCTAACCTCTTAGTCTAAGTTGACTAAACAAACATTAGTTTTTAATTGATAAGTTTATAGGAAATGCTCTCTTACAAAGAAACAGCAGCAAGGCACCAATTCAAAGGCAGTCTGAATGTGTAGTGATGTGACCAGAGACTTAAAATGTAAAATATAAAATATCACCTAATTATCAGCTCACAGATGTTTAAATAGTTTTTGTTATTTTTTGTTACTAGGAAGATAGAAACAAAACAAGGATCAGTATTTTTATGCTTTCCAACAAAAACTGATTTAAATTTATTTGAAACAATTGCTTGTTACCGGTACTTTAAAAAGTGTTCAATTAAATTAATCATTTTTGGTGCAAATTCTTTAGACTTTCCATTTCAGGTATTTCTTCTGGTAGCCTATATAAATAAAGTCTTATTTTAATACGAGGTTCTTTCCACTAAAGATGTATTGTAATGATTATTGATTGTTGTGACAGCTGATCCTTGATTATTATAGAGTAGGACTAAAACCTCCTCTAATACAAGGTTGCGAGGTTTTTTTTTGTCCTAGGACGCTAGGCACGAGCCCAGAATTGTTTTTCACATTACTTCAGGCTAGACCTAGGGGTTACGGCATTATCACTGAGATAAAATCCATTGGTGATTTGGCGGGATTTGAACACGGGACCCCAGGAACCGGACTACCACGCTCTAATCACTATATTCCTTGGTTTAATTTAATCAGTGGTGTGGCAAAACAAAATAATAAATGTATCAAATAAAGTAAATGTGAACTGAAAGCTATGTTAAAATAAAATAAGAGTATTTTGTATTACCATTTGATAATTAATTATAGTTACACATATACAACAGATTTTATTACACAAAAATCAACGTCATACAATTTAGTAATTGATGATATTCTTTAGTTTAATTTAAGCATAGGTTTAGCAAAACATAATTACTTAATTTACCTAAATATATGTATAAAAAACAATGTGATGTGCAAGTTATGTTAAGTTAATCTAACACATGTTAAGGAGTTAGAATTTATTCAAAGTAGCCTCAAAATTCATATAAAACATCTATACATTGTAATTTTCATACTGTTTCCATGAAATCATATTAATAACATTATTTTCATAACTTAGACGCTTTAAAAAAATCCAAAGCAGAGCCGGAGTTGATACAGCAACTGTTATAGCATCTTTTTTTATATAATCATTTACGTAGTTTTAGAATAAATAATCCATCATAAAAGGTTAAATTAAAATAAACCTACCTCATAGTTATGGAAAATATTATATTTAATTTCTTTTTATCAGCTGTCTGAAATTGTGAAATATGCAGTTTAGCAGTTCTTGTTTACATTTAAATGTCAAAGCAAATGTAAACAAACATTGTTAGTGTTCTCATCGCAGCCATGGAGACCAATCAATATTTACTTTTAAAATCTTCACCTCACAACTTTTAAAGCCAAAGGGGCTAAGCCTACGGTTAGTATCGAAACGTGAATAGTCCTATAATGGTCCTTGGTATGGTAACTATATTTTTGTAAAATTTTAGCACAGTTTGTTCAGTAGTTTTTGCACCTATTAGTAACACACATATAGACAGACACCATTAGATTTTTATATAATAGTATAGAGTATAGATATAGATATACAAATTTATGAACTGTTGCAAAATATTAACTGGGTAGGGATGCTAATTTAGCGGGTTTGGCCAAGAACTAAGCTTACCTCAACACACCTTTATTTGCCTTTTCATATTTGACGAAGACAATTTTCAAAATTCCAATCAGGGAAGTCTTTTTTTATCACCATTAACCACAAGACCAAATCTACCTAAAAACCAGTATTTATTCACAAACGATTATATGTTTGCTGCATTTAGTTAAACCTATGTAGTGATTCAAATGATTTATTGAAAATAACATGAACAAAGGCAAACTAAGACAAACAACAAACTGTTTTTTACACAAAAGATATGGCATACACAGATACCTATTCTGACACATAGATAATATATTTTTTAGTTTGTTTGAATATTAGAATAATTTGTTTTATATTATTGAGCATTTTAGGGACTTATGTTCCTACAAACCAATAGTATAGGCATATTTGTAGAAATACTATATCCAGAATTGTGATCAACTACTATTGTGATTGTTTACAACAATGTATACTAACAATGTAACAATGTATGTGTAAACATCTACCATGGATAATAGACCTAGCTCCTGTTGTGCACTTGAGAGATAGTTATACTTGTGTATGACTTTAGTAAGAACCCTTTGTTGACCCTTACTGAAGAATGGAACTTGTTTCAGATTTTCGGCACACCGGCATACCACCCGAAGAGTCAACCTTTCACAGACCGAGTGGTGGCGTTTTCAGTCCTCGACAACAGGATTTGGTTCAGAAACTACCAGATTCTAACTGAAGACGGAGCTCTTGCTGAAATAGGTAAGTAAGAAGGAATTATGATAAATTTTCAAAAGTCGCATTCATGAAGTAGTTATATATTGAACCCAGAAAACGCATAAACTGATTTTGTCTGTAAAATAAGATTAATGAGTTTGTAATTTCTCTTTCTTTATCAGTCGATGAATTCTGGTCAATTATAGCTGTTACCAATATTGTTACATTACTGTTCCATGTAGCAGAGAGCCAAAAGGCCAAGTTGAATTATCACAGGGCCTTTACTGTGACAAAAATTGTAGCTTGTGAATCGTAAACTCAAACTGAATGCTCAATTTTTGTTTATAATTATAAACCAATTTATTCAACAAAATTTGTTATATTGCATTTTCAGGGCCAAGATTTGTATTAAACCCAATCAAGATTTTTGAAAAAAGTTTTGGAGGAAAGACGTTGTGGGAAAATCCCAAATACGTTACACCTAAGCAGGTAAGCTTCGTGTTGGCAAGTTTTACTTCTAGAGTAGAAAGTAAGATTCCTATAGGCTCTCTGAAACGAATTTAATTTATACTATTGGGTATATGCATTCTATTTTTCTGTCATATAGCCTAAGAATAATATATTACGTTAAACAACGAATTTCGATAGATATAGTCTACAGATGTCCCAAAAAATCCTTACTCTGTGGTAAGATAGACTTCTCTATTCAAGTTTACAATATATTACAGATTCAAGTTTACAATATATTACAGTTAACCTATTATTTACAATATAGGTCTTTAGGAAATTAATTGGTAAAGATAGTGACCAAAGTTTTGAGTGTGTTGCATCAATCTATCTTTAAGACCAACTAAAAGTTGAATTGTAGTTCACCCCAAAGATGTATTCCTGCAATGCACCTAAACTTAAGCCACTATCTTCGCCAATTCAAGTATGCGGTCATCTCCCAAAAGACCAATTATTAGTCTACTTTAATCCTGGAAGTCCACCATAAAAATAAAACGAAAATGTGTTGCCATCACAGCACTTGAACAGTAATTACTAGTTTTCTGACCCAACATCTACATTTTTGTTATTCCCATACTGATGCCGTTTTTTATTCATTTTTATTTTTTCCAGTACCGCCGTCTGCTCAAGCAAACAGCAAGCACCAAGTATGTGGACAGGAAGCAACAGAAGGAGGCTTTCTTGGCTACCCGACCAAAGGAATCATACATGACTAAACCTAATGATGACATCTTTGAGGGAAATCCATTGGAAAAGGCGAGAGAGATTAGTGAAAAAGTTAAAGAACTGAAGGTGATGAACCAAGAACATTTTCAGAAGAAAAATAGTGAGAGTATAGCAAAAAAGAAGACAAAACTTACTCTCAGTAACGAAGCTAACAAACTAAAAAACAAGAAGATTAAACCCACTCCTAGCACTGAAACTAGTAAACTAAAAAACAAGAAGACGAAACCCACCCCTAGCACTGAAACTAGTAAACTAAAAATCAAGAAGACGAAACCCACGTTCAGTAGTGAAAACAGCAAAGTACAAGTAAATGGAAGAAAAAAGAAATTGAAAAAATCTGTGTCCAAAAATTCTTTTTCTGTGTCATGATTGTAAATGAATGTTTATTGTTAATAACAATATTTTTACTTAAAATGTGTTCTTTACTTTCTGAAAAATTTCAAGTTTCTACTACTTACCTTTAAGAAAAGGACGGGTGGGAAAACAACAGGATGTCAGTTGTGTACTAATATTTTACCATGAAAACACTACAATAAAGAAAAGTACTGTAGATCTATTTTTCAGCCAGTTGTTGCAAACTAATGGCAGTTGATGGCCTGTTAATGAATGTTGCAAAACTCATCTAATTCAATTTTCCGCTTCCAATCTGAACAGACAAATCATAAATGCAATCTCAACTTTGATTAATTGTCAACACAGTCAGTAAATCATCTGGAATGGTTATTGATTTGCAACTAAATATTGGCAAATACATATTGAAAACATTTAAAAAAGACTTCGCTCGTTAGTCCAGTAAATAGAGACAAAAATAGTTAATTTACAAACAGTCCGGTAGTTCTAATTTTTTTATATGTTGTCTAGGATGGTAAGTAGGTGTTTAAAATGCAAAATGCACAATTCTCCGCCTCCATATTGGAAAAATAAAACGGTACTTTCTAGAGATTTTTGCCTATATCTCCGTTTTGGTGTTTTTTAGCGGGAAATAAGTAATGTCGATTTAGATCTTTTAGATCGCTGTAATTCAGTAATGGCCTATTCTAGGAAAACAAGTATTGGAATCAAATGTATAGAGAATTTAATTAACTACAAAAAGCTTCTATTTTGTAGACCAACTGTTTGATTTGGGGCTAAAAAAAAACAAACAAATATGGCAATCAAATTTAAAGAGAGTTTAATTAACGACAAAATGCTTCTATTTTTTTAAAGCCAACTGTTTGATTTGGGGCTAAAAAAACAAACAAAACAATTTAAAAGAATTGGTCCGTTTTTTTGCTTTTGTGACTTAAAAGTTCACCAATTATTTTTAATTTTTAGCTTTAATTTTCAGTTAATAAATACCCCCGCCGCAGCAAACCTGCAGACTAAGCGAATTTCCATTAACCTGATTGGATTTACACTAAAATGCCTCCATAAAAATAGCACATTTATTTCCTATTTAAATAGAATTAGTTTAACGAGTACTTAGGTTTGCTGCAACAGGGAGGGTAAAAAAGATTTTTTTTATAAAATGATAATAGTTTAGTAAGAAATAAAAGTATTTTCCAAAATCGATCAAAATATGTTCATAAAGAAGCAAACTACAACAGTTGACTTATTCTCCATAAGAATAACATTGGAATTTTAAAATTAATTTTTTTTTTAATTTTCTCTGTAACAATTAGTTGCATAATAACGCTTCAATATACTAAATTATTTGTTTTTTTAAGCTCTACAAAATGGTTTAAAAATAAATTGTGAAATTTCATGTTTTTATGGTCAAAAATGGGAAAAACCTATTTTTACCCCATAAAACCCCCCATAAACCCCCGTTCCCATAGTCCGATCATGCTGGTTCGCGAACTCATTCAAGTTTATCCCACCTTACACCTTCAAACCAAATTTTATCAGAATCGGACAAAAATTACTCAAGTTATCGTGCGGATGGACACACACATATATATATATATATATCTCTATATATAGATATATAAAAATTTGAACGAATGGTGTTTTTGGCCTCTAGGGACATCAAAATGAAAAAGTAAATCGGTCCCGGGCTTAGGTCTTACCATGAGACCTACGGTAATAGCTACTTCCCTATAGGGAAATTCGCTAAAACCATACTTACTGTACTTACATGTAACAGTGCAATGCTCATGATACAGGTAGAGGAACTCGGGGCGGAACGGGATACTTATTGTTTAAATTACCATACACAGTATAAGATGTAAAATAAATACGATTTAAAGGTAGAAAACGAAACCTTATTTTATTTTGTACAAAATAGTAACATTATTAAAGGTTAAATTTATTGTTTTTAATTTTAAGTAATGTTTACATTTCCCGTTCCGTCCCACCCACGGGGGAGAATGGGATTTTCCTGTGGGGCAGAATGGGATAAGGGGATTTTAATGAGAAAACCTGTAATAAAGTGAGAAAAACAACTAAAAGAAAACTAAATTGTAAATAGACATTTAGTTTTAGATTCAAATGTCAAGAAAACAAACTTTGTTTTGGTATATCTTTAATTCTGAAAAGTATTCATTTACATGATTACATCACAATATTAAATTCATCAACTAACATGAAAGGAGCTATATTGATTAATTGATTAAGCTAATAATATTGAGTAATATTGATCATTCGATTGTTTAATTCGATATATCGTTTGGTTAGGTTAACCTCACCTAACTAACCAAACGATATATCGAATAATTGATATATCGATCGATATTTTCATTCAGTTGTTTGTGCCAACAGATATGGAAGTGTAGCCCAGCAAAGTAATGAACAGTTTTTCCAACTATCTTATGACGTCACCAATCATCATATCCACAGACCAAGCGACGCAGTTGTGCGTCAGACATTCCTGTAGACCACTGCAAAAAATTCCGTGCCTTCAAATAGACCGTTACAAAGATATAAGCGTTTTAATAACATTGGAACACCGATGCAAATATGCGATGTCAGGCTATTTTAATATGACTAGCCGTCGCATATATGCGACAGCAGTCTATGGTTAGAAACCAGCCATCGCATATGTGCGTCGCTGGTACATATGAATGAACAATTTTGTACTATTGCGGTAGCGAACGTGTTAAACAAATTTCTTTAGAGCAGCTTTTATTCGAGGCAGGCAGGTTACCTCCCTCAGTGTATATCAAGTTTCAAGGTGATTTGGTGGCTCAGTTGGTAGCGCCTTGGACTTCGGGCCCAAGGCAGTGATGGTGTGGGTTTGGATTCTAGTCACTGCCGCAAACATTTAATCAGAACAGTTCACCTTCATACTGTACCCGCTCACCCCTTGATTTGCTGGATAGGTTCCACGCACAGATCTGTAGTCTAAGTAGACAGGCAAATGCAAGATTAAAAGAGGTAACCTGCCTGCCTTTGTATAAGCACGGCTTTGGAGGCAGCATTTAACTTGTTAGAAGAATATATGAAAGACACGTGAATCGAAAATAATATTCAGCCTTTATACATTTGAAGATATATAATATCAGACTAGGACAAAACACTTGACATGGAAATTGATGTAATTTTATTATTGTAAATATGTGTACAAATAAAGGTGTAAAATAAAGAAGTAAAACCAATTTACTTTATCATATTTTATTTAAAATTGTATAAAAGACAAAATTCATTAGTTTGCAGTCATAGATTAAAGCTACCATAGTTACAAATAAATTGTAGAAAGACGTCATTTTCTATAATTTAGGTTGGCACCAAAACAAAAAAAAAAACTTGGCTAATCCAACACATCAAACAAGCAAATAACATTATATGTTTAAAATAGTTATATTATATGACCGACCAGTTTGAAAATTGATAAACGATACCATAGATAAAACAATACTCCCATAGTAAATCTCTCATCCTTATGGAACAGCTGAAGCCAATTTTATTGTTATTCTATCCACGTACTGTAGAGGTTGTATGTTTTGTTTACAATTTGTTTCTTGTTATAAACCTTGTTTAACCAAATAAATGATCTAATCATAAACAATAACTCATCCTCTAGTTATATAACCAATCAGTAAAGCACACATCATGAAATTAACCCTCAAATGAATAATACATAGAAAGAAAATGTCTTTGACATTAGCGATCAGTGTCGTTGATCGCTAAATTGTCGTCATTAGTTGATTGCTAATGAACTAGACAGAATAATCGAGCTTCAAAATTTACAATGGGAGGAGACGTCTACTTGTGTTGGTTAGTCTATGACGATACTAAATTAATTCCTGACTCAAATATTCAAATAAAATGTAAACATTTACGTAAGATAAAAAGAAGCTAGGAAAACAATATTGATGGTTCAAAAAATAGTATTAAATTCAAGCCCCTTTGAAAATTAATTACAGTAGAATACAAGTATATCTGTTTTTTTTTTAGTTTAAAATAAGACATGGTTAAATGTGTTGTAAAATTATTGTTTATAAAAATATATAAAAATAGCTTTTATAGATAAAAAATATACAATTTTTGCACACATATAAAAAAATGTGCAATTAATATTTGTTATGTTTTCACTTTATAAAACTTTTGGAACAGCTAATTTGTAGAGTAATAGCATAACAGACTTTAAGTAAAGTTAAAATCGTCCAAATACATGATAGCAAATACAATTTTTTTAACTAAAAATGCAAAATCTATGACAAATTCATTTAAAAAAGTATTGATTTAAAATAATTGGGATAATATATAATGTTTGACTATGGATACAATACTATACTTAATATCTAAAGTCAATGCTACAACTAACTTGTAAGTCTGCTTGTAGTTACCACGTTAAAATTGATCTTCTCTTTAGTTCTGTTAAAATATGTTGTCGAATACTATGAATAAGTACAAAGGTTACAGAAGTAATTTTTATATTATCTTAAATAAATTAACACAATCAAATAAACATATTTTAATCAATCCCATAAATAACAGAATAGTGTAGTAAAAACAGCTCTTTTGCAAAATATTTTCCTGACACTTTTTAATGAACACCCACCCATATAGGGGTTTTTTTTATAATGGTACCTAACTTTTACTTGATGTCAGCAGGAATAATTTTTAGTTGTGTGAATTTATTAGTTATATTTTTTTTATATTTTATTATGATGACACTTCTATTTTTGTACCATACTATTTAAGATGTTAATGAGTGAATAAAGAATTTGAATCAGGGGAAACAAATTTGTCCTTCAACCACACATTAAATTCAAAGAAGAGTATAAAAAATGAAGCTAACTCAAAGAGTTGAGAAGAATACAAACTAGAAGAATACATACTAAATTAAAAAACATAAAAAAATATATTTAGAAATTTTCCATATAAATTTTTCTTATAAATTAGCAGCAGAAATCAGAGAAATGTGATGGCACACATACATTACCTACAATATTTGTATACTTTATATGACAGTTAATACATTTCTTAATTTACGAATCTTAGGGAAATTTGATCACAAACGTTTAGCTTGGAAATTGTTTAAGTAGAACTTTTTCATACAGTTTGACTATTATAGTCAATTCTTGTCTGTTTCTCAAATTCGAAACTACATCTAACATTAATAAATTCTCTCTACACTAAAAGTATATATATTCCTAATACAAACTACTTTAAAATGTTAAGAAATTTTTAAAAAATCACACCAACCTCAACATACTTTTAATTTTACTTTATACATACAACACGCTAAAAGTTTGATAAATTATTAAAAGTATTTTAAAATATTATAATACTAACATAAAAATCAGGTATGTAAAAGGAAGGCCACAAAGTTGTTAGGCTGATTCAGTCTTAGCATTGTGGACAGGTTGTGCGACTTAAGTTTACAAACTACAAGACAAGCAAATAGTATTTAAAAATATAGCATCACACTTATTTGGTTTACGTTTTGTTTAAATGTACTAATACGCTTAACATACAAATAAAACAATGAATCTCAATACACAATTTGAAAATGACAAACATCAAACAATCAATATAAAATGCCACATTTTTTTTATAGAATAGCAGGCTTGCCAGGATAGAAATAGATCATTGTGCACAAGAAACAAATCTCTTTACACTAAACATATAAAATATAACATTTAACTATCACTTTTAAGCATTTTAAACAATGAAGGATTTAGTTTTTTGTGTCACAATGGACTCTTTCCCACTCAGGTAAGCATATCCTCCCGAAAATCCTTCAAAACTAGCGATCAATTAGATTTACTGTAGGCTACTGTTTAAACAGCAGTTTCAGAAATACTAAGTGTGATACTAATTGCAATATGGCAGGAAGAGTTTAAGTATATATCTCGACATGCTGTGCTACGCCAGCCACTTAAGTGTTGATGGGTTGTTGTTCTCCCAGGTTGGCTGCTTTCCTAGCCGCACTCAGGTTGGCAATAGCTGTCTGTCTCCACCGACCCTCGTCTCCGTGGATGTTCTGATCCTCGCAGACACACAGGAACAGTGTGTCTATCACTACCTACAACAAACACACAAGGCTGTAATTTTTGTTGAGTATTGTTTTAGATTTTTGAAATTATTTGCATAATTTATTGTTGCATGGGTTGAGCCAGACATAGTTTTGCACTTGGATATAGCACAATATTTAAAAAAGTTAATCTGATATTTTTTGCAACACGTTTATTGAATACAACTTATTGGTTTAATAAAATTCAGAAAGGTTTATAAAATACCTAGTATTTGAACATTTAAAAAGGAACAAAATTTCTGATATTTCAGGAATCATATTTAGGAAATACTAAATTTAGGCAATAAACGAAATAAAAATAGTAATTGTAATTCAGAAGTCAAAACTGTAGTCTAGTGGATTAGATTTCATCAATCTATCAACCAACAAAACCGATCATACTGTTCAACTATCAAGAGAAACATAAGAGCACAGGGTGTTTCAGTAAAGCGTAGCGGGCTATGCAGATTCAGATTCTACATGCAAAAATAGTTCAAAAATGTAGTGTATCTTTTTTTGATTTCGGCTTAGTTTAGCGGTAATCCGCCATTTTGTATTTTTTGAAAATAATTTATAACTCAAAAGCCCTTAGATATATGTTTCTGAAACTTGGTATACACTTTAAGTCTACAGCTAAAAACATTCTCCGAAAATATCTTTGATCAGGCTCATCGAATTTCAAAGTAGCGGCCACTTAAAGTCACATTCTATGAAAACCAGCTATTAAAATTTATTACAAATCGAATGACACTTTATTAGCGAAAAATCGCATATTAAATAAAAAAAAGTTCTATAACTTTTATAATGTTTTTGTCACTAGTTTCTATGGAATATAACTTTGTGAGTTTGAAATGACTGCCATTTTGATAACTACCTACTATTAATAATAAAAAGTTGCATAACTTTTTTTATTTATTAACCGTTTTTCACAAATAAAGTGTCATTCGATTTGTAATAAAAAGGGCTTAAAATATTGCGTTGCAAATTTTTTTATTGGGGATTTTCATGGAATTTGACTTTAAAAATTTTAAATGGCCACCATTTTGAAATTTGATGAGCCTGATCAAAGATATTTTCGGAGAATGTTTATAGCTGTAGAATTAAAGTGTATACCAAGTTTCATAAAAATATCTCTAAGGCCCCTATTAGACGAGGTAGCCTGGCGACGTCGCCAGCGACAGTAGCTGGCGACGCACTGGCCACCAAACCTAGTAGCCAGTTGAGTAGTTAGAATTTTACCGCCGTTACTCATTTTGTTGTGAGTGCTTGTCTTGCACTTGTACTTGTTGTGAGCGGTATGTTTACAGTGAATAATGAGTGATTATAAGTATCTTCTTATAAGTCTTCAGTATTCAACTTTGTGTCGGCCAACTTCTGACACTTTTTCATAAGTTCTTCTTGCTTTTTATTTGCTTCTTTCTTCTTTCTTTTGTTCACCTTTCGGAGGTTCTTCTTTTTTCTTCAATCTTCACATATCCCTTCGAATAAATCAGATGTAGACATTTTATCAACTGAATTGAACAATTCACCCACTCACAACACAACAGAACGCAAAAAAACAGTGAGCAAGTACCCCCGTGATATGAACTGACCGAGTGGCAACGTGATACTGGTGACCTAGTGTAATAAGCTCCATATGCTACAACGCAGCGTCGCCAATATGGGTAGCCAGTGGCGACGGGGCTCCGTAGCCAGTCGGTCGCCAAAGTGTGGCTGCGTCGCTGGCTACCCTCGTGTAATAACATCCATAAGAATCAATGACAAGCTGAGTAGCCAGTTTGGTCACTGGCGATGTCGCCAGGCTACCTCTTCTAATAGGGGCCTAAGGGCTTTTGAGTTGTAAATTATAAAAAAAAGCAAAATGGCGGATTACGGCTAAACTAAGCCGAAATCAAAAAAAGTTATATTACATTTTCGACTTATTTTTGCATGTAGAATTTGAATCTGCATAGCCCGCTACATTTTACTGAAACACCCTGTATAGCTTGAGAGCATAACTCAACCAAATAGCTTAAAGCTATAATTATACACCTAACTCATATTGTGACCTGGGAATAAAGTAAATAACCACTATGCTTGTGATTAAGTCCTGCAAATGAAATAGACAACTTGGTTTGATTAATTTTGCAAGGGATTTAATTATAATGTCTTTCTTTGGTGTGCAACTCATGAGGAGTTCTATGACAGAGCTAGGTGGGAGAGTGACAACAATATTAAACTGCAGACAGCTCTAGTAGAAGTTGATAAGATATATTCTAGTAAGTTGCTCAAATTAGGCGTTTTACTACTTTTTACATAAAGTTACTGTGAGTGACTCTACCAAAAACTTGTAAGAAAAGCTTAAGCCTACATCAAAGTATTTAAATTAACATCATCTAGTTTATTTACAAACCCCCCTCTTAAATAAACCACTTTCTAATCTAAAGTGAAATGTTTAACCATAGTTTTGTTCAGGATCCAGTCAAAATGCATTATCAACCATTACAAAATAATTGTAAAGTAAACAAATGTATGTACAAGTCTTCAGATTTGGAGAAGCAACCGTAACTCACCTCGTACAAACTAATGACACAGTGAGCGACGAAGTAAGCGAAAATGCAGACGACGAGTGTTGGAGCAGCATATAGATGCAAGTCGGGATCTTGCTTGAAGATGAACAGACCGATAACTCCAGTAATACACATGACTATCAGCTTGCCCAGGAACAGGATAAAGTCTCCAACACTATTCAGGGTAGCCAACCTCAGAGAATTGTTTACCAGGACATGCCAGGCCTACCAACACAAATAACAAAAACAAAACAGTATTAATACTATCAGTTAAGGTTCTAAGTACTAGATCATACTTCACAGGATCATTTCTGTAGTAATATCTTCATTTATAAATTATTTAACTACCAACCGTTACCAAGTAAACAAATAAGAATATTCATAATATTTCTCTAGTGGACTGAATTTAATCTATTTTTAAATTTAACAAACTGGGTAACTTTTTTACTTCCGTTGACTAGTTTTGAGTTTCGACCTCTAAGTAGTATTTTCAAAGGGGACGTTAAATTTAATTCATTGAATGTCGTCAATTTTCTTATTCAGAAGACGACATTCAATGAATGAAATTTAACCTTACGTTTTGAAAATGACTAGCCTACTTAGTTAGTAGTCAAAACTATCCAACGGTAGTTCGGCTGAGGAATAATGGACCTCAAGGTATGTAGCCTGTTACAATTGATTGACTGAAAAACAAAAATATATACGTCTAATAACACTTGTAATAATATATTTACACTTATACTGTTGACTCACAGGATGGTAAATACATATAAAAGTTGGTAAGTGGTGATCGATTTCGATGCTGATCAAGAAGTTATACAATTGATTACCAATTCTGGAAGGCTTTGACATGAATTAAAAGATTTTAATATGTTGAAGACATAAAAAGCTATCAATAAAATTAATTTAAAACAGAAAATCTTTTAATTATGGTTTAAAAGGATACCTTCATTTCATTTCATTTCATTTCATATAACTTTATTCATTAAAGTACAATACATAGATACAGGAATGGCGTCAAGAGTAATTTAATAAAACTAACTAACTAAAATACTCATCATTATCATGCATGGCATAATAACATACCATCAATATTAATAGCTTTTCAGATCAAATAAATTAAAACAAGCAGTGCAATATGAAAGTTTATACATGAAAATATCAAAATTAAAAATATAGATAAAACCTACCTTAGAGGTCTGCTAAAGGATATAGTATGATAAGTCCAACTTCGTTGAGTATTTTGTTCTTGACATTGTTATGAGTATTTCAAAATTTAGTTTAATGATATTATAGGGAATAGCTATCAATTGATTAATTGTTTCTCTATAGATCCAAAATTTAAATAATCAATAATTTTTTTTTTTTTAACCATACATAACTTTTATTGTACAGGGTTGGGCAAATGTGTGGATACCCCTAGTTAATTTTTTAATGGGCAACACCAGGAAAACTAAACTCCACATACCTTCATAAAAAATAAAACTGCACCTTTTGGACGGTATCCCAATTTTTCTCGGGACCCCAAATGGGGTATTTTGGGGGTAGCTCCAAAATTTTAAATGTAAAGCCCCATCGAGTGACACCTCATTTTAAAGGCCTTTATTAAAGAAGAATATCAGCGAAAACTAGAGGTCTCTATCTCAACCCAGTACGATATGGCAGTCATTTTAAATTTTCATCAGCCTGAGATAAACTTTTAATGAGGTTAAATTGTACGATGAATTTTCAAATGACCGCCATGTCGTACTGGGTTGAGATAGAGACCTCTAGTTTTGGCTGATATTCTTCTTTAATAAAGGCCTTTAAAATGAGGTGTCACTCAGTTGGGCTTTACTTTTAAAATTGTCGAGCTGCCCCCAAAATACCCCATTTCGGGGTCCGGGGCAAAATTGTGATACCGACCAAAAAGTGCATTTTTGTTTCTTATGAAGGTATGCGGAGTTTAGAACTCCTGGTATAACCCGCTAAAAAGTTAATATGGGATAGTGATGCCTACATTTACGTGGGTCCTCTCAGGCTGATAAAAATTTAAAATGACCACCACGTCGTACTCTGTTGAGATAGAGACCTCTAGTTTTCGCTGATATTATTTTTTAATAAAGGCCTTTAAAATGAGGTGTCACTCGATAAGGCTTTACATTTAAAATCTTGGAGCTACCCCCAAAAAACCCCATTTTGGGGTCCCGGGAAAAATTGGGATACCGTCCAAAAAGTGCAGTTTTATTTTTTATGAAGGTATGTGGAGTTTAGTTTTCCTGGTGTCGCCCATTAAAAAGTTAACTAGGGGTATCCACACATTTGCCCAACCCTGTATAAGAAAAGGTGAACAAGGAAGAAAATAAACTCTCAAGTCTTGACCAACTTGAAAATTTAAAATGCTATCGCATTGATATTAAATTGGCAACAGACATATTTTTAAGGGTTTTTTTTGAGGAATTATTGATTAAAAAATCATTCAATCTTATAAAAAAAGGATCAATATGGGAACTTATTCAAAATTCAAATTAAGTTCAACCGCATTGATAATTCACAAATATTAACTTTTCTAAATTTTACCTATAACTTATAGCGCAAAATTTATTTTACTTAAACTATTTTAGTTGAACCGACAGCATACCCTGGAAGCGGCTGGACAGAAGTTGATTCCCTGCATGGCGACCACAGTGTAAGCGTTGTGGTTTATGTAGCGTATGCAGTTCTCAAAAACATAGAGACAACAAGTACAACACTTGGCTAGGCACTGGGCCACCTCCGACTGCTCGTTCTTCTTCAACCTGTAATATTTATGTGTTGATCAAATGTAGTAAACCTTGAACAAGAAATATAAGACTCATCTGTCACCATTAAAAATTATCTGCTGGGTAGATGAGATGCCATAGTGCAGAGTCTTTTGATGGTTCAAAACCGAGTCCAGTTGTTCTTCATCATTTAGGCTTTTTCTTCATGGTTAAGTGATCAAGCTTACATTTTTTAAGTAGCCTAAGTCTGTGAGAAGATCTTTAACTGTTGATAGAACTAGACATTGCCAGTTTTAGAATTGAACCCCTGTTGATGAAGATCATTGATTTCTATTGAATACACCAAGTCAAGCTGATAGGATGACTTATCGTGAGCATTTAGCATATTCTTTATTACATCAACTATTTTAGTAACAAAAACCAAGGGAGGAATATAGTTTTAGCCCGTAGCACACTCTATGAGTAGCTCATTCAACAATATTCTTTAAAAATAAAATATATATATATACTACATAAAGTCCATTTAGATAGGAAGGCCAATTCATAGGTATGGTGTGCGGTTTTGTTGTGACTCACTTGGCGGAGATGTAGGACAGTATGAGGCGAGGCACCTTGAACAGTGTGATCAGTAGAGAGCCTAGAGCCATTGAGCCGAGGTGGTAACTGATGAGGTGACGGTACGCTGTCCACACTGGTGGCTTCGGATCCGTCTTGTCTCTGGAAAACCAGTTACTTAAAACAATTTTACCTACGACCGTTTTTTAAAGCAGCTGTTTCAGTTCAGTTCTTAGAATTGAAAAGTTTCCCATAGCCGAATTGTTTACAGAGGAATATTTATGATAAGCATTCTAAAGAACAGTGTAGATTTTAATACCTTGAGATGCATTTATTATGCACATATACATTTCCATCTAAGTTATGGAACAATTGTATAGGGAGGTAGTAATAAGAATAAGATGTTTTAACTGTTTTAAATTTAAAATATTAATTTAAAACTACCTATTAAACCTGTGTCCGTATAGAGAAATAGACTTCATAAATGATGTTAATCAAACCTTAGTTCTAAGACATTTCCTTGACTCTGCCATGCATGTAAACCAGTGTTATGGCAATAAAGTATTCTTATTCTTACTTTCATAACAGCATTTACTCATAACAACACGGGTAACGGACCAATGAGGTTCAAGGATTACTCATAACAACACGGATAACGGACCAATGAGGTTCAAGGATTGAGAGGGAAGAAGTAAAATTGTAATGATTCAAACGTCAACTAATCAGCTGTTCAGGCCAGTTTACTTGTTGAGTGGTGTAATAATTAGTGTTTGGCACAATGTTTTGTTGCATCACTGTCAGTGGCAATAAGAGGTTATAAACAAAAACATTACCTCTCTTAGAAGTTATGAGTATTGATTTTCAGTAATTAAAACACTGTCGTTGGTAAAGTAGTGTACGCAACTCGCCTAAATAGTGTTAACACTCACCAAGGCTCGTACGTTAAATTTTCTACTCGTGTTGTTGACACTATCTTTATGCAATCGTTGCGTAAACTACTATGAAAGATGTATCAATATATATTAGTTGAGACCCATTAATAAAAAAAAAAAATTCACTATGCCTACTTTGAACATTGATTTATTGAGAAAGAAGGGTGTTTTAATCTCTGTAAGGTAAACTCTCCACAGGTTTTTTCAAGACTGCAGTGAGAGGTACAGTAGACTCCCTCTTATCCGGACTCCTCGAAAACGAGGCCAATACGAATAACGGGTTTTCAGGTTAAACCGACGTCCCAAAAAAAAATTAAAATGGACCGTTTACTGTGATATATAACTTAAATTTAGGAGAGCATTGTATTTAAACACATGATCACTAGTCACAAATCTTTCCCACGAGAACAGTCGTTTCAGTACCGTCCACTTCCTACTAATCTAGTCCGGTTAAACCAATGTGCTGATAAAAATTGTCTGGATAAGAGGGAGTCTACTGTATTATTCTTTAAAAAGTGACTTGAATTAATTATAAGCCTAGCGTATTAAATATCTATATATTTAATACGCAGTTGTAACACTGTTTTCTCAGTAATTACTGGACCGATCTACAAGATTTATGTCTCAAATTAAAGGGGATAGTGTGTAGATTTGCCGAACTTCCTTAGAATTTACGTTTTTTCTAAGGGCTACGACCTACAGCCCTTTAAAGGTCGAGTCAATACAATTCTTATTGAAGAATATAATACATAGTTTATAAATTATTCGTCAGCTGCTTAATGTTTGTCAGACATTTGTTATTATTTTCATAACCTCACTTTCAGTATGCAATTATTAAACTTGGAGTTTCGGTTTATAAACACACGATTTTGATCAAGGAAAGTGTATTTGTTAACTTATTTTTGAAATGTTTTAGTTTTCCTTCAAAGTGATCTGAAGGAAAGTGGTAATTGAGTTTAAGTTTGAGTATGGAATGTGAAATAATACCCATAGTAGGAATGAAAACTTATTGTTTTGATCAATATAATTTATTCTTTACGGCCACCAGAATAATCATGGGGAAATCCGCTTGCAAGTTGTACATATAATTGCTAATGAGTGGGAAACATACAAACATTTTATAGTAGGTGACGAATCTTACTCAAGATCAGTGTTAGACGTTCAGTGGTACCAAACTTTACCTTCTCGAGATGGCGAGTACGCTGGGATACGTTGAACTACAATATATCAGTGAATTTCTTTTTCAAGTACACAGGGAAGTTGCTTGAGAACTAACTACAGATTAACTGGGACACAAAAATGTTTTAGTTTTCCTGCAAAGTTATCTGAAGGAAATTGGTAATTGAGTTTAAGTTTGAGTATGGAATGTGAAATAATACCCATAGTAGGGGACGAAAACTTATTGTTTTGATCAATATAATTTATTCTCTATAGCCACCTGAACAATCATAGAGAAATCCGCTTGCAAGTTGTACAGATAATTGCTAATGATTGGGAAACATACAAACATTTTATCGTAACTGATTAATCTTACTCAAGATCAGTGTTCGACGTCCAAATTTTACCTTCTCGAGATGGGGAGTACGCTGGGATATTTGGAACTAAAATTTATCAGTGAACTATACCCTAACTATATTTTTTCGAGTAGGCATACACAGGTATGTTGCTTGAGAAACTGTGACTTACGATTTCGGTTCTGGCGAAGAAGTATGTGACTTGATGTTTAATGGCAATGATGACTCGGGTTATTATAGCGTTATAAAACTTTATCATTAACCCCAGGATGTGAAAAGTACAAAAAGAAAAAGAAAAGGTAATCATCAACCGGGCGTAAAGAGACATACAGAACGAAAAAAAAACATGTAGAGAACCATCGAACTAAAAAGGTAAAGAGCAGTTATGGTGTTAAATGTGCTCTGGAAGTCCCTTCTAAAAAATAAAATTTTTTTTTAACTGGGGTCGTTAGATTGGATTTGTCAGTACTGCAAATCTATGAATTTTGAGTCAGAACAGACTAGGGGTGTGCGAAGCAGCAAAAAATTTTCGATTCGAAGCAACGATTCGATTCAAAAGATTTTCGATTCGATTCGATGCAACTCGATTCGAAGCAATACGGTATTTTTCTATTCATAATTGTCAATTGAGTGGATTAACAATAATTAAAATTTATCACATTTGTGTAATACAAATTTTTGTTGATGTGGTATTAGGCCTATTCATACTTGCATATGAATTTTAGGTGAAAAAATATTTATTTTCAATCATATGTATTAGAATAACTGCTGGAAATACCAGTGACCTGCTTTACTTGCCTATTTCATAATTTTTACTTGGAATTGGCTCAACTGCAAGAAAGAAGAAAATATTTTTTTTATCAAGACATTCATTCTCATTTTAATAACTGTTTCAATAACTAAATAGGTACCGGTAGCTAAATTACAACAAATTTGAATGGAACTTAATATAAAAAGACCATTAAGAAATAAATTTACATATCACAAGTTTAGGGCCTGTGGACCGGCTTCAGGACTGCAAGCAAGAAGAAAATAAAAATAATATGTTTCCACCATGCAACATGTATCATTCATTCCCTGCCTCCTAACCTCCTTAGTATAATAACCTCACACTTACATTATTTGTTACATCATCATAAATAAAGAATTATTAATGGCATCAGTAGGCCTACAGCTTTACATAGGCATTATTTTTATAGGGCCTAAAATAGTAATAGGCTAGAAGCAACATGTCAAGTGGAGAACTCATTGAAGAAAAGATATTGTGTAAACTAATTTCCTATAAAACTCAAATAACATCAACTCAACAGTAAATAACATACAAACATTGTTTATGGTATAATTAATAAGGACTAAAAAATGCATATCATGTCATACAGTAGTATAGACCTACCGGTACTGCAAGAGATTAAAATCCTATAAAACAACTGATTTTGATAGCTAATGAATGAAAAGAATTAAAAATCCATAAAATGAAGCTAAACAATATCACAACTAATTAGGTACCCGAAAAGTAACTCTTAAATAATATATAGAAGATTAAAATAATATTAAATCAAGAGACAAGAAAGTTAAATGCTATCTTCTAGTGCCCTTGGCAACACAGGTCAATGTTTTTAAACTACCCTCAATGTTTTTGGAACAGCAGGGCCTTTTTCTCTTAAGGAAGGGTAGTAGTATGTCAACAAAAACAATGAATCAGTCTCACCAGCCAGGCCCGGGCAACGATGTGTGAATTCAAGGTCATAGACCCTCCCCCTCCCCTCTTACACCACCCGGTTGCTACCCAGTTGCTTCAATTGCTGACAAAATGCAAGTGATGAAACAAGGAAGTAGAGACAAAGAAATATATTTCTTTATTCAAAAACACAAAACTGTTAGAGATTATTTTCAAAGAAATTAATTCAATGTAATTTGTGAGTTGTAAATATTGTATTGGATCTTAGAAATATATTTTTTTAACCCTATTTAACCAAGATACAGATCTGTTCACTATATCATATATTTCTTTTGTTTATAATTTATTATGTAAAATACTAAAATATATTTTTAATTAGGTATTGAATGAACAATAAATGATTATACTAGTATTTCTGGATAAATAGTCTTTCTATTCTTTTGACTTTGTTTTCTTTGCACTGTTAGTGTTGCGTCACGGCTTTTGTCTTGTTACTCTTATCAGTAGACGACTAGACCTGGCTCTGGCTAGTGGCAGTGCGGCAATTGCTCTGTTGTGTCTTTATTCTTAAAGGTCGTGAGCCAACTTAATTTTTAATTCTCATTTGAACATTTTAATTCCTCTGTAATAGATATAATAATATAAGAGTGTTTCTTTGGAAATAAATTATTCTTTTTTTTCTTTTGCCCCAACAAAAATTCGGGGACGGGGACCGACAGACACCTAACAAAAATACCAAATGTATTAGTCTATAACATTGATCTTACTAGTTAAGTATTAAGTAACAATTTTTCAGACTTATTTTTAAAATGATTTTGGAGTAACCTACCTTGTTTTGGCTAGGTTCACAGTAGTAAAATATTTCACACACTGCTCACATCAAGACATAAAACAAAACCTCTAATCATTTGCAATGTCAAAACAAAAAAATATAAAACAATTAAAGCTATATTTAATGCAAAGAATGTATTAAATAAGAACGCCTTCGTAAAGGAAACGCAACAGCAACGCGCTCCTGTATTGCGGGTATTGCATTGACTTTCTGCAGGCGTTTTTCGTATATGGATACTGACTCCCTCGTGAATCGAATCGTTTTTTGACCACCACTGAATCGAATCGCGATTCGATGCATCGAATCGAATCGAATCGAAATTTCGATGCATCGCACACCCCTAGAACAGACTAACTGGGACACAAACATTTTTTCCTTGTGTTGTCACAAGGGGAAGGTAAAATTAAAAAAAAAGAGGTTGGCGGCCTCTTTTAACCTTGCATTTGCCCGTCCACATAGACTAAGCACCCGTGCGTGGATCGTTTACAGCAAAGCAAGGAGTGAGCCGGTACAGTACAAAGGTGGACTGTACTGATAAAGTGTTATCGGCAGTGACCAGGATCCGAACCCACGACATCGCTGCCTTGGGCCCGAAGTCCGCGACGCTACCGACTGAGCCACCGACTCACTAAAATGAACTCCTTATCAACATTTTGAGTTTATGGAAAATCTTATCAACAGCGACTATAAAAAGTATTAAGGGTCAAAAGAGACAAAAAACTATTTGAGTAAAATATAATACAAATCTGCATTTGAAATGGCCAGTTCTAAGTCGCACTTGAATCAACATCTTTCTGGTAGTGGTAGTCTACATAGTTTTAAAATCCACGACTCCTTTTCCATCAAATTGGACCGTTAATACCCTCTAACATTGAACAAAGTATTCCCAACTTTATATATACGACGTAAACACAGCTTTTACTCACAGTATGGGTCAAAGATTCGTGAAATGCGACCAACTGCTGATGCGTGATTTACATGTAGGCTAAGTGACTATCTTTATTCCATACAACAAATGTAATGAAAAATAACCCCGCCGCAGCAAACCTGCCGACTAAGCGAATTTCCATTTGTCTGAATTGATTTTCAGTTAAATATATTTTTATAACATTAGGTTTAACGAGTACCTAGGTTTGCTGCTACAAGGAAACTAATAAAGTGTGTTTTTGAGTAAAATATTGATAGCTTAGTACAAAATAAATAAATTTGCCAAGTTTGATCAAAATATATCCATAAACAAGCAAACTACAACATTTTACAATATTCTCCTTAAGAATAACATGGGAATTTTAAATTTACAATTTTTTTAATTTTCTCTGTTACCAATAATCAAACAAAAATACTTTTATATACTAAATTATTTGTTTTTTTAAGCTATTTAAAAAGGTCTAAAGAGAAATCGGGAAATTTTGTGTTTTGAGGGTCAAAAGTGAGAAAAACCAATTTTTACCCCATAAAACCCCCCGTAAAGCCCCGTTCCCATGGTCCGATCGTGCTGGTTCGCGAACTCATTCAAGTTTATCCCGCTTTACACCTTTAAACCAAATTTCATCAAAATCGGACAAAAATAACTCAAGTTATCGCGTTCACGGACGTATATATATATTTAACAGCTCAAACTCAAAATTTAAACTAAGTTATAAAACAAGGAATAACGCTTTTAACATCATTCAAAAAAGAACAAATCCGAGACCCAACCCACCAAATTTATATAAGAAATCAGGAATTTACAAATTATCATGTAACAACTGTGAAAAATACTATATTGGTCAAACAGGTCGAACATTCGAAGTCAGGTACAAAGAGAATATACAGGCAATCAGATCAAACAATATGACAACACAAAAATCCTCATACGCCGAACATATACTTCAGACCGACCATACATACTCAGAAATGAATAAAAATATGCACATTCTGGATGTTGAAAATAAAGGTGAAAAAATGAATACAAAAGAAGACTTTTATATTTATACTCATCATATTAATGACAAAGACAATTTACTAAACTTGACACAAATTCAAAATCAAAACGTAATATTCAATGAAATTATACATCTTAAAGAAAACACCTCCTTCCCTTAACATAAAAATTATCACCTGTTCTTTAATAAGAAATATCTAATAATGTTTGTAAATAAAAGAAACTAATAGGTTATGTACTATACTGTGATCATGGCATTAATGTCCGAAACATGTAAGTAATATAAAATAAAATGTTTTTAGGGTACTGTGGTATTTTGATTAGCTTAGTAACATTTAAAGTAGCCCTCATTGATGTATACAATAACAAAATAAGTCTATATATATACATATATAAAAATTTGAACGAATGGTGTTTTTGGCCTCTGGGGACATCAAAATGAAAAAGTAAATCGGTCCCGGGTCTAGGTCTTACCGTGCCACCTATGGTAATAGCTACTTCCCTATAGGGAAATTCGCTAAAACGACGAATATAGGAATATACTTGAGCAAATTATCTAAATAGCATAAATAGCTGCTTATTAGGTTATCAGCATTGCCCAGTTCGTATACTAGGCCTATTTATTTTTCAAATGAAACTCGAATTAATATAAAACATTCATTTGGTTAAAATAATATATCGGTTTGATTAACATAAAATAGTTTATACATTCAAACTATCAGTTCTATTTCATGTAAAAAATTAAATAACCCCTAAATAAAATACAAAGATAAACAGTATTTGTTAATTATTATTTCTTTTATTGCTGACAATATTCCCGTGGCGGAGCACGGGCGGTTAACTAGTATAGATTAAATAGGCCTACCAATGTTATGTCAATGCTATAGGGACTAACCGTCATAGGGTTGAAGGCCTATATTATCATAGTGTATCATAGTGGTTGAGGAAGGGCCATAGTGTTGAGAAACTAGACTGCCAAAACAACTTACGAGTTTGAGTTAAATTTCTGAAGATGGAGAATTTAGGATGGGAAATACAAACAATTCCACTGATAATCAGAAGGCAGCAGGTTTGGTCCAGATAAAATCAGCAGCTTTTTGTGGTTTGAAACTGGCACAGTCCTTGATCATTGGGCTTTAAAAATTGGCATAGAAAGTAGTAGAACTTTGTTGAAGTAGTACTAACTTGTTGAAGTACCAGCGAGCGACGGCTCCTGCTATGACCATCTGTTGACAAGCCAAGATGAACTCCGAAGTCCACACAAGGCCAATGAAGTAGACCCACCAGACGTAGCGCACCCATGTACCATCAGTGTAGTCCACTAGGGTGAAGGCTGTTGAACGAGTATTGAACGATAATTTTTAACATGAAAGTTGATCAAATTCAAAAACTCCAAAATTAATAAAAAACCTTATTTCTTTAATAGTAAGGTTTATGTCTACAGAATACTTAAAAAATATTTATGGAATCATCTTCAATATCAAATAAGCATTCCATATTAATAACTCAATGTATTACTTAAAACATCAAATCAGGTTTAATTGAATTGGTACATTACAGATCAAGTCAAATGAGTTTACAAAAATTTTGAATCGATAATTACGTGTGAATGATGCAGCTGATATATTTTTCAACTCCATTAGATTTTTGTTGCTATCAACTGATTTGTTGACTGCGAACTGGAGAGTTTCAAGGACAGAATCACTTGAGAACGGCCTCAACGGCTTTGCACCTGGGTAGTCTGCAATAAATCAAATAAATGTTAGATATACCAGGATTAATATTCATTGTACTTAATAATTTACCAGGTTTGAGAGAAGTTTCACATCTGGGGCCCTATTTTTGAAATGGTTGACTGTTGAGTTGACTGATGAGTCACTCACTTTCCAATCGTTTCGTATTTTTCAAACGATTGACATTTGACTTATCCAACCAAAAGGTCCAAAACTATTCACCACCTATTGAGCTGTTGCATGGACGGTTGATTAGGGGGTGCGCATCCCCCCTAAGGCTTATGACGCAAATTTCCCCCAAATCAGTCGTAGAGTTCTGGGTTCACCCCATAAATCAAGTGTCACTTTAACCGTTCAATAGTTCATTGCTTGTACATTTACCCACTTACCACTGATTATTGAAACGAAACATTATAGTTACAAACAGATTGGCTAAATAAACTAAAAAATAGCATACAATTTTCAGTTGATGCTAAAAATAAAAGTAAAGTAAATGAAATTAAGTTTTATAAAATTCTCTTTCGTTTAATTGAAGCCGGTGTTTAGTAAATACTTAATCTATCGAGGAAAGGTAATGTCAGTTGCAAAATGAGTTAATTTAAAATATAAGAGTAAACATTTTGCCTACTGCTAGTATTAATCAGTGCATTCCAACACAACCATGCATGAAACATACGTAAAAAAGGTTACAAAATTGTTCAATAGGATGTGAATACTGCTTGCAATATCAAAAGTCAATGATAAAAGACTGTATTGTTGTTGCAACTTCTCAGAACTTTAAGTTTGGTAGAAACTAAAAATCATGATTACAAAATTGCTCAACAAAGCAAATCATGTACTGTAGTTGTGGAGTTCTCTAAAAAATTATAATTATGTGTATAGTATATCACCTTGTTTTAATAAACATGCATATTTAAAGGCCTAATCCAACCACATGTTAAGCAATTTAAAATCATAAACAACAATTTGTTAAAATATATTAAAACATTTTAAATTTACAGTTTCCACAAAAGTCTATTAAGAGAATAATTCCCACAAGCTTGATGTTTACAACTAGAGGGAAGAGGTTAATACAGCAACGGTTATACAATATTACTTATTTCCTTTGACCAATAAACATTTAAGACCTACTACTTAGCTGTACAAAATATTGTTGTACAACTAAATCGGCTGCTAGAATATTTAAGAATTGAAATAGAACACATAGTATTTTATCATAAACCAGTTCATCCTGTTACCAGACAAATAGGTCTGAACGTATTAATAGTTATGGCATTTACACATAGTATAAATAAATAAACAATACATAGGCCATGCCATTTTATCCAAATGCTGAAAAGTGTTGCACACGCTGAATATTTGCAACTGTCAACTTCAATAAATGTGCCTACCAAAATCAATGGCCTAGGCCTACTAAAAGCTAATCTAGAACGTTTGCATCGGCTGCTAGACTTTTTAAAAACTAAAATCAATTTGAAACAAAATTGAGACCAAAAATTTAAATTGTGGCTTTGACATTCCCTCACTCTTAAAACTATCGTTATTTAAACAGAAGAATTTAAAAGAATCCTTTGACAAATGGTTGGCTCAGGATCTTGGAATAAAAAATCCCCACATGTTACAATTTAAGAGGTTTTTCTCTTGATTTATTTTGAATATATAAACATATTTCTTCATTCAATGTGCCAACTATTTAATACATTTTCTGTTGCCTTGTAATTTTTTAACATTAATGCAAAAGGTATTCACATGGAAATTAGAGTTTTTTGTTAGCGTATATACCAACGGCCACTATACCTGCTTCACCGAAAGAATGTAAAACGCCAGTGTTCCGGTGCAGCTGTAAAACAGCTGATATTGGTTAGTCAGAAAGCTAAACACATTGTCTAAACTCCCTTCTACACTCACCATGCATAATTCAGCTTGTATGCACCTTGGTGTGAGTCGCTACATCATGAATTGATTTATTAGAGTTCTATAACAGTGAATCTTAAATGTCTATGATGTATATAATGTATTGAACCACACAGGTAGAACGTATACTCCAGTCCTATAACTTAAAAATCTAGTCTAGTGTATCTCTGGTAATAACTTAACAATCCGATGAAGTATTAAACTTACTGGCCGTAGCGAGACAGACAACAACGAGTAGCCAGAAGGCGTAGAAGATAATCAGCTGTACAAAAGAGACAACAGGCTGCAAGTAGAGTGATGGCAACGCAGCTAGACAGTCGGCAGCTTCCTTGAACAGAGTGGCAACAAAATCTACCCTACTGCGCATCACCAGCACTAGTAGTAGAATGATCACCTATAAACAAGAATAAACAGTTTGGTAAGCCAAGTGAAATGATGAACATGACATAAAAATTATTTGAAAACTGTAAAAAACTCAAACTTATATGAGATGCAATAATTTTTAGAAAATCCAAAACACACAGATTTTTGTTTCTTTGTGGGCTCTATTGCATATATAGCTTACAATGTATCTTTAAGCAAATACCTATAGGGAAGTAGCTACTATCGTAGGTGGCACAGTAAGACCTCGAGCCAGGACCGATATACTTTTTCATTTTGATGTCCCTAGAAGCCAACACTTTCGTTCAAATCTAATATATATATATATAGTCTGTGAACGCGATAACTTGAGTAATTTTCTTCCGATTTTGATGAAATTTGGTTTGAAGGTGTAAGGCGGGATAAAGTTTGAATGAGTTCGCGAACCAGCATGATCGGACCATGGAGACAAGGTTTTACGTTTTATGAGGTAAAAATTGGTTTTTCTAATTTTTAACCTTAAAAATACACAATTTCCTAATTCATACAGAACTTTATCAAAATCAAATTTTACATATAAACTGAAAGAGACTTTGAGCCAAAAAGCGTATTACAAAATTCAGACGTTTTTTAAAGATAAATTGTAATAGTTTTTACTCTTGTCAGGGTATAATTAGATTAAGGAACCTAGATATAAATTAGATATAAATTGACCATGTACCAGCTTGGGAATTACTTTTGTAATTATTGTATCAGGCGTTATGTACAATAAAGCTTTGTCTATTGTCTATTGTCTATTTAAATTTTAATTTAAAATCGAGTCAGGCAAATGGAAATTTGCTTAGTCTGCAGGTTTGATGCAGCAGGGGTATTTTTATCACAAGTGAGTGTTTTTAGGGTTGAAATATCAAAGATGAACTCACTGAAAGATTGATTAAGCTTTGCTTTAATGATCTACAATAACTAAGCTGCAATCCTAAGGCTAATGGTATTTTTTTTAACAAGGGTTTAAAAACATCTCATGCAGGATAAATATTCAAGGTTAAGACAAAAAACCTGTACATTTACATATGTGTCAAAAAACATCACTATCATTATCATTACCACTTGAAGAGAAATTTCAAATTTTAAATCAGGTAATCATGTTGTTTGACACAAACACATAATATTTTAGTAAAACATAAGATCAGGAGAGACTAAAATGAGTTTTTCAATCTTTTGAAAGACTTACAGTGACAATTGTAGCGATGATGGAGTAGATACAGAATGCCCTCTCGTTCTGTACGGCCTCGTCTAACAGCTGATCAGAAGACGTGCTGTCTAGCTGAGACTTGAGCTGGTAGAATGTTACCCACAAATATCCAGTGGCACCTGTGTCACAAGCTCATTGTAGTCATGTGAACCGTTTAATAATAGTCACTCTACCCCTGCCGCAGCAAACTGCAGACTAAGAAAATTTCCATTTGCCTTATTTGATATTCTCTAAAATAGTTACTTAATCTTGTTAGATTGATTTTCTATTTAAATACAACATTAGATTATTTAGGTTTGCTCCTACAGGTAAGTTAAAAGAGTGTGTTTTTAGTGAAATGTCAATACCTAAGTATGAAGTAAACAAATTTGCCAAATGGGATCAAAATATATATAAACAAGCAAAAAACAACAATTTTCTTATCTTACTACAATTATAAATGTGAAAGTTTGTGTGTTTGTTTGAAGTTTAATCACGCATCAACTACTGGAAGGATTGGGCTGAAATTTGGCATGATGATAGCTCACATTCCCGATTAACATATAGGCATATTCTTATCTCAAAAATCCTTTCGGGCTCCACCCCAGCGGCTCTGTAGTTCCCCATGTTAACCTTATGAGTATTCATATTTAATGGGAATTCAAGAATTTAGTCAGCTGTTTCAAGTAAAAAAGTTGGTTCTATGATATGCAAAAGCATTAAAAAGTTATAAAATCTATAAACAGGAACAGCACTATTATTATTTTTTGCATTTTATGAAAACAGCTAATTTGAACCAAGCAGCAACAAAAAGCTATGATACGCAATTAAAACTGTCAAAGTAGGATTGTTTACAGTTATGTTAATGTTTTTAATTTAATGAATGATTTTGTGATATTTTGAAAATTTTTGATAATTTGTTTCTCTCTATTGTTTTGTGAATTGTCAAAATCTTTATAATTACAATAAAGACTGGGACGGGTGGCGTCGTCCTGTAATCCAGCTACTACGAATTGTGGATATTTATAGGCATGCACTGTGGATGCGATACTCCCTGGTGTGGATTAACGTCCGCACGGGTGAGTACTACGACTATCCGCAGAGACCAATTCGTAATTACCAAGGCAAAAATGCGGTTCCGATTCCACTATAAACTGTAGGTCCCTTAGTTGCCATTAGCTGTATGGGCTGTATGGCAAACAGCTGTGTCTAAGAAACATGTCGGCCTTAGTCACTAACAAGACTACAAGATCGCGCCACTCATCCTACACTCATCCTTCACTCATATTTGGGTTAAAATATGCACATAGTGGCGTCCCCATCTTAAATAATTGATAATTGATAGATAATTAATAGTAAACTGGTTTCTACAGTAGCTTCAAAGATCTCCTACATGATTACATTCTCTGTTTCTCTGTTTGTGGGTAAAACTTGTGATCCTTACCAATGCACACCAAGCTGACAGCCACAAGAATGATGTGAGCAACAAAACTGGCCACCAGGTAGAACAGAGATACCATCAGGAGTGACAATACTGTAACACAAACATCAGTGGTTGACATTTACAATATATACTTAATACTCCCTGCTACCAAGGACCCTTTCCACTCCATGGGCTATTCAGTGATTTCACTATGCCTATTTTTTTATAATGTTGTTCCTATTAACATAAAGATCCAAATAAATTATTCCAAACAAGTTTTTCTGCAACTCGTGAGTAGTTTACCTCACTTTAGCGGAGCTTGATGAGAGTAGCCGACCTAAAATACACAAATGACAGGTCATGAAGGGTGAACCCTCAAATGTGGTATTTTTTTCAACACACACGTTCACCGTGCACTCCAACTTTTGTCCGTAACCCACTATTTGCGGCACACCAACAATCTGAAATGGCAGAGGCTATTCGCACGTCAGACGTGCGCCGCAACCGTGCACGTCTGTTCCAAATGACACCACATTACGTTCCTAATCCAGTTACTTTTATAACTGTTTGGGAACAGGTTGCACACAACGATAACCTTGTATTAGGAACGTTAGTACCTACTACCTCTTAACCTCATTAGCTGAAATCCGAAATGGATGGAATCAACTTTACGTTATCTGCCCGCAAGTGTAATATTGATTATGAAATGAAACTGTTTAATCTTAACTAAACTAGCCTAACCAAACTTGCTGTAACATTTCAAAATTCTGTTTAATAGCAGAATTCTGAAATGAAACTGTTCTTAATTAATCTAACCTAACCAAACTTTCTGTACGGTAACATTTTCAAAAATTCCTTTTGATAGCAGTGGCGTTCACACTCCATCGACCGTTCTAGAACATTCAATCCTTAACTGAATATGCTCTTCTTTTTCTTTTTTTAAAATAAATTCTTTAACGCTTCAAAATAGCAAAATTTTAAATGAACCTCCATATTCACCGAAATTAATTTGAGTGAGTAAGTGAAAGTAATTCAAAACGGCTTCTAGAAGTAACTAACTGTTCCCTTTGCATTATTTTGCAATACTGGAACGGGAACGGGTTGTTACGTCATTTTGACATGCGAATGAATAGTCACTTCGATCTGAAATACATTGAGTGTGTGTAATGTGTGCGCCACCAGTTTACACATCTACTTGTAATGTTCTACAGATAAACGACATAGTGGTTTGCCTTTGTGGGCTGTGATGTCTGCACTAATTTTCTGTAGGCCTATTGATTGTGTAAAATATAGTTTGGATTTTGAATTGAAATGCTAAAAATATCAGGTAAAACAACAATTGATACAAGAATTTATTAATACACTGAATTATCAATGGGGTTCAATGGAACAATTGAGGCTTTAACATACATCCTTAAAATAAATAAACAGACAAAATTAATACATGAAGACAAAATATTATTAAAATTAACATGTATTTAAAGAAAGCACATTTTTATAGTTTTAGGCTCCATAGCAACTTATAAATTTTTTGTCATAAAATATGTTTCAAGGTGTATAAAATTTCTAATTACTTCAGAGTAAAACAAAATTTTACGTCATAAAACTCTGCTATTCAAAACACCACAATGAATGAAGAAAAATTAGCCTGCGGTGATGCAAATTCCACCGATGATTTAGTTCTAAGTCCATCTTTGACTGAACTTTTACCGCTCCCTGGTGAAGAAAAACAGCCCAATGATCACAAGTACTTATGGCGGTATCCAGTGACATCATTGGAAAGGTTACAAAAGGATCAACAACATAAGCAAACAAAGATTGTCCCTATAGGAAGCACAAAGAAAATAAGAACCCAAGATAAATCAAAACAAGATACAAAACTATCCCACAAAGATATTATTGGTAAAAATTCCAGCAAAACCAATAATCTGAGGGGTAGTCATAGCGACTGTTTAACACTAATGGAGAATGAAATAACAATGAACTTTGTAAATGCTGCAAAACTGTTCTCGTGTCAGGTTTGCCACATGACACCTATGACATCGAAGACCGTTCACATGTGTAAACATGGCCATCAAGTGTGCGGTAACTGCTATAACCACAACATCATGTGTTTAGAGTGCAATGAACCTCTCATAGGCCGTAACCAGCCGGTAGAAGCAGCTCTTCAACAGTTCAAATTACTCCAACCTCAGTTGTTCCATAGCGATTTTTCTGATCAATCCAACAAAGAGCGTTATGACAATGCCACACCTAACAGAATCGCTTGTCAATCCTCCCACAAGCCCGTGAACTGCCCTCATCTCGCTTGTCAGAAGACAGTGGCCTATAACGGATTCCTACAACATTTCAAGTTCGACCATTCCACTGTCCCTGTAGTAACTTCAGCTCCTCAACAAACACACAATTTCTACCTGCCTAGAAACATTTTAGACACAACCGCAAGAGTTGTAAGTGTTTTCAAAGTGAGGATATTTGAAACAAGGCTTAAGAAAGTAGATGGGGATCCAGTCATTTGCTGTCTTCAGTCCGCTTTGATGCAGGTTGGATGTGTTGATAGCTTGGCAGTGTGGTGTTCAAGTATCCAAGACGGTAATGTACCATTGCTTGTCTACTATTTAAAATCGCTGAATCCTCGAAGAACGGTGACCTACCGTGGTCCGTTGTCTTCCCTGCATGAGAGGCCAGACAATATACTGAGAGAAGGCAGGTGTCTATTGGTTCCAGCTGGTTCAACGCTCGAAGAAGACATATTCCAGATTGAGTTCTACATCAATAACCGCTAATTTATAGCTAATGCAACCCTTTAAGACTCAATACAATGGAATTATGTGGTATGTTTTGACTTCTTTATATGATTTTAGTGATTCCAAAGTGACTCCGTAGTATACAATCTTAGACTAAGTTAAATTCAATTTGGTTTAGTACTTCTTAGGATCGTTTTACCTTCAAATATTGGTCATATGAATCTTTTCTCTGAGCCTTAATAAGTTAATGCTTGCTAAAAGTGCCACTCTTGTCAATAAAATCGTCAACTTTTAAATTTTACAGTGAAATAATAGAAAATGTATCTTTGCGAGGGTTATATCCTTGTACTTTTTTTATCTATTCTCCCCAATAAACCTGGGCTTGAAAATTAGTTTTACAAGCAAAGTGAGATGAAGCCAATAAATGAAGCAGCACTAAAATTAAAAATGTAATGCAAATACAAGGATTTTAAAGTCTTCTAACTACCAACTCACCCTAACATCAATGGAATGAGTTTGATGAGGCAGGATAGTTGATTGGATTGACAAGCATTAGATGGCAGCTCATATAGCAACGTCCAGCAAATTGGCTCGGCCGAATTCCCGCATATTTTCCCAAGGCATTTTTTTAGGGTAAATTTGGCAAAAGTTTATCACACACTCACACAAGCACGCAAAACATGTGCACATCACCACTCAACAAAGCCAATCTATGGGGCAGGAGAGGTAAGGCCTCTAGCTGGGGTAACGGTTACGTCTTAGTGGCTATTAGTGCCGTAGCGCGTAGCGGACATAGCGGTTAACCCGGTGAGCGGTGTATACCAGGCTTGCCAGGTTTATTTATGCCAACATTACACGCAAAACAGATCATGACGCGGGAAACTTTAATTTAATCAATGCTGGTATTTAAATTAAATATTAACAACATAAAATTTTCTTGTTAAGTCACTATATATTCCACAGAAAACTACACTGTTAAGCTGTTAAGCAATAACACATTTTTGCCAACCTTAGTGGATAGTTATAGACAGTGGCGTAACTAGAACATGGCTTTTGGGGGGATGGAGGAGCCCCAGCACCGGGGAGCCTGGGGGGTCCGGGGAAAATTTTGAAAAATTAGAACTCCAAACTCACGTTTTCAGACATTCCAAAGGTGTAATCACATTCAAAAGAACTCAAAAAATCAACCCAATTGAGGCTGTCTCTAAATAGCAAATAGCTAACTAAATCATAATCACAACACAACTAACAAACAAATGATCATTAAGTTGTTGTATTGTAGCCTGTAGAGCTGCCGTATCTACTTAGTTTTTATAATAAATTGATTTTAACAGGCTGAAAACTTAAATTTACAGTGCATGAGCGGCAGTTTTGCCAACCTAATACTATGATTTTCCATGTAATCGCTACTGAAAATCCCCAATTTTATTCAAATTCAAATAGTTTATTGCCATTAAGTATACATATCATACAATAGGCCCGGTCAATGGAGATAATATACAATTCATAGTACAATGTACAGTCAGATGTAAATAGATGAACATGCTATACTAATAAACTAATAATACTGGTTTTTATACGAAAGTATTTGAGATGTATTGATAATGATGGCAATAATACTGTTGATAGTCAAGCAAACAAGTCGGGCAAGTGCCTATATAAAAGTAATTAGGGCTAAAATTGGCAGTGAGATACAGCTTAAAACTAAATGACAACACATTTTTAAATAAAATTGACAGTAATAGCATTATTATGAAAGACCACAGTTCATGAAACCATTGTTACATACTTTAAAAACGATATCCTACTTAACAATTAGAATTTTACAGAAAATCATCATGTTTAAAAGACAAGAATTTTCCTCGATAGAGTAGATAACCTTTCTGTTCAAAAAATCGGTCAATACATTTTTCAGTGACTTAATAGGCAAGTTGCGTACAGTTTCAGGGAGGGCATTGAAAAGTTTGAGTTGTAATAATATTTATAGCTGCGCTGTGTTGAGGCCAGTCTTAATGATGGTAACTCTAAATTATTCCTTAGTCTGGTGTAATGATTGTGAGTTAATGAGCGAGATGAAAATTGTTCAATATTTGATTTTACAAACGATATTCTGCAAAATGTACACACTTGGTAAAGTGAGAATTTTGTATTCAGAGAAAAAGGTCTTACAACTAACTCTACTTTTTATACCAGCTAGGATACGGATTGCTTTACTTTTTTCTGTTTTTTAAAAACCTTAACTGCCCCGCTACTGCTGCCCCACAAATCTTTTTTTTAAAACCTTAACTGCCCTGCTACTACTGCCCCAGAAAATTACCCCATAAACTAAGTGACAATGAAAGAAGGCATAATAAACATTAATTAACATACTTAAACTAACATGATTTTTCAACCTCCTGAGCAGAAACGAAGAGTTGCTTAACTTTGCAACAATAATTTCAGTATGACTACGCCAAGATAACTTACAGTCTAATATGATTCCTAGCAGTTTAGCATTTGATACTTCAGATAAAAGATTTGTCTGTGAAAAAGTTATAGAAACAGTTTTATCATTGTTTACTGAAAATTTATTTGCTTTAAACCAACTATCGGCTGCTATTTTCATCTCCTCAGTTTTAATTTTTACCTCTTGCAAAGATTTGCTTGAGAATATTAAGGAAGTGTCATCTGCATATAGTACTGATTTTGAAGGGAGATTAGATGGAAGATCATTTATTGCAATTAAAAACAAAAAAGGGCCAAGTACAGAACTCTGTGGTACTCCTGCTGTGACTTCTTTCCACTGAGAGGTTTTATTGTTGCTGATCCCATCTGATATCTATCTCCTAAGTATGATTTAAATAGACTGAAGTTTATCCTTTACACCATAGTAACTTAACTTGTCAATCAACCGAAACACAATCAAATGCTTTACTAAAATCTTTCTTTGCTTTACTTAAATTCGCAAAGATTATGAAATTACCCGTGAAAATTCCTGATTGATCCTCTGTGAACAATGTTCATTATTAAACCATCACGGAGGAGGTTATTCAGCCTAACTAAAGCAGCTTTTTTTTTGCCTTTGGGGGGGGGGGGTTCTATGCCCCTCATCCCCCCCCCCACGGTATTAGTTATGCCACTGGTTATAGCAACTTAAACATTTTTTTCTATCTATAGGCCTATAACCTGTTCAGTACAAGCAAAATTCTGTAGGAATGTAAAAATAAGTAGGAATGTTAAAGAATTTTCAAGGGTCAGTGACAAAGGTAAAAAGGTATTTAGGCATGTTGGATTGGTCATTGGAATTGAATGAATCATCAATAATATTACAAAGCACTTGGGAGTAGGGAGAGTTGTACAGAATTGTGGGTTAGGGGTGAGAAGCTGGTGATTTGTTGCACCATTTTGATGGACTTTACAAATTAATGAGTTATTTACAATAATAAATCAATTTGGAGCAACCTTTACACTGTACCACTTACATCTACTATAGTTACGACAACGAGTGAAATTCTATGTTACAATTATTTTGAATATTAAAACCCCACTAATCAAAAGGATTTAAGAGCGGGTTTGAAATTCCAAAAAGTAATTTCCCTTGAATTACATTTAAAACAAAGCCTTAAAATTATATAATCATGAAGAAATCCAAACATTTGAATAGATTTTCTTAAATATTTACTAATTTTCTAATTTTATTTAACGAACAAATTCAGACAGTTAAAAAAAGTTCTATTTAAGCTAATACTAATCGATCTAAATTATAATCTAGAGTTACTGAGGCTGTTTCACTGGAGCTTTTGGAACAATAACAACAACATTGAACACACAAAAAACTTCTTTGTGTACTTCTATAAAATATATATTGGTTCAAAAAAGTAGGGTTTAGGCTCACCTAAGGACAAGAATGTGAGGCCAGCAATGTATTCCCAAGCAGAGAATATGTCGCTGAGGATTTGCTCTCCAAAGTCCCAGCTGTTAAGAAGTCCGTAGATGTCTCGGACAAAGGTTCTGACAATATCAGTGACAGGCTCTGGCACGCAGCGGTTTAGTATTGGGACACTGTAACAGTAATGTTGAAATAAAACTTACTATGTCTCTTTGTGTGATTCTACCACCGTAGATATTTGGTATAAGAATGCTTTCAGGAATTGAACACAAATTTCATTCCATTCAAATTCTGGCTTTGCCCAGCACTTTGTGAATAAGTGATGTGATATTTGAGTTATGAAATGTAATAATATGGGTATTGGTACTTTGATTAGGACTCGTGGGCAATTGTTACAAACGTTTAAGATTCACACAACATACTGTAGATACAACTCCTAAGGACGGCATAATGATGACATTGTAAGTAAGCTATGGGACATATTTCAAAAGAAACGTTGATATTGAAGTACTGTACCAGTATGTCAGTGGTTTTCATCTGGGGGTCAGTTAGCAAAATATGTAGTGTAGTGTGTCGAAACACATAAAACCTTTGGCTTTGGGTCCATGTCAGATGATGTTAAGTTTCATCTAAGACTATGGGGTTTAAAATTTTTTTTTATTGAGGGTTTTATTCAAGTAAATGAGCAAAATTTTTCAAGTTGCTCTATCTAGTTTTTACTATTCATATTTTTTTTTATATTATTTTATTTTGGAATAAAATAAAGACTTTTCTGAGTTTTGAGTTCAATTTCCTGGAGTATGACTATTTGAGTAGTTGAGGGTGAACCTAAAGGTAGCCACAAGGTTTCTCACATCACAGAAGGCTTAGTCAATGACAAAACTATTTGTTTCCTTTTCCCAATAAGTTTCAATCCCAATAAATTTCATTCTGCCTTTAAGTAACAAATTTGAGTACTCTTAAAAATTTTTATTACAAACATTTTTTTAAATGTTCGTTTAAAAAGAGACGTAAACCTTAATCAACGAAATTTCATGAAAAATTTGTACCTTTTATACACAGGTAATGGAGGACATGGGCCGAGAGATGACAGGACTGTGGCTGTCTCACTTAGGTTGTGAGGAGCTCCTTTGTAGTTCTCCAGGTCAAAGTCATATCTGCAACATAAAACATAATTTATTTGTATTGTGTACTTAGGTGGTCAATGGTTATATTACTTTCCTCCACAAAAAAACCATTCAAAACTGGTACCATTTATATTTAACTACCAAATGTGTGGTAAAAATAAATGTAATCCTACTAATATTATAAATGAGAAAGTTTGGATGTATGGATGTATGGATGGATGTATGGATGTATGTTTGTGACAAGTGAACGCGAAAAATACTGGTCGGATTGGGCTGAAATTTGGCATGATGATAGCTCACATTCCCGATTAACATATAGGCATATTCTTATTTCAAAAATCCTTTCGGGCTCCGCCCCAGTGGCTCTGGAGTTTCCCATGTTAACCTTATGAGAAATGAAATTATTGAATCTTAACAGCTGTTTCAATTAAACAAGTTGGTTCTGTTCTGTGATGTTCAATAGCATTTAAGTTACAAAAATTACCAACAGGGTGCAGCACTATTATTTCTTTTACATTTATGACAACAGCTAATTTGCAACCAAAAGGTGAGTGAGCGTAGCGAACGAACTTCAACCTGGAGGCGAGTTAGCGTAGCAAACGAGCTAACCTGAAGGCAAGTGAGCGCAGCGAACGAGCTCCAACCTAAAGGTGAGTGAGCGTAGCGAACGAGCTCTAACCTAAAGGTGAGTGAGCGTAGCGAACGAGCTCCAACCTAAAGGTGAGTGAGCGTAGCGAACAAACTTCAACCAGGACGTGATTGAGCCATGCGAACGAGATAATCTTGAAAATTAAGAAGTTAAACGGGGCAAAGCCCGCGGGTTACAGCTAGTTACTTGTATAAATGTAATGGCTTTTTGATTAATTTAATAATTACAAAAATTGAAAAACCATTATGCCAAACTCTTAAAAATTCAACAGACAGAACACTAACTAGGCTTTTGTACACAAAAATTCCTTTGGTACATTAACTTTGCTAAAGTCATAATTGACAACAGTAGGTATAACTTGAACTACTTATTTGTAAGTTTGTCAACTTACCTGCACAAACTGGAGCCAGTGTCCTTATAAAATTGCTGTAACTCTTGTATTGAGTCAATGTTTCTGTCTGGACACTTTTTGACGCAGAGCTGGAGGGAATTTCTGATATTTCGAATGTCCGTGAAGAACAAATACCTGTGGATGAAAAATAATTTATCTTCAACTTTCACTCAAAGGCAAATTACAAAATACACTTCGTTATTATTAAGCATTTTCAAAATGTATTGACTTCTGTTGTCTGAGGTAACATATTTACAGTGGTACAATACCTTGATAACAAAACTCTCATGGGGCAAATAAGACCAAATAAGACTCAAATAAGACTCAAATAAGTGTCAAATAAGACTTGTTATCAATGTTTACTTCTTATTGGGGTTTGCAATAACATGGTTCCACTGTGTGTAGTATAGCAATAAAAAAACAACTTTCACAAAACAAAATGTTATATTTCATCACTAGGGCGTAAAGTGTCTCTTTTCGACCCAAGCTCAAAAGGCAAAGCAGAGGCCCGAAAATGAGAGAGGATTGAAATAGTAGATTTCATCACTAGGAGCGAAAGTGGCTCTTTTTGGTACCCAATCGTGTTTTGCAAGCGAGGCGCAGCCGAGGAATCTAGTTAGGTTGGTTATTGTGAATATTCCAACGGATACAAACTGATCCATTCTAAGCAACCTTATTCGATTATAAAAGCACGTGATGTTTTTGTAGAAGATCAAAGTCATGCCTCTGATGTGAATGATGACCTGAAAAATGAAAGTCAACTAGTTGAATATACTGTTATAAACAGTAGCACAACTGAACTTGTTGGAATATCAAACAATGTTATATCATCTGTTGACAGCAGATAAAATCTTGTTAATTCTGACAGTGAAGGTGAACTAGAATAGTCAGAAAATGAAAATTCTTACCTAGACAAATCACATGATGAAAATGAACAGCAAGTTTTGGACGAAGGAAATTCTTTGATTAAAAGATCTGAACGTGATTGTGGAAACCTACAATGGATGAACGACTTTGTTTCATATCAAGCTGTCAATGTTTTGATGAGCCACAAACTTTCAACGAGGCAATTAAAAGTAATTCAAAAGAAGAATGGATGAATGCCATGGATGAAGAGTATAATTCTCTGATTAAGAACAATGTTTGGGAGATGGTTGATGGGAGTTGGTTTGGGAGTTCGTCCGAAGAATGAAAATTTTGGTTAAACGGAAGTGGGTGTATAAAACTAAGAAAAATGCTGATGGTGATCTTGAGAAGTTCAAAGCACGTCTTGTTGCCAAAGGTCAAGAATATGGTTAAGAAGTTCATTGAAATCAAATGCCAAGTGAAAATATGACGGCTGATATTTTAACCAAATCTTACGTGAAAAATGTAATCACTTTGTGACGGACTTGGGACTTAAAAGACTCTGATTAAATTAAAAAAAGATGTTTGATTAAGGGGGGAGGTTGAGGATTTTATATAGTATTGCTTTGCTTGTAGTATATTATAATCAAATATCTCTTTAATGTATCTTGTTATATTAGCTGCTTTATTACGTTATGTTGTTCACATACATATTAGAACAACGTAGCATAATAAAGCAACTATGAACATTCACAACTTGAAGTGTTAATGTTTTAATACTTTTACATTTTCATTAAATTATTAATAAAGTATTTTACTTATTTTATTTCATTTGTTTCATCAAAAACATAAAACGATACAGTATGAACATGCTTATCAAACCAATGCAGTATGGACATGCAAAATAGTCAAACAATTAAAATCGTGTCTGTAAAAATTGATAAAGGCCTACAACAAGGTAACTAACCAATATTTAAGGCTATTACAAAAAGACTGATGGTTCAGTTCAGCAGCTATATTGGGTTTTTAATCAACACAAGAAAGCATAATATTTAATTTTAAAACAGAAAAAGTTAGAAATATTATGTTCAACATCTTGTTAGTTAGTGTTTTTACCTTCTGTCTAAAGTGTTGATGCCTGACAGATTCTGATTGATGAGTATATCATCGTTGTAGGACGAGCCACAAGTGTTTCCGAAACTGTCGTAGCCGTGAATCAACCGCAGTGGATTACCGTAAACTAGAGCAAATCCAGCAATCAAAATCTGCAATCATTTGAACCAAGGTAAAAAAAATAACTAAAACCATGGTGGAATCATTTTTTTATTACCTTACCTACCTTACCTCCTTGGCCACTCAAACCTAAGAAGGTTTTTGGCCTCGCCAACAAGTTGCCTCCACTGCTGCCTATCTGCCGCCATGTCAAGAGATGCCCCCACTCTGCGTAGGTCCTTCTGGACTTGGTCTCTCCATCTCAACTTCGGTCTTCCTAGCGGGCGAGTGCCTCGTGGTTGTCCATTGGCATTTTTTTATAAGCAATAAAAATTTTAAATAAGAACTCTAATTCTAAGAGGAGATCTACATAGCTAGCGCAACCATACTTTTATAGACCTTAATTGATTTTTTACATAGCTTTAGCCAAGTGACATTGAACCAAATAATATTGCACTCTTATTGTATTAACTTAAACTCTATCATTTAAAATAGTTGTTAAATTATTACGTTGTATGTCTCAACATGACTATTAGAGCTAAAATGTAAAAAAGCTTCTGAACATTTTCAATTAGCTACTAACTTACGTCTTAAACTTGAAACACCATCTTAAACCTGCAAACAAAACTGTTGACCCTTGTTGTAAAATATATTAGGCTATTTGGAAAGCTAAGTTGGTTGGAGTCGGAAGTAATTTTAAATTGAGAATTATTGAATAATGAATGTATGCTGCTTGAATGCTCCACCCTTGGGTAATCAAGGTTCTGCTATTGGGTAATCTACAGTTTATTTGACTGTTCAAGCCTAGGGATGACTCTATTGTTTTAAGCATATATAAGTTAGGCCCTACCTAAAAGTGTTACGATATAGTGCTTAAAAAAACCTCCACATTCGTTTAGCCCTTAAGCAGTAAAAAACATAGATCCATTTTAAGTTAGATAGGGACAAAATTGATTCAAAAGATAGCCTAGGTAATTGCAAGAGTAGTAAATCTACTGATAAAAATTGTACTTTTACGTATACATTTATAGAAAAAACTAGCTGACCCGGCGAACTTCGTATCGCCAAAGTTATAGGTTTCCCCTAAGACAGACCGATGGAAAGAAAGTACCGTTAAGTTTAATTTTCAAGATGATCTCGTTGGCATCGCTCAATCACGTCCTGGTTGAAGTTCGTTCGCTACGCTCACTCACCTTTGGGTTGGAGCTCGTTCGCTACGCTCACTCACCTTTAGGTTGGAGCTCGTTCGCTGCGCTCACTTGCCTTCAGGTTAGCTCGTTCGCTACGCTAACTCGCCTCCAGGTTGAAGTTCGTTCGCTACGCTCACTCACCTTTGGGTTGGAGCTCGTTCGCTACGCTCACTCACCTTTAGGTTGGAGCTCGATCGCTGCGCTCACTTGCCTTCAGGTTAGCTCGTTCGCTACGCTAACTCGCCTCCAGGTTGAAGTTCGTTCGCTACGCTCACTCACCTTTTGGTTGCAAATTAGCTGTTGTCATAAATGTAAAAGAAATAATAGTGCTGCACCCTGTTGGTAATCCTTGTAACTTTAATGCTATTGAACATCATAGAACAGAACCAACTTGTTTAATTGAAACAGCTGTTAAGATTCATTAATTCCATTTCTCATAAGGTTAACATGGGAAACTCCAGAGCCACTGGGGCGGAGCCCTTTTAAGAATTTCGAAACGGGAAATAGTTTACTTTCTATTCGCATACCTACAGAATTTACACACCAAATTTCATAACGATCGGTGAAGTCGTTCCGGAGGAGTTTGCAGACAAACACTGTGACACGAGAATTTTATATATTAGATAAGATGTGCCTTACCATTAAAAACCAGAAGAGTATGTAAATGATAAGCCAAAACACGTCAGTGCAGCCCCGTATTTTGACAGACTCTTGGTTTTCATCCTCAGACCCTGTGTCATCGCAACAAGCCATAACTGCAACAAAAATGAGTTCAAATTGAATTTGTATAGAGTAAACTGTACGATTTAATATAAACTACTACTACTGTATCTCCAGCTCTGTTATTGTTAAATCCTCCTAGGCTGCACAAAACATTTTCCTAACTTTGGTACCTATCCAAATCCATAGAAATATAAAAAAATGTTGGCAGTTCAACTCTGGAACTGGTTGTCTGCATACAACGTAAAGACAAAACTTTGATATCCGACTCCAATTAGCATATACAATGTTACTTCGGTAAGTAATAGAAAGTTTGTGTTTTGGTTAGTTAAGTGAGTTTTTGGGTTAGTAAGGGTTTTGGTAAGTTTGGCTATTGTTTGAATCAATACTTTTAATTGTTTGTTAATCAGTTATGCTACAAAGGAGTCAAATATCAAGGCTTCGCCTACATAAATAGCCTAATTCATAAATTCTGGGCAACTTATCAACATTTAAATAAACCTTTTACGCTATAAGTTATATCTTAGTTTATATCGGTCCCTATCGAAATTGTAAAAAAACCTGAAAGCAGGGCTAACTTAGCGCTGATGGGTTGCCTACACCAAGTGGCGGCGCTTCCATAAGGGACAAGTGGGCCGGGCCCACCACAGTACGATAAACAGTAAAGTGTATTTTTAAATGCTTTATATAGGCTATTTGGTTGATATTATTCAATAAACTAATACATAAATTAGTTTTGAACTTTCAACGAGTCATAACTTATTGTTGAAATACAATGCAATCATCTCGTAAAACATTGGAGGGCCACAGATTTTGGACCCTTCTAGCCACCATAAGAATGTAATGGACAAGACAACACAGCCGGCAGCACTTGACTATAGGTAAGGGAACAATGCATTGGTAGGCATATGGTATATGGTACGGTGGGCGGATTTGACCTGGCCCACTGGACGTTGATTCTCAATATTCTCGCTGAGAGTGCTGAGCACTAGTGTATCTTTGTTTACATCCCGCTGTGTATGTTGTACACCAACCGACAAACAAACGGGTTGTAGTTATACCGTAATATTTTATAAAATAATAATTACTTAGCCTAACACTTTTAGTTAGTTTTGTAATATCATTCGTAGGCCTACAGATTAATTAGAGTAAGCCATACTAGTGTACATGTTGCTCGAATTCGAGCAATTGCAAAGTATTACAGGAGTTATTTCAAAACGAATAACAGTCATATTTACAATGAGTTTAAAAGAGTCAACTCAAAGACAACACAGGCAACACAGGTGATTGATAGAGGGCCAATTGAGAACGGAAAGTCGTGTTGGGGTAGTGTTGGGCCAGGGTCAGGTGCTGAATGTGTTGAGTTAAACACAGAAAACATACTACTAAACCTATTACGCGCCACTGTTCTGTAGTTGCGGTCGTTATCACGATTAAACTCCTGTCTATGTTTCGTTGTCGTCGCGTCGGCGGCATTTAAAAGAAAAAAAACAACAAATAAACAAATTATATCTACACAAAACAACGATAAATGCACAAATTTAAGTTACAATCATGCTAACACGATCCGTCATAGCGACACAAAACAACGATAAATACACAAATTTAAGATACAACCATACTAACACTATTCGACTTGGGGGTTATGTTTAAACAAACTCAAATAGTAAATAAACATAGGCCTACTCAATGTGTTTCATTGGATTGAAAAATAAATAACAGCAGTTAAATTATACAGCTGATCAAAATGTAAACAATTATGTTCTTCATAAGGATAACATGGGAACTTTCAAAGCCACTGGGGCAGAGCCCAAGGGACTTTTTTCAAAAATAAAAGGCCAGTTTGCAAATCTACGCGGCACGCTCTTTCCAATGAGACGTCAATGGATAAAATCGGTTAAGAAATGGCGGAGGAGTTCAACAGACAAAGTTTCATGTAGCGTATTAATTATATAGATTACATTTTTTAGTGATCATAAATTTAACGCAGAGGATACGCGCCGGTAACCGGACGTGGTTTAGGCGTCCAGCAGTTACTGTCATAACCTAACCAAACTTGCTGATAATGAAAAACTCTAATGAAGGTTTAATTCTGTTCATAAAATAAAATTATAAATGCCAAAAATTCTAACAAAAGATGTAGCCTACAGTTAAGAAGAAATGGCATTCAAAGCAAAATCTTTGACAAAAAGTTAAGTTTAAGGTACTTATGGGATTCGAACCAGGGACTTCTAAGTTAGCATATCAGCCAAGCACTCCATCAACTACACCACGAACACCAATGGCTGTACATCGTATCGTTGTGGTAATGGCGTTCCGGGCCCCCACAACCCGGTGACATCACTGCCGGACGCCTAAACTTAATCCACGTTACCAGACCCATAAGATATCCTCTATGTAAATTTATAGGCGTGATGGTGATGTTATTGTGAAGTGTGTTTGTGTTCATGGTTCAAATGTGGTTAGGCCTACTTCAACGGTAGTGCAATCTCCAGAATTGTGTGTTATTAACTTATTAAAAAAATGCAGTTCTTGCCATGATTTAAATAGTAAATTTACTGGCTACGGCTACCCTCTGCTACCTGCTACCCCCTGGCCCACCCTACTGTTCAGGTAAAGCGCCGTTTTTCACTAACTACACCCACCACAAAAATAGTACCTATCTTTACAATTTTCACCAGTCCTGCCTGCCCAGTGCCAAACCCTTTTATCAATGTTGATGGGGTAAGTAATAATAATCAAACTGAGTAATAATGATCAAGGGTGTTTACCTGAGTTCCCTGGTTCGTCAATGTCAGTTTCCTAGAGGTATTAGATAAAGTGAACCTCGTAAACGTAAACTCACCGCTTCGGGCTTCCTCCCTCTTGAAATTATTGATGCTTGATGTAAACAAATATGATGCTTGATGTAAACAAATAGGTAAATAAAATAACAATAACAAAACGAATGAATGACGCTTTGCTTGGGTTGGATTATTTTTGGATTAGATTTGGATTGGAACTAAACTTGGGGGTCGAGTTCGCGCAAGGCTCACGGGACGCTCCATGAATGACGTCATAGTAATGGAACGTTCTCATATTCCAGCTTTCCAAGATTACTAATCTGCACTTTTGTGACAGTGTTGTACTGTACTTGTAGTCTCGTCTGCCTTTACAAATTAATGTCAAAAGTGTCAAATCGCAAAAATTGGTTGTTTATTTAAAATGTTTAATATTGATAGATCGTTGTTATTATTTCAACTTGACATAGGATAATGTATTAATTCCTACAGTTCTTGATGTGGTACGGTGAAATATATACAATAAATTGTCAAATAAAAATAACTATATTTTGAAAGAGCTCTATTTGTTAGCTGGATAACCTCTCCATCCCCACTTTTATTTAGGGTAACAAGACGCTCCATCCATACAAAATATTGGTAACTTAGCCTTAAAAGATGTGATTTAGCATCGCCTATTACGCCATAAAATTGGTAAAAACCAAATTGATTATACATTTCATATTAACTTCAGTTATTTACATAATTTAAAGCGTCAATTCGCTCAGACCCCCCCCCCTCCTTTTAACATTAAGATAAATTCCTTTCTACTTCCAACTCAGGTTAGGTTATTATGACTTTCATTAAAAAAGTAATTAAAAACTAAGCTTTGTATTTTGTTAAAAACTAACTTGCACTCTGTGAATGGCTCATTCAACAGCACTTTGTTTTAATAAAAATTCGCAACAGCTGGACCTTGGATGGGATGTTTTTTGCTTTGCTTTAGTAACCAAAAGTCAATGAAATTAGTTAAATATATAAAAATATTTTACCCCACACTATACAGTTTTAACCACGAATACTATAGAAAAATACTTTAACAAACGAGCTTCCCACTCAAGGATTTTGTCCACAAAACAGCTGTTTTTGCTGCCAGCTTAATCAAATGGGGTTTCATTACGTTACTGTACTCACTCACTATGCTGTTCCACTAAAGAATAAGACAGGGTTGGTGGTTACAGAAGCCATTAAAACCATTCTTAAGGCTGTTAAAAAAATTCAATCTGAATGGAAAAGAATTTTTTAAATGAATATTTTAGCAAACTAATGACAAAATTAAATATTAATCACTATCACACTTGTTCTACAATTAAAGGCTGCAATTGTGGAAAGTTTCACAGAACTTTAAAGAATTGGTAACATATATGGAATTTAGTGTTCAGGGGAGTTATAAATGGTTGGATTTACTCCCAAAGTTAATTAGAAAATATAATAATAAGGTGCATAGGTTTTTTGGAATGAAGCCAAACCAAGTGAGTGTTAAAAATAGTAAATATGTGCATGAGTGGTTGACTTCTAAAGTGTAAGTTAAAGCCGAGATATAAGGTGGGTGATAGCGTAAGAATTTCCAGTTATAAACATATGTTTAGTAAAGTGTGTGTTGAGTCGGTACCGTCACGGACTTCGGGCCCAAGGCAGCGATATCGTGGGTTCGTATCCTGGTCACTGCCAAAAACATTTTATCAGTACAGTTCACCTTTTCTCTGTACCGGCTCACCCCTTGCTTTGCTGGATACGTTCCACGCACGGACAGTCAGTCTATGTGGACCGGCAAATGCAAGTTTAAAAGAGGCCATCAACCTCTTTTATATAAAAAAAGCTATATATAGGCCTACCCCAAATTGGACGGGGGAGCTATTTACAATAGCAGAAGTTAAGAAAACAAGGTCTCTGACTTATATTTTGAAAGATGAAAATGGCAATATAATCAGGGCAGGGTTCTATACAGAGAAGTTGTTAAAGACCAAGTATAAAGACACGTACTTGGTAGATAAGGTGATTAAGAGGAAGGGTAATTTAATATATGTCAAATGGATTGGGTTTCCAAGGAGCCAGAACTCATGGATTTCCACAAAGGATGTTGGCATTTCACCACCCCCTATCACTAGCTTGTAGGATGAACAATAAAAAGTTACTCTTTGTGAACATGGTAATTTTTTTATTTAAACTTTCAGTGGGAAAAGTATAGATGATTAGATTAGATGTTTCAATCGTATCACCGCTGGAGACGAGAAATAATATGGGTCGAGAGCGCGCCGTAGTTCTCGTGCAAATATCGCGTGATTTTGAAAACATATGGGAATGGATATGGATTGGAAATGTTTATGGAGTTGGACAATAGTATGGAACATTTGTAGTATAGGGTGGATAGGCCGAGAGCAAGGCCACACTAAAAAAACGCCTTGCCGAGAGCAGGGTCTTTAAAAAGTGTGGCTAAAAGTTATCACCATGTTATTCTTATGGGGAAAAAGCTCAAAGCGTCGTCTCTTTGTGCCACTGCCACTACTTAAGCCAACCAGCCTATACATCATCATATATGTAATACGTAATTTTCATTTTCGTTAAGACTTTGACATGCTTCGACTTGACACTTTCTAAATCATAAGTAAAATCTAGTCTGGGTCTAGTAACGTAAGTCCTAAAAACTAATTCGTCTATTAGTAAAAAAGCGTTTTATTGTAGTAGTCAATGTGTCAATAGCTATTAAAGTTGTAAAGCTCGAAGGAGTATAATACAATACATGTTGTTTGAAAGTAATGATGAAGTTTTCTTCCTAAGCAATTTTTCCTAGTTGGTCATCCTGATTAATTTTGATTTCCTATCTGAAACTCTATAACATACATTTAACCTAACCTCACTTTTCCCTTGAGTTGGCCGACCCTTTTCCGGTTTTCGTTCTTCGTCAAATCGAAAATGGTGAGCAATTGTCATTACTATATCTGTCTTTTTATTTATAATCCTAGTAATTCTAAGGTGCTATATGTGTTTAACTTTGTCTTTTACTCATATAATCCTATATTTGCGTCGTATTTAAGTAATTATCCTTCGCTAAAATAACACTACTAAGTTATCTCTCCTTTATAACTGAACTAGGCCTAGTCTGTTACCAGTATTTTATTCAACTTACTTGTAATGCCAAGCTTTTTACTAGATTTCAGTTATTTTTATTTAGCTTATTGCTCAGTCAAGTTATTCATACAAACTTCCGCGATAAGCCTACATGCCTCCTATATAATATTAAGGCTGTTGACCTAACATCTGAGGATTAGGCCCAAGCCTGTTGACATGCTGGCAAGGTAAATTTCATAATTACAAACACTTGGGATTTTTAAGTGATTTTGTCACCAAGACTTAAAATGCATAGTGCATCTAAAATAAATGGGTTGAAATCATAGGCCTATCCACAGGCCTAACTTACCATCTACTTAAGTTAAGCCCTGTTCACACTCGGCGAGTTTACAAGCTACACGCCGGCTTTTTTACACGCAGCTAGTAAAATAGCTTAGTGTGAATAAGGTTGCCATATCCCCGGAGATACCGGAGGTTAGATTAGGAAGGTAAAGTTTTAAGTTACAACTAAATGAATTGAGATGTTGGTTTATTACGTTACTTATAGAATGTTTTTGTACAAATAAAACCACATATTTACACGCAGCTAGTAAAATAGCTTAGCGTTCGAATAGGGTTGCCATATCCCTGGAGATAACCTACAGGAGGTTAGATTAGGAAGGTAAAGTTTAAGTTAGCCTATAATGAATTGAGATATTGGTTTACGTTACTTAAAGACTGTTTGTGTACAATTAAAACCCTGAAAAAACACTTCAAAACACTGCTGCTAAAATGCCAAACCTAAGCTTAATTGATTAGCAAGCATTTACTCTGGGAAAGATGTCACGTTTATTTTCAATCCAAACAAACTTTCAGCTCTAATCACAGGCCTATCTTTGGAAAAATCTTAAAAAGCAAGTTTCTTATTTCAGATATGCCTGTATTACTTATTGATCCTCTGGTGAATAGCATAGTTTGTTGAGATTTTTAAACAATTCTTTGTATTTGGTATTATACTGACCACACCGATAAATTCCGATAAATTGTCATCTAAATAAGTTTAATTGCCTAGTTTAGGTTATATTTACGAGGTGTGGTCGTTATAATACCAAAGTAGGCCTACCCAATTCTTTCATAAATCAACAGAACACAGAAATAAATCGTTGAGTTTCTTTGATTTAAATTATTAAACTTAAGGACTAACTTAGGCCTACTATTATTGGATACTTATCTAAGTTGCGAGTAAAATAATATTGTCTTTTTAACATTCAACCCTAACTGAGTGTAGTTCTAGGCCTAGTCCTTTTCTAAGGTTAGCCTATAGCTTATTATTGTATAAATGCAGAGAATCATTGTTACCCAAAGTCTTTTAATTTCAAATTTATTTCTATTTCAGACGAAGGGTACATCAAGCTTTGGTAAACGGCGCAACAAGACCCACACCTTGTGCAGGCGGTGTGGTCGCTCGTCATATCACATCCAAAAGTCAAAGTGTGCCCAGTGCGGATACCCCAACTCCAAACTTAGACATTGTAAGTATTTAGTATTACCTTTAAGTTTTTTGTAATTTGTTTCATATATAACTTAAGTTATAAATGGTGGCTTCTTAAGGCATGAAATGAAATGTACCAATTGTGGGTAATTTAAATCCTCAGATATTTGAAATTTGATCACCAATAGACTTACCCCCGCTAAGAAGTATCTACCGCATGTAATATTTATCACCATATGCAGCTCAACCTGGGTTCTAATACAGGGTTATTAACAAAGAATGCAAAAGAGTGCAAAAATAAATTATTGGTACCGGTACTTCTGTTTCCATGATTTCAAATAGGCCTAGCTGATTGTTACACCAATGGAAAGGGTGTTTTTATTAAGTTTTTTTTGACAAGGTTATGGTTTGTCTCAGTTCCTTAGTTGAGTACCAAGAATCCTGTCATCAAAATCAAATACATTATATAACTAACCTCAATATAACAAATTCCTTGATATAACGAATATTTTTATATCCCCTAGAACTCTCCATAAGACACAATGAATAACTTATTTTACCTCTACATAACAAACAAACCAATGAATTTATTATTG